CCTTCAGATATAGTTAACGTACAGTACGGTCCCTTCGATTCATATGTCCCGATCGAACTAGAGGCATTGGTTCATCGAGACCTCTTTATCTGTTCGATGACGGTGCGATCGTTCTAAGTGTTGTAATCCTTACGTGCATGACTTAGAGAATCAAATTCTCTAATCATCACTTAGTCAGCTCTGGCCAGAGACTTAGAATGATTACAAACTTTCAGAACACACAGGACATCCAAGACTATTCTAGCGATCGAATCCCCGACTACAATGCACAGACCTCCCACTAGATTTCGGACTGCACGAACACTGGCCCTTGGGATGGTCCTCGGTGGAACTCAGGGACAGGTCACGATACAGCTGGTCCTCTAGTGAAGTCACGGTGATGTCTAGGTCATAAGGACTAATGGTGTACAACTATACCATAGATATCTCTACTCGATTATTGGGAACCACTTAGAGATTTCTAGGGTGAGGGAGCTCAGTGAACTCGTCAACTTACGAGCACCCACTTGTGCATGCCGATATCACAATACCGTTTACTGATGAGATGCAGTACACATACACTAAGTGCTAGTCTTAATGGGAAAGGCCGATATCCTCATTAGTGGCGTAACCCTTCGACTAGGAACACGTTTAACAGTTATAATACTTAAGTAAATATCTCACGATCCTAATGATCAATTACTAGTACTTGTAATAACTGTAAGGACTATATCTATGCTTGTGACAAAGGGACAAAGATATAGAATGCCAAGATGTTTTATCATTAATACGAATGAAGGTTCGTTTATTACAATAATAAATACGAAAGACCACAGCCACAAGTTGGCTTATTGGTCACCTACTCTAACACAATCAAGGTTCGAATGATAAAAGTTTAAAGGTAGGCTTGAAAGGCTCAAACGGTTCAAAGATGGCCCAAATCACTTCCCAAATTGCTCAACAATTTAATATTTCACTTTTGTAAATTCCTAAGGTAAGTTCTAAAACCGAATAGCATATGATATAGCATAAATTAACTCCACGTTTTAAAACACAAAACTTTCAACCAAAGCAAGGCATAATTCGTGATTCCTAACAATGACTCCTTCCTACGACACTTTGAATCAAAAACTCACCGAAATTCAATCACAGTCAAGATAAAGCAAGCAATTTCATCATTAAACATCAACCATCTTTCATCATCATGATTCATCGAAGCATTTATCTCAACACATTTTTTTTTCCGAAAGCAATAAATAAACTAAAATAACAAAAATAAAAACAAAATCCTAAGGCATGCAAACTAAAAAATTAAAGCACATATAAGCAAGTAATTATCCACCCCCAAACTTAAAATTTACATTGCCCTCAATGTAATTAGCACGAAGTTTAAGGATATAATACACCTGAATTAGTCGTCTTGGCCATGTCCGGGCTGCTCTTCACCCTTGCCTTTACTATGCTTTTGTTACGTGTCGCACGACCGTATGAGTTTTTACACTGTCTTCCGCACGGCCGTGCGAAACTTGAATTCTGGGCAGTAGCCTATTTTTTCTCGCACGGCCGTGTGAGATTAAAGTGCTTTTTTCGCGCGGCCGCGCCCCAAGCCAAAATCGGACAGTAGCTTCCCCGATTTTCCACACGGCCGTGCTGGATTCAAGCCATTTTTGGTGCGGCCGTGTGAAGTGCAAAATTGCACTTTTACTCCTGAAAAAAAAAAAATAATAAAAAAAATATATGCTTAAATTGTTAGCTTGCATGCTTATAAATTAAATAAATAAAATAAAACAAGAAAAAATAAATAAATAAATAAAAACGAAAATCTCGGGTTGCCTCCCGAGAAACGCTAAGTTTACAGTCTTCAGCCAGACTTTGTTCTTGCTCTTCAACCCCTTAGCTTTTGAACCCATCTCCTCACTTCCTTTTGGAGAAAGTCTTGAATAAATGGGTTGATCCGATTTTTCTTTCGACTGGTTCGCTTAAGAATGCCCTTGAATTTATTCTTCTTGATGTCATGAGGCGTGCCAACATCGTCTTTTATCACGGTGTTTTGAGTAGGTGTTGTAACCAACTCAACCTTTTTCTTTTGTTCTCCTACATGCACATTAGTATCCACAAAAAAATTTAAATCATGTAATTTAACAGGAAAAAGTTTAGAATCACTTACCTCGTCAAGTAGATAACACCCATTAGCCGTAGTAGGCTTTTCATCCACCCGGTACACCTTGAAGATCATTGTTTCTTCCCCCACACTCATTCTTAGCTCTCTCTTTCCTACATCAATAATTGACCTACCGGTTGCTAAGAAGGGGCGTCCTAAGATAAGGGGAATATTTTCATCTTCCTCTATGTCTAGTACTAGAAAATCGGCCGGGAGTATAAACTTATCTACCTTGACCAATACATCCTCCACTATACCTAAAGGGTGAGTAAAAGATCTATCGGCTAGCTGCAAGGTCACGGAAGTGGGCTTAATTTCTCCTAAATTCAATTTCTCATAAATTGATAAAGGCATTAAATTTATGCTCGCCCCTTGATCACACAACGCCCGCCCAAAATACCTAGTACCTATTGTGCATGGAATGGTACAACTCCCCGGATCTCTAAGCTTCGGTGGAATTTTATTTGCAAGGATCGCACTACTTTGCTCATTGAGGTCTACAATTGCTGCACACTCCGGAAGCCTCATCTTCTTCGACACAAGTTCTTTTATAAACTTAACCCAATTCGGCATATTCTTAAGTGCCTCAACAAAAGGAATATTAACATGCAACTTTTTAAGATAATCCAAAAATAACTGAAATTGCATATCAAGCTTAGAGTTTTGAAAACATTGAGGGAAGGGTACCTTGGGAGTAGGTTCACTTACTGTGATTTTTGTGTTGCTTGGCCCAATCTCGGTTTTTTCCTTGGGCTCCTCTGCAATAGGCGGTGGTGCAACGGACTTTTTAGGACCTTCCTCTAATTGCCTCCCATTTCGCAAAGTTACTGCATTGCACTGCTCGATCACTAGGCCAAAATGCAAGACTGGCGACGTTTTTTTTCGCGACGGTTATGCGTTCGTCGCATGTTTGCGACGTTTCTGTGCTTAAATCGTCGCTTAAAGTGGAAAATCTAGTTTTAATTCAAAACCCTAGCGACGATTCAGGATAAGTGTCGCTAGCTAGCGACGCAAAATATACAAACGTCGCCAATACGAAAAAAAAAAAAAAATACTTTTCTTGGCGACGTAAACAGTGTTTCGTCGCTACGTTACATATTTTGTGATTTTATATTTCAGTTGTTGCGACGTAACAGGCGGAATCGTCGCAAATATTATTTTAAAAAAAAAAAAATAATATACTTTGCGACGTTTGTTTATAAACGTCGCTAGGAGTACCCAAGTATTTGTAATTAATTTATATGTGGCGACGGAAAGGGAAAAACGTCGCCACTGTTTTAGTAAAAAAATTTTTTTTTAATATCCCGGCGACGGATTTACAAAATCGTCGCACGAAATGTGCACAAATTTTTTTTTTTCGAATTTAGTAGCGACGTATTTTTAGATGCGTCGCTAGTTCTCGGATATGTAGGAGACGAAAATTGGAAACGTCGCAAATATTGACTTATTATTCAATCAGACCCTAATTAGATCTATTTCCCCTCTCTCTCAAACTCTCCCCCTCTCCATCTCCCCGGCCCTCTCTCTCAAACTCTCCCCCTCTCTCTCAAACGTTGCCGTCGCCGACATCCGCCCGCCGCCGCCGTCTGCTGCTGACCCGTCGCCGACATCCGTCCGCCCGCCTTTGCCGTCGCTGACAGTCATCCCGCCGCCGTCATCCAGCCGCCGCCGTCATCCAGCCGTTGCCCCCAATCTCCGCTGCCGATCCTTTGCCGTCGCAGCCGTTGCCGTCGCCGACAGCCGTCCGCCGCCAGCCCTCCGCCGTTGCCGACAGCCCTCCTTTGTTGCTGTCACCGTCTGCCGCTACTCCTCCTTTTTCAAGGTAATTTTATGTTTTTTTAAATGTTTGTTTGTTTATGTTCAAAATTACGTGGGTGTTCGATTATCGATCTATTTTTAGGTTTTTTGTCGGAATTATGTGTTTGTTTGTTTTTGTTGATTTGATGAGCCTGTGTTGCTCGATTTATTCGGAATTATTGTTGCTCGGAATTATGCGAATTGTTCTTGGGTTTTATGTTGCTCGGAATTATGTGTTTGCTCGGAAAAGCCGTTGCTCGGAATTATGTTTGTGAGTCTGTTGTGTGTGTGTGTGTTTTGGTGAGTGTGTATGTTTCTTTCTTCAGTTTTGTCTGCTTTGCTACTGTGTCGGTGGTTCTTTTTTTTTTTTTTTTTTTTTTTTTTTTTTTGAGAAAATTCTGGAAATTTTCGAAAAATAACTGAAAATGTCCGAAAAAATTCCGAAAATGAAGATTTCCGAAAATTTCCGATTTTCCGAAAATTCCGATAAAATCGGAATCGGAATCAATTTTCCGAAACACCCAAATCCGATCCGATCCGTCCGATTTCCACTCCTAATTATGACTATAAAATATATAAATAAATAAATAAACCTTTTCGAAAAAATATTGAAAAATTGCTTTAAATTAGGGTAAATTACAATCACATCCTAAGGTAAAGCTAAATTATGAAATTTTGAAAAATTGCTTTTAATAATTGTGATCCTTCCCAATTTCTAGGTAATCTTGTTAATTAAAGCATGCCAAAAGATAGGAGTTGGGTTTTATTAGGTGATCGTCGGTTAGCAGCATATCAAAATGGTTGTGTGGAATTTATGGATTTTGCCTTCGCTAGATGTGATGTTGATAATAAAATAAGATGTCCATGTAGAGACTGTAAGTGTCGTAAATGGGGGGATCGTGAATTCGTTCATAAACATTTACTTTGGAGGGGTTGGGATAAGATGTATGGGCAACGCCGATGGACTCTGCATGGAGAGTCCGAAGAACAATACATTGGCGAGGAAATGAACAATACTAATCATACAGAAATTCCCGAAGTTGCAATTTCAAATGATCCTGTTGATGTACGTGATAACATGGAAGACTTACTGCATGCGTGTCTTCATCACGATCATCATCACGATCAAGAAGATCTGCACGAAGAACCCAACCCCGAAACTGATGATTTTCGTACACTCATTGAAGAGTGGTGCATCCCCGTTTATGATGGATGCCGGGTATATACTAAACTTTCTTTTGTCATGGAGTTCTACAAAATTAAGTCTCGTGGCAAGATGAGTGATAATACATTTACTGAAACCCTTCAGTTAATGAGAAAACTTGATTTTTTAAATATACCCGACTCTTTTTATGAAGTTAAGAAGCTCATCGGTAAATTGGGGTGTGGTTACGTCAAGATTGATGCGTGTGAGAATGACTGCATGCTGTTTTGGAAGGATGACTTGAACTTAAATGCATGCAAAGTGTGTAATGCTTCAAGATGGAAGAATCCAGTAGAAAACCAACCGAGTTCTTCAACCTCTCAGCGCAAAAGGGTACCGAAAAAAGTTTTGCGACACTTTCCATTGATTCCGAGGCTCAAGCGGCTATTTATATGTCAAAAATCAGCAATTAACATGAGATGGCACGCTGAGTCTCGATGTAACGATGGCGTTCTCAGGCACCCTGCTGATTCTGATGCTTGGAAAGAGTTTGACAAGAAGCACGAGTCATTCTCTTTGGACCCTCGAAATGTAAGGCTTGGCTTGGCTACTGACGGTTTTAATCCCTTTGGATCATTGAGCAGCAAACATAGCACATGGCCTGTAATTCTAATGGTTTACAACTTACCACCAAATATGTGCATGCAACGCTCTAATATGATGATGTCATTGCTTATTTCTGGTCCTAAAGGCCCGAAAAATGGCATTGATGTTTATCTACAGCCGTTGATGGACGAGCTTAATGAGTTGTGGGGTTCTGGGATAACAACTTTTGATGCGTACACCAAGCAATATTTTAATATGCGAGCCGCACTTTTGTGGACTATCAACGACTTCCCTGCGCTTGGTAACTTGTCGGGGTGGAGTACAAGTGGCTATCTTGCTTGCCCAAGTTGTGCCGAAAATACTGTGTCTGAACGTTTGTACAAGTCTAACAAACAGTGCTATATGGGTCATAGTCGTTTTTCTGAAGACGGGGCTCCACCTCCGCCTTCAGGAGATGAGGTGTTATCAAAAACGGAGGGTATAAATGTTACATTTGGCGTAGGCCAAACAGTGCATCGAGCTTCCCAATGGAGAAAACGGAGTATATTCTTTGAATTACCGTACTGGAAAGATAATCTCATTCGGCACAATCTTGATGTCATGCATATTGAGAAAAATGTCGGTGAATTATTGCTTAGGTGGTTATTAAATATTCTTGGCAAAAATGACGGGTTTGACAATGCTAAGGAGGACATTGGAAAAATTAAAAAGCCACCGTCAGGCAAATCTGGTCCTCGATTTCCCAATCTCGTTCCAAAATTAGGAAAGTATCACAAGTTGTCTTCCCAATCCAAGAAGGCCGTGTGTGATGTTATAGCAAATGTTAAGGTTCCTAACGGCTATGCATCTAATATAGCCCGTTGTTTTGGTGAAGACAAAATACGGGGATTGAAAAGCCATGACTACCACGTACTAATGCAACAGTTGCTTCCATTAGCAATCCGTAACGTGGACTTACCAAAAAAGTTGGCTAGTACAATAATCCAGTTGTGCAGTTTTTTTCGAGAATTGTGTTCAAAAACTAACTCAATTGAAGATTTTCGAAAACTGCACTCCGACATTGTGAAAATTTTGTGTGACCTTGAGAAATTGTTTCCTCCGGCATTCTTTGTTGTTATGATGCACTTGCCGGTTCATCTAGCTCATGAAGCAATGGTTGCTGGACCGGTGAATTATAGATGGATGTATCCGATAGAGAGGTACTTAATTTATTTAAAAATCTAATTTCTTTACTTCAATAAATATTTATTTTTAATAAATATTTATTTCAATCTCAGATACTTGGGTCACTTAAAGTCATTTGTCCGAAATAAAAAGTGCCCCGAGGGTTCAATTGCTGAATGCTACATCACTGAGGAGTGCTTAAATTTTTGCTCATTGTACACCGAAAGTTCATCTATGAACATTTCCGTCGATGATAGACAAGGCAATGAAGTGCGATCTAAGTACAGAACTCTTACTTATGATGAAATGGAAAAGGCACACAACTATTGTCTTTTTAACTCTGATGAAATTCAACCGTACATTGAGTAAGTTACTTATAAAAATCTTAAAACTACTACTATTTTCATTTGATTTTCATCCAATAAAAAACACAATTATTGTAGGGAGCACATCGATGTTGCTCTTTCTAGGATCTTCCGTATTTGATGGCAGTGCTCCCGACGGCCTCGCGTTTAGCTGGGTTGCAAGTTGACCCATCTGTGTTTCCAAATTTCGAATGGAAGCTTGCGTTGATGTCATAAATTGAGCTAAGATGTTTGCGAGATCTCCATCTTGGGCCGGAGCTTGAGGTGAATTTTGGAATCCGGGAGCTGGCTGAGGTCTTGGTTGAGGTTGACCTTGTGGCGGTGCTTGGCCTTGACTTTGCTGATTTCCTCCCCATCCAAAGTTTGGGTGGTCTCTCCATCCCGGATTATAAGTGTTGGAGTACGGGTTCCTCTGTTGTCGGTTGGTGTCATTCACGTAGTTTAGAGACTCCGTTTCTTCTAAGCACCGGTCGGGACCTTGGATTGCATGGACTTGCTGAGTCTGCAAAGCTGCTACTTGCTTTGATAGCTTTTCTAACTGGGCGGTGATTGCAGTGACCCCGTCCAACTCCAAAATTCCCCCCGTCTTGACTGCTCCGCTATTCGATCGATCCGATGCCCGCATGTATTTATTTCTAGCGATTCGCTCCAAAAGCTCGTATGCTTCATCGTAAGTCAAACTGATGAACATTCCTCCAGCTGCAGAATCGAGCACGGTTCTCGAGTTGTCTTGTAGCCCATCGTAAAATATTTGCAGTTGGCGCCACTCTTGAAGTTCGTGATTCGGGCACCTCCTTACCAACTGTTTGAACCGCTCCCACGTCTCGAATAATGCTTCACCGGCTTCTTGTATGGAATTTTGAATTTCTCTCCGGATTCTCTCAGTTTTTGTTGGGGAGTTGTATGTGTTCATGAAGAGTTGCGCTAGTTGGGGCCAAGATGAGATGGAGTGCGGTGCACGAGTTTGTAACCATTCTCGGGCTGCACCTTGTAAAGAGTGCTTGAACAGGCGGAGTTGCAGTGTTTCGGGTGATACTCCGTTCATCTTGTGCGAATCACACGTTTCGAGGAAGTTGACCAAGTGGAGATGCGGATCTTCATGAGCTAATCCGCTGAACAACCCATTGTTTTGGAGCATAGTGAGGAGTCCCGCTCGAATTTCGAAATTGTTGGCTTCAATGGGGGGCTGCTGGATGCTCGATTGAAACCCATTGAGTGATGGAACGGTATACTCATGCAATGCTCGTTGACGAGGTGGTGGATTAATTAGCTGGCGTTGCCCTTGCTCATTGACGATTTCTCTCGCCGCATTCGGTAAGCGCCCTTGGTCATCTCCCCTACGATTATTCTCTTCTTCCATTCGCATAAAAAGTACCTAAACAAAAAATAATAAAAATAAAATAAGCAAAGAAAATAATTAAATAAAATAAATAAAACGGCTGAAGTAAGAAAAATTGCTCAATTTTAATATTAGGATAAATAGATAATTTAGCCGTATTCCCCGGCAACGACGCCAAAAACTTGTTGGGTGCTAAATACCAACACGCAAGTGCACGTATCGCAAACAAGTAATAAAGTGGACTCGTGAGAGTCGGATGTCGATCCCACAGGGAATACGCAAATTACCTAATCCTAAGTACCAAATTCTAACAATTATGATTTTTATCCAGCCTACGCAAGTTTGTCAAATTAAATCAATTAAACAACTAAATTAATTAAGAAAGCAAATAATACGGGAAAATATCAATTAAAACGGACCTAGAATTTTATCTTCCCCATATGCAAGAATTGCTCACCCAAATCCCCTCAATTATGAAATATATGATTCATGATTATTAACCCGAGACACTAATTTACTCATAACCCGCTGTCGCGTGTATTATGAGTCTATTATTCATAAACGATTCACTATATGCCTATGCAAACCAATTATGAATAAAGCATTAACTAACAAGTCTCGTAAATGGCTACCTAAGGTGATATCTGTATGTCTACGACACCACATGCAATTGACACACTCATCCGGTGAAAACTACTCGAAGGTTCTTCTACTTATCGTCTAATTATCAAAATAGCTCTGTCGAGTCAATCCCAATAATCACAGATAAAACACATAAATTGATCAAGTTCATGCACTAACAATCATATCAAGTAGAAGAAATAATCATAAAATCATAATTGCATAATCTCAAGAAAACGGGTTCACCATCCCCACATAGGGTTCCAACAAAATCTTAGATTAAAAACTTAGCTACTCATAACGAAAAACATAATAAAAATATAAAAAGACATAGATTAAGAAAAGATAGATAAAAGAAGAATTGTGATGAAGATTTGTCAATTCTCCGTCTTCGATTCTTCGTTCTCTCGCTCCTCTCGCTCCAAGGTTGTGTCAAAAAGTCCCTCTAATTCGTGCTTGGTTTGGGCTTAAATAGATGTCCCAACTTGGTAGATGATTTTAGGTTTCCTTGTGTGATTAAAAGTCCAAAATTGTCTCCAGCGTGTGTTGGCACGGCCGCGCGAAAATCAGTGCAATTCTCACACGGTCGCGCGAGAATCGCCGAAACCTTCTGCCCAATTTCTGCATTTGGCACGGCCGTCCTATTTTTAGGTGTAACTTTGGGACGGCCGTCCCGTTCCAATTTCTTCAGATTTTTGATTATTTCACTTTTGGCCCATATTTCTCCGAAATTGCAGTTTTGACCCCAAACTTTTCCAATTCTTCAATTTGTACCTAAAATACAATAAATCAACTTTTTAAGCACCAATTATCGTTAAATCACACCAAAAGCACAAATAAAGAAGTACGATAAAGTGTACAAATATACAATTAACACTGTCCTCTAAGTGCGTAGCCAAAATTGCATGAGACTTTTTTAACGGAGGATGAAGAGTTCTTGATTATAGGGTGTGACGGTTTATGGGATGTCATGAGTAGCCAATGTGCTCAGGTAAGTAAAAAATGTGATTAACTTCAAAATTTAAAAGCATTAACATAATATAAATATATTGGTTCAAGATGCATCCAATTTTACGGGAAATAAAAAATATTCCTCTTGGGACGAATAATAAGTACTAACTTTTTTCAATTTTTCTTTGCATTTAAGTTATGTCATTTGTACTATTATGATGATGTGATGTGGTTGTACATTGTTTTATATTCATGTTATCTAAAAAACATGTATAGGTGGAGAATATTAGTCGAAGATCTATGGGTCAAAAGAGTGTTCGAATTTCTTCAGCCTATTACGGTATGATGATCTATTTAAAGGCTGTTAGTATTGATGAATAACTTTAAATAAACATTAAACTATTTAAATTTTGAGGATTCATGTTTTTGTTCTTTTAGATAAGGAGCCATGTTCAAATATATTGTCGTGGAATACCAAAAAAGGTAGTTGCAGAGGGTGTTTGTATTTCTGTTATTAATGATGAAGAGGGAGTTGACGATTCATTGGTGAAAGTGTATATAGCAAATATATTGATACCCAATGAAAAATTGCTTAAATCGTGTGTCGGTGGTAAAACAATTGGAGAAGTTCTTCACAAGTGTATTGAATGGGAGTATATGAATGTATGTCAGTAATTTACCTTCGTTTTTACCTATAGCAGTCAAAGTAATTTAATAAGTTGTATTCTATGTAAAAATACATTTATCTGCTATCGTTTTATTTTAATTACAGGTTACGGAGATTTAGAAGATATTTTTCAAGGAGATCGTTGATGCATACGGATGATTTATTATTGTTATTTCACTTATTAGTATTTTGTTATTATGTGAATTGTTTTGTTGATCTCAAGAGAACTATGTAAATAATGAAGTTGGTTTATGAAAAAAAATTACGATTGATGTTTTACCCTTCAGTTATATTGCATAATTTTTAGTTTCAGGTTAATTTGATGTTTCACGAAACTGGTTTTGGTAAAGAATAGATATAATTATTTGCTACAGTATATATCTCGTAGTAAAATAGTATGCATGTTTTTGCTAAGGTATAATGTCGTACCAATTAATATATATTGGGTGTAAAAAGGAAGATGATTTTGCTAAGGTAAGAACCCGTACCAAATAAATTATTTTCTCCTACATATTTACTACAAAAGGAGGGCCGTAGTAAATGCTTTGAAAATTCGTAGTAAATACTATTTGCTACAATGGGTTACTGTAGTAAAGTATTAGTCACGCCTGTATTCACTACGGAGCAAAATTCATAGTAAAATCGTAGCGAAAAGGCTTTTACTGCGAATTTGGGACAATTTGCTACGAATTCAACTCGTAGCAAAAGTTCTAACCATAAATTCTTTAAAACGAGTAACTAAATTCGAAGCTTTATAAGACAAAAATTTAAAATAAAATAGATACCTATAGACAAAACGAGATGATGTCGTTGTTATAGATATAAAATAACAAAAAGTGGCAGTTGTCCGGATATAGTGTGTGGGGTGGTGAAGTGCACTTAGATACAATGTTAGGGGGAATTTATAGAATGTTATTAATTAGAAGAATTTATGGCTGGCTACTGTGAAGAAGAAGATTCAATTAATAGAATGAAAGCAGAAAGCCACGTGAGAAAAATGTAGGTATAGGGTTGTTTGCACAAGATTCAATTACCTTTTTTTTTTTTTTTAAGAGCAGAAGATTCAATTATTAGAATGACTCTGAGAACATACATCAGGAAAACTTGTGTTTTTGTTTTTTTTAAAGAATGGAAAACAATAAGTAAGGCTGAAAAAAAGATTCAATGGCAAAATTAAATAACTACTGTGAGCCCTCTGTATACAATGTAACTTGACCGTTAATTACTTAATTCATAGGTACAATGCTAAAGCTTGTGTAAATTATATATAGGCATGCAAAACAAATCAATAATTAATATGATATGATGGTGAGCTCGATCGAGATTATTCCTCAAAACAAATTATTTAATTAGTGACATCAATTCACCAAATGGAAATGTTTGTCATCCATTGGAACTCTCCTCTAACAAATTAAAAAGTAGTATCCCTTTCTTTCATTTCAACATTTTATATAACTAGGAAGGTGCACGTGTTTCGCACGTGTTGCATTAATTTTACATAATTAAATTATATTAGATTAAAAAACTAGAATTTCCCTATATCATCAGGTACAAAATTATGAAAGATATAACATTCTACCTAAATCATAGAATGACACCTTCAAATATGGATGCATCTTCTAACGCATGATTTGTATGTCACATTCAATATTTCTTTAGCCTCAAATTTCTTGAATAAGAAAACATTAAAAACAGATTATCCCTCTATTTAATTAGTGACATCAATTCACCAAATGGATATGTTTGTCATCCATTGGAACTCTCCTCTAACAAATTAAAAAGTAGTATCATTTTCTTTCATTTCAACATTTTATTTAACTAGGAAGGGGCACGTGTTTCGCACGTGTTGCATTAATTTTACAGAGTTAAATTATATTAGATTAAAAAACTGGAATTTCCCTATATCACCAGGTACAAAATTATGAAAGAAATAACATTCTACCTAAATCATAGAATGACACCTTCAGATATGGATGCATCTTCTAACGCATGATTTGTATAGTCACACAATATTTCTGTAGCCTCAAATTTCTTGAATAAGAAAACATTAAAAACAGATTATCCCTCAAAACAAATTATTTAATTAGTGACATCAATTCACCAAATGGAAATGTTTGTCATCCATTGGAACTCTCCTCTAACAAATTAAAAAGTAGTATCCCTTTCTTTCATTTCAACATTTTAATAACTGTTCACATTTTCCCTAAGACGACATGACAAATTTAATTTCTCACCATGTGATCATCCAATCATATCACACACACACACACACACACACACACACACACACACACACACACACACACACACTCTCTCTCTAGAATCATGGTGCGATGATAGTAGTACAATCATTTTTTCCCGCGTTTGGACGATATCGAACTAATAGAATTTTCATACAGCAATTTGAGAAAAAAACCTAAATAACCTGCAACACATTCAATTTACTATTACATTACAAATGATTCCAAATATAATTGATATACATCTCTTGATTAGATTACAGATGAGTTGGAAGTACTAACTAAATTGAGTAAATATTGTTTAAAAAGATGAAATTGAAGCACATGCATCTCCAAAAGTAGTCAAATTCATGGGATGCTACAAGCTAAAATGAATGAAAGATATAAATGATATATTTATTTACTATATGAACCTATAACAAAATATATATGAACAATTCTAATTTTGTACGAGGCACAACATATGACCTCAATCTACCATGTATATTCCAAAAAGTGGTGAGTTTGGTCAATCAATCATGTTTTTCATAAAATGAGAAAAGTATATGAACAATTCTTTAGACAACAGGGTCGAAGAACTAATTGAGTCGACAGGTTCAACCCGGCCGTGTTTTACTATTTCCTACTTGGTACTCCGTTCGTTCCATATTATATGTTGTTTCGGGTGGTTGCGCGTATATTAAATTACTCAATAAATATACATAAATTATACCAAAAATAACATAGTAAATACTAAAATATATTTGTCATTGTTTATTTTTTAATTAACTAATTTAGAATGCTAAGGGGCAAATTGACAATTAATGTTTTATTAAATTCTAAAATGACAAATAATTTGTTTGGCGAAAAAAACACAAAAAAAAAACACATAGCATTGGACATATAGAGTAATTAGTTACATATAATTTTAATAACATTATTTGATAAAAAAAAAATCAAAGCATGTACATTCATCATACAAACATTAACATTAAACATGTACTTAAAGATTCTAATGTATTACACTTAATCATAAATGAAGTAAATTTAAAAAATTTCAACAAAATAACATATATTATATTTTAGAAAATGAAGAGAACTATTGAGAGATACTTAATTTGAATATATGTATGTATATAAAAGTTCCCAACAACAAATACTTACTTGAATTGAAACTATTACTTACATACCATAAATTATTAAATTTGCAAGTAATAATAAAAATAAGATAAATCAGCAATTTGATGTAAATTACTAACAAGCCCAAGAACCCAAACCTAATACTATTCGACCATTGTAGCGCCTCAGTCTCTCCCACCTCTCTCTGGTTCTCCATCTCTACGTACGCCAAATTAATTTTGTTCTTCTTTCAATGTTTTTGCTTCCCTCACTTTACCGCTATCACGATCGGAGGGGCGGTCATTATGGCGCTGGTCCATGGCCCCGTGCTCAGCTTCCCATGGACACACCGAGGAGGCGTGACACCCTCACATAACCATGACGTTCAGCAGACCTTCAAGGGAGCCGCATTTATCATGGCAGAATGCTTTAGCTGGTTATCCTTCATGATTCTGCACGTAAGTTCTGCATATTATACTTTCAGTTCTTTTTGTTTTTAAAATTAATCATTTTGATATCTAATGTTGTTGTTAATGTGTAGGATGTCACGCTTAAATCGTATCCCGCGGAGTTATCTCTCACTGTCTGGATCTGCATCTTAGGAGCGTTTGAAGGAGCAATAGTTGCATTGGTCATGGACAAGACCAATGCAACAACCTGGGCAATTCTATGTCCTTTATTTTGTTGATCTGTCTTAACAAGTCAATATGGAATGGACAAAGATGTTGACAAAGTCCAATTTCTAGTGAAACTGCTCATAAGTAGATATTCATGAATCACACCACCTTTTTGTATTATTGATGAATATATTTTCTCAAATTCTATAAATTTACGATGTCTTCTTTCTGCCTTTTCAAGTTGTTTGAAGTTGTATTCTATGACATGTTTCTTGCTGTTAATTCACTTAATAAAGCTGATAAACCCTTATTATTAGCTGCTGCATTATGAATTATACCAAGAATTGACAAAACTATAAATTAAGAAAAGCTTGACTAATTTTATAATTATATAGTACCTCAACATGCTGGTTACATTTAAGAGTGAATAATTGCAGGGAGTGTTCTCTTCTGGAGTTACCTACTTTCTACAAGGGGTCGTGATGAAGCAAAGAGGGCCGGTTTTCGTGACCGCGTTCAGCCCTCTGAGTATGATCATAGTCGCGGTCGGTAGCTCTTTCATATTACCCTACTTATCTTTTTTTTTTTTGCCATACTTATCTTATATTATGCTAATTACAATAATTTAAAGTAAAATTGACATATTCATTCATGTATAGGATCATTGGTGCAGACGTGATCGTTGGGGGGCTTTATTTGTTTGTCTGGGGTAAGAAGAAATATGGTGATAAATCCGGTCTATCGGCTGAAGATGAAGAGAAAAATGAACAAACTGAAAATGTTACTGGACAAATCAGCAGCAGTGTTTAACCAATCATATCAGGGCATGTAATAAATAAATCCACGTTTTATGAACTAACTAGCAGCAGCCTTTTTTCCTTTTTTTTTTTTTTATTTTCTTTGGAAAGTATGTATGAACAATGAATCCTTTTCCTTTTCGTTTCTGGAAGAATGTAATAAATGGGTCATTTGATTCCATGAAAATGGTTTGTAGTTAATGTATTTGCTACAATTAGGTATAATTCATAAATTAGCAATGGATACTTACGCACCAAAAGAGAATTGCTAATGTTGTATATATCATAATCCGGTTTAATTCATAAGTTAGTAACGGCTCAATATTATTTAGATACTAAGCCATAATAATTGAGATTCATATTTAAATTTGTTTATGGAAGACATTTTTAAATGTATTTTTTTTAATTCATAGATTTAAGTTTTAAAACAGTTTTACACTTGTAAATAATTTCAAAACAGAATATTTTAGATTATGTAGTGGCGAAGCTAAGATTTCATCATCGGTGGGGGCGAACATGCATTAAAGATAGCGTAAACAAATTATAACAACAATGATTTTTCCAGTAGTGGCAAGTGTGAAATATTGATCCATGGTGGACTTAGAAGGGTTCGGGGGAAGCGTCTCTGGAAAAAATTATGTATTTATTTTTTGGGTTTTAGGTGCACTGAACTACACTGCATTCTCCACTGAAAGTGTGTGTGTGCATTGTTTGAAACTAATGTTTAAAGCATCAAAGAATTTGTACAGTTTATGATCAATAATATATTTAAAAATTGGTTGTTAATAAACACTTTATGATTTATAAATTTAATTTGAAAGATTATAAACAAATATTTGATTAAAAAATAATTAGGGTCGTTTAACCCGCTCAAAACTCTTTAATTGACATATTGGGCCATATATTGGGCCACCCTGGTCCAACTTGTTTTGCTATATATTTACATTAGTTAATATATTTACCCTATCTAATTTATACGATTTAGCTTACTGGATGTTTTTATTTTTACTGCAGCCCATAAAAACAGTTCATGCAATAAATATATTAAAATAGGATTGGAATTAAAAAACATTATTCGAAAATCCGCGGACTCAAAAACCACGAACCGCCGCCGGCCATTTACCCGCACCCCCCAACACTTTATTAACCACCGTTCACGTTGGCGCCAAACCAAAAAACAATAGCCTCCATTTTTCACCGCGCGCCAAAATCAAATTATTTCAGACAACCCAACACTCGCATTCCCGCCATTAATCCTCCCTCAAATAAAAACTCCAACCCACCCATTTCTAAAACCCAGAAAAAGAAAAAAAAAAAACAATTTCAAATTCTCGAAAATGGATATGTCAGAGATAGCAAAGAGACTGGGTCTCTCCGATTCCAAATATCTCGTCCGCAAAGCCGCCGAGCTCCGCCGCCTCGCCGACATTCAATTCGATTCCTCCATTATCGGCGTTGTAGGTTTTCATCAATCAAACCAATTTATTCAAATTCATCATCATTTTTTTTCTTAAATCTGTTTTATTTTTTCTCAGGGCGAAACATGTAAGGCCGTGATCTGCCTAGAAATCGCCGCTTCCAGGTAATTGATAACCCTAATTTAATTTTCTGGTTCTTCATCTAGGAAATTTGATTTTCGATTAATTTTTTTTTAAAATTGAATAATAGCAATTTTATATTTCATTAGGATGGATATTATATTCGATCGACAAACTGCGATTAAGTTGAGCGGGCTTTCCGAGAAAGCGTACAATAGATCTTTCAATTCAATGCAGAACAGCATCGGTGTTAAGTAAGCATTCATTGTTGTCTTGTTCTTCAATGCCGTTTATATACATGCTATATTAATTATATTGGATTATTTATTATTTATTTTATTTCTTTTGATTTCAATAGATTAATTTCCTTTTTTCGGGTAGGAACAAGCTTGATATAAGAGAATTGGCTATTCAATTTGGATGCGTTCGACTAATCCCTTTTGTTCACAAGGGGATCTCCTTGTAAGTATTGCGTTTATCCTCGATTCTCGGACCGTTTAATAATAATGAGTAGAATTCAAGAATTGGTCACTTTTATTAGCCATCGATTCTTGATTTTGATTTTTGATTCAATATGCACATTTTTTTTTGTTTTTAGTCGGCTCGTAATTAAAGTTAACGCGGACGATGTTTTTTTTTTCCAGGTTTAAAGACCGGTTTCTTGCTTCGTTGCCTATCTCTCGTAGGGCTAGTACTGATTTCGCTCGACCGGTTTTTACTGCAGCAGCATTTTACCTTTGCGCCAAAAAACATAAGGTGTGAGCAAGCTTCTTCGATACGATGCTTATTGCTCCTTTACGTTCACTTGCGAATTCGTTTTTACTGAATAGTTTAATCCAAATTTTGCAGCTCAAGGCGGACAAAATTAAGTTAATTGAACTCGCCGGCACATCAGAATCGGAATTTGCTAACGTAAGCATCTTCTATTATAGATACGCAACGGCTGCTTATATGGTTGGAAAATAAATTAGACATCTATTTGTAACACTCGATATTAATTTCAGGTAACTACTTCAATGATGGACCTATGCTTTGATGTATTCGGTATAGCTAAGGAAAAAAAGGATTCTAAAAAAATTCAAGGAAACCGAGGTAACGTATTTACGAAGGCTTTAAAAATAAAATTTAATTATAATAATAGAAACATTTTCGATGAATTTATTGTTTGTTCAATGCAGAGCTTCTAGATGCATTACCCGAAAAGAGGAGGCTTGTGGATGGAGGCTATTCTTCTAGTGATGGGGAGGAAGAGGTAATTAATAATCGATAATTGATAATCGATATTATCCTTAATGCAAGAACTCAATTAGTTTAAAGCAAATATTTTTGATAATATTTTCAGGGTTCGGCGTACAAGAAGCGCAAGAAAATGGAGAAACACGATCTTGACGAGTGGAAAGCTGCTGTTCTAAAGTCGAATAAACTAAGCAAAACTAGTGGCAAGCAAACGAAACTCAAACAAGGGACACTCGATTTTCTGAAGAAGGTTCCTTGAAACTACAGCAGAGGTTGTCTCCATTTTTTGTCACCTGCAAAGGCTTTTGATTTATTCATAAACTTTTCGAGGAGGAAACTGCACTCGAATTATGTCGGATTATCGAAAGACAGTTGACAGTAAATAACATTTTTGTTCAGTAGTTTTGATTTTTTCGTGGTTTAAAGAAATGTAATCACATAGGATTGAAATAAATTTAATATGTTTTTAATAATCCTTACTAAATGGCTCATTTTCTTTACTTAAAATACATTACATGTACTATGAATACATTAAATAAATATTTAAGATAGTAAAAAACTTGTTAAATATTTAAATTAATAGATTAATATTTAGATATTATAAATTTTCATATATTGGATGAAATTATTTAACTCATCAAACATGTACATTAAAAATTAAGATTTATTTGTAACATTTAATCCTAAATGTAAGAGGCAAGTTAAATGAAATTGGCAAAATTATAGTTTTCACCCCTCAAGTTTGCATCTATTTCACATTTGGTCCTTCATGTTCATAAAAAATACATTTGGTCCCTCGTGTTTCGATAATCTAACAGTTTTTGGTCCTCTCCATCAATTAACCGTTTAGTCTGCCAGTTAAGGTAGTGATGGGCACATGCTTGGTTCCGTTAGTTTTAACTGAAACTTGGCGGAAAAGACTTAAAATGTTGAATTTTTCAAATATGAGAGACGGAATGTATTTTTTGTGAACATTGAGAACTAAGTGCGGAATCTGTGCAAACTTGAGGGATGAGCCCAAATGATATTTCATGTTACAAATAAATACAATAAAACATGAGCATATGTTGTTAAAAAAATGTTATTGTAGAACTAATTTTTTAATATAAATATTTTAATCTAATATTTAAAAAAAATATACATGCTAAATATTTATTTAATATATTCATCCACAATGTAAAAACATTTTTTTTAAATGCAACGTGTCATTTTTTATGAACTAAAAAGTATATTGAATATGATGTTAAAATTATAATTTTTGTTACTACTTACACCGTTAGTATAAAATAGATTGAGCGTTAAGTCAAGGGGGGTTTAGTGTAATGTTTTAAAGTAAAAGGGTTAAATGTTACCTAGTGTATAACACTATGGCCAAATTGTAGTTTACCTTAAAAAAACTTTTAATTAATAATTTCTTAATTTAATGCCCATTTTTTATTACTACTTTTCAAAGCTGGAAGCGACAGGCGTACTATTATTGTCAATGCTAAATTATCGGTTTCCACGTGGCACCTAAAAAACATATAATTATATTTATTCCACCATAATTAATTAATCATAATTATCGACTTCGTGTTCTTCACTTTTCTTTTGCACGAAAACAATAATACACACATCTCCAATTCTCCATCAACCCAGATCCAATTTCCTTCTCTTCGCTAGGGTTTGCTGTTTAATTCCACGAACACAGACCCTAGCTTGCCGCCGTTCTTCGATTCGCAACCCAATTTTTTTTTATTTTTTTTAAATTTCTTCCGGCCGAAGATAAATTAGGCATGGAATTAACGAACGGCGGGTTGCAAATCTCGGACGAATTGCTGGGTACCTTCGCTCCGATAGTATTGTACTGGTTTTATTCCGGGATCTACGTGATGCTAGGATCGATGGAGAATTACAGATTGCATTCGAAGAAGGATGAAGATGAGAAGAATTTGGTGCCTAAGAGAGATGTTGTTGTAGGCGTTCTCCTTCAGCAAGTTGTTCAAGCTCTTGTTGCCACCATTCTGTTTGCGGTTAGTGCATTTCGTTTTCCCCCTTTTGTTATTTGATTTGATTGATTGTAAAAGGAATTATGATTTTTGTGCATTTAATGTGTCGATGTCTGTATGAAACTATGGAATTTAATGTTATAATGGCAAATATACAAATATAGAATTGAAGTGTATTGAATTCCGATAGAGGTGGTGATGGTGGTTAGAGAACAATCGTCTTTTGAGTGGAGAAGAAGGGGGAGATTAACTGTGGTTTTCTTACTATCTATGAACAATGATCCTAGAATCATAATTGCGATCGTCGATCGAATAATACTGTTTTTCCTTTTTCAAAGTTGTTCTTAATTAATAGTCAATCTTCCGTTTGTTTTGCGAAATTGAGTATTGGATCACAGAGATTTATCTATCTTTAGCATGGATGCCGAATCTCAGATTTATATAGTTTCTTATAAAGAACATGTGTGATTCATACATACTCGAATGTGGTAATAGTGATGAAAAATTACCGTGAACACTTTGAATTATTTAGTCATTAGAAGCTTAAATGGTGAGCATTAGCCGAGTCGGATGATTAACTACACCCTGATTCTAGGCTGATGATGCAATTTTAAAAAGAAAATTAAAAAAATCAGTAGATGCCAGTCTTGCGTACAAAGTTTCGTGACCTTCTACTTAGATAATTGAATTGATTTGCTAGTATTTAAAGGATTCCACATAAATTTCTTATAGTATGGATGGACTTTTCCTCGACAATCGAGATATTTATGTGATTCAAAGTGATTTGATTAGTTATTGAAGAAAAGGATCCGAATCTTGATCCTGTATATAATGATTAGCATTGGAAGAGAAGTATCTGAAATATGATTGCAATTACATCTAGCTACCGATCAATTTTGCCTTCATTTATTTGGGATCTGTTCATCGTGATACTTCCATATCAAACAGTACCATAATAATTTCCGATTATGCTCCACAATCATAATTTCTGACGCAAACAAACGAACTATATTTTCTCATGCAGGTCACTAAAAACGACACCGAATCTGAATCCAAACAAGCCCAACACCACACACCCCTTGTAACTCTCGTCAGACAATTCCTAGTTGCAATGATGGTATTGGACACGTGGCAGTACTTCATGCATCGATACATGCACCACAACAAGTTCCTGTACAGGCACATACACTCCCAGCACCACAGGCTGGTTGTACCTTACGCATTCGGAGCGTTGTACAATCACCCGATCGAGGGCGTGCTGCTCGATACAGTTGGCGGTGCTCTGTCATTCCTGGTTTCCGGAATGTCCCCTCGAGCTTCCATTTTCTTCTTCTCGTTCGCAACCCTAAAAACTGTGGACGACCACTGTGGGCTGTGGCTGCCATGCAACCTTTTCCAGCTCTTCTTTAGGAACAACTCGGCGTACCATGATATTCATCATCAGTTATATGGCAATAAGTACAATTTTTCGCAGCCGTTTTTTGTGATGTGGGATAGAATTCTTGGTACTTACATGCCTTATAGAATCGAGAAGAGAATTGAAGGGGGTCTAGAGGCTCGGCCTGATAAAGATTCCAAGGTAAATTAATCGGGTTTCCTTTTAATTACTAAATTCAGCTCTCGAGTGGATTTATGAGTTGTATATACGTAGATTTTTGTTTTGGGTGTTGTATTGTGGATAGAAGTATTTGATGAGGGAGAAATGAAAGCGGAAGCTTTTTATTTCGTGGAGGCTTTTGGTGCCCCGTTTTTTTGGTTTTGTGATCTGTCGATAGTATTTGTCTGTATTTTTAGCTGTGTTGAGGCATTTTGACTGCATATGGATATTTCACTTGAGTTCCATTGGTCACTTATTAAAATCCAATTTGTTCGTGCAAATCCAAATCGTGCAATCAAGATTCGATTTTTTCGGAAGAAATGTGACGTTAACATAGCGTGGTTGCCTTGTCTGGGTTGGTATATGATGTTTTCTGGCATTAAATGTTGTTTCTTTTTGCCTTAATAGAAATATATTTATTTAACAGTCAAAATATTTCAATCTCATTTGGTATATGGTGTTTTCTTGCATTTAAAACATTTATTATTGCGGCCTATTAATTAAATTGTAACAAATTTTGGATCTATCTGCTATTAAAAACTCAAATCGGTCCAGATTTTCAATCAAGGCTCAGAAATTTGTATTTAATTTCTTTGCATTTATAATTAGTTAGATAAGAGGAGGTCTCATGCCTCAAGGCCATCCTGGTTGTGGCTGTCCGGTGGGCCCGCCCGCCATTAATACGATGATCGTTATGTCTCTCTCTCTCTCTGTGTGTGGCTTTCGTTTGAGAGCAAACTTATTTTCTCGAGTTTTCGCAATCAGTATTGAATTAGTGCGACTTAAAACGGAAAGGTCTCTCGTAGTGACCACATGAACTAGTAATAGTAGGCAAGAAGATTGAGATTGTTAACATGCATTTGTTGCTTCTTATTTGTTATCGATACGACTTACTCTCACATAATAAACTCATGAAACAAAAAAAAATGTACATACATGTAATTACTTACACCTCCGTGCAGCATTCAGTTGCGTCTTAATAGTTACACACAAAGATAAATAACTGATCTTATGACTCCAACAACTTGGTAATAAAGAAAATAAAAAAAAACAGACAGTGAAACATAAAATATAACATACATATAGTTTTTGTTTTTTTTGTTTACTAAGTGTACAGGAGATGTGCTGCAGCGGTTCCAGGCCGTGATAGAACGCGCGCATCGAACGACTGTCGTCTGATGCGAGAATCAAAACCCGCCACCTTAATCTCCTCATGGAATCTCGTCAGCGGCTGTATTAAAGATTCCCCCACAAGATGCCTTCTTGAGTTTGAAATATTACCTAACTGCTCGTTCGATCTATTGTTATTATTATTATTATTATTATGAGCATCTCCAACAACACCAACAGCTTTATCACTCTTGCAACCCGAAAGAATACTCGGCCGAACTACTTTAGGCACTACTTCCTTCGACCCCGTTTTGGAATTGGAGTATTTTAATTCTTCGGAATCGGATATAGCGGAGAAATCTGCAGCGCTGGCAGTGACAACACTCCACTCGATGCTGGCCTCGCTCGGCGCGTAACAGTTTGTTGGAGTTACGCACGAAAGCCCGTCCGATGCTTGCCTCGATAGATAAGAGCTGTTTCCTTTCGATAGGCTCTCGATTTCGAACAAATCCGAACTCGCATCGCTGTCGCTGTCGTTGTCCGTTCTTGAAATTTGTGGGATTTTAGTTTCTTGATCTGCATCCCAGTTCATCATTGTTAGCTTCTCCTCCAAGCTTAAGCAACTATTATTATTATTATTTTTCTTTTTCTTGCCATTATCTTGTGGCTTTCCATTCTTGGAGTTGAAAACAGGGAAGCTGAAGTGGCCCTCGGAGCTAACTCTGAGCTCCGATTCTTCGAATCTCACGCAGGTATACTCCGACAGCGATTTTCGAACAAGATGGTCTCTGGTTTTGTGATTTTCTTGTCTTGATTTTCCGTTTTCGATTACTACGGAATTTTTGTCGGTGCAGGAACAGTTGCAGCCAATGGTGGCAAGAAAGCCCTTCTTGTAATTTGCTGGTTTTTTAAGGTGGTGCTGCTTTTTTGAGTTGGTTTGTAGTAACAATGTGCTCCGGCTATTCGAGCTCGATTCCGAACGGAGACTAAGAGTCCCGTTTGATTTGGTGCCCTTCTCTTTACCCGCGAATATTTCGACGGGTTCGTCTTTTTTCGATAAAATTTTCGCACCGACTGCTTTCGGAGTAGCGTGGTTCGTCAGCCCTTCGTTGAAGTACTTCTCTGCATCGAAGACGTCGATTTCTCTGTCGTCGGATTTTTTCTTTCCGACGAAGTTGTGATCCTGCGTGGCGCCGCCGCCGCCCAATTTGAGGACGAACGTTTCTTCGGCTCCGTCCAAGAAGGAAGAAAACGAAGGGTCGCGGGTGTTTTTCGTGATTATTTCGGATGTTTTGGATGATGAAGTTCTTGTTATTATTATAGGGGTTGACATTTTTTTTTCCTTTTTTTTTGGGGGATGGAATTAAAAGGATCTAGTGATGGATCATGCAAGAAAAGGTGAAGCAAGAAAGATTGAGAATAGTGTTTCTTGATATGAAAGAATATTGTTGAAACTGACTTGCAGAAATATTAGTTTGCCTGATTTAAAGACAGAGGGAGAAGAAATTGAATTTTAGATTGGAATTTATGAGAGCAATCACCATTTCTTACATGCATATATAATAACTAGCCTTAGGACCAATGTGCAAAATGACAAATTTTTTTTTTTTTGCCTTAGTTATATCTAAATAATGACTTTATTTTATTTTATTTATTTTTATTGAATTTTGGCATTCATTATTCTTCAATTTTAACACTTGTAGCACGAAAACTTCAATTTCTTAGCGTTTTGGATACGTTTTATGTTTGACACTCGAGGACACATGTCGGACACCTTATGGGTCATTTTACAATTTCTAAAAATTAGGGACATATTTGAAAATCTATTTTTTGTTGCTTCCCTTATTATTTACATAATTTCATGATCAATTGCAAATTGATAAGGTAAAATATATTTTGATATATGTTTCTATAACATGTTTATAAATGCACCCCTATATTTTTAATATTTACACGTTTTCCTCAAACTTTTCGTATCTCCATTTTTGGGACATGCTGTCCGTTTTCCCATTTTTCCTTATCGTCATTTCTGTGTCTGTGCTACATAGATTTTGACCGCAGAAAACACTGTTGTCATCCATTTTTAAACTTTTATAATCTAGGTTTGATGTTGATGGGATTTGGACCTAACAATTTATTCACCTTATTTTTATTGCAATTTTCTTTTCTTTTTTTCCTTCTGCATTTAGAGGCATCAAATTATTGATTTCAAGATAGAGAGAGAGAGAGAGAGAGAGAGAGAGAGAGAGAGAGAGAGATATTTCACTTGTATGGACAGACAAAAACTCAGCACCACAAAAATGGCAGTACCACCACATAGTGAAATAGGTGCATGTGAGATATACTTGACTAGTTTATCCATTTTCGGACAAGGAAATAAAAACCAGCTACAGTATTTCTTTTTCTTGCTACAGTTACATTTTCAATGGCCACAAATTTTTTCCTTGTAATAATAATTATTTCAAAAATTAATCATTTCAACATGATTTAGCACAGTGGCCAACTCATAGGTATCTCTGTAGAACCTATTTTTGTTCCTTTTTAGGTGGTGGATTAGACTTTTCCCTTAGTTTCACACTGTTTTTGCCTAATTTAATTACCCTCAAATGATTTTTGTATCAAATCTATTTTTCCTTGAAGTAACTCTCACTAAATAGTTCTTGATTTTTTTTTAATTTTTTAAATTAAAAATAAATCCAAATTTCGTATGATTGATAATAGGGTATTAGCACATAGTGTCGGTGTGTGAGCAATTACTTGTAAATTATTTTAATGTTACGTCCCTCCGAAAAAATTGCATCATGTCGTAATTGTTGTATAATTATCCTATCCTAACACATGAGAGGTTGTAACATTCTCGTGTAACTTGTTTGCAATTTTCGAATGTTTTTTTTTTTAAAACGAGGGAGTGCGCGAATGTACATGGTCTGAAGCTATGATTGGACATGTTCGAGATTCTTGTGAATTATATAACACAGTAGATTACAAGATTGTATTTGACTATAATTCAACATGAGCAAATGAAGACGGACTTCATTACATGTGACAACTCCAAGAACATAGTCGTATCGTGAGATTTCCTCCGGTCAGCAATAATAAGAGCTTAAACAATAACAAAATTTTCGCTACACTTACTTATTTCGCTAAAGTGGTTTGAGAAAAACATGTTAAGTCTACTGACTTGCGTAGATATTTATTCGAGCGCGCTCCCTTGCTCATTTGCATTCTCTACAAACTCTCCTTAAATTATTATTTGTATTTAGCTGTATTACATTTATTTTACAATAACAAAATTTTCAAAAATTATTACAACAATTATTGCAGCAGAGAAATATAGAGTTGTTTTGTCAATGATAATGCATGTTGTCCCACGGTAACTTGGCTTATTCCAAATTTTCAATGGCGAACTGCAACCACTAATAAATAAAGTCTCTTCTTCAGCACATTAATTAATTAATTAAATTATATATATATATATATATATATATATATATATATATATATATATAAATACATATATTCAGTCAATTAAAGACTGTGCATGAATTTATGGCATGTGTCATATTTTTAACCTGTTTTGTGACAAAATAATGGTGTGGGGAGAGTTGTATAATCTCATACCAATTGTCGGAAAATTTATCAGCACATAAATTTATTTGTGAACAAACAAATCTATATTTCACCATTACAAGTGTCCGGTTGTTGAACACATAATTTTTTTTTTTGGGCTACAATTTAATTTTCATATTTTTTTTTCCTTGGGCTGTTTGGTTTTGGTCGTTTTTTCATGAGTTGGCTATCACGTTATCATATCGTATAGTAATGTAGATTTTACATACGAATATGTGTAACCCGTGTAGTAAATTTTTCTAATTGTACGTTTATATTACGTACTTTATATATATGTTATCTGAAATATTAAATGTTATTATCAATTTTACTAATAGCGTTTTGACTTTAAACATCGTTTTGACCATTTTCTAATCAGATTTTGGCAAAATGCAAAATGTGGAAGTTGTAGACCTTTGAAATATCTTTTTAATTCAACTTGAATCAGCTGAATCGGATATCGGGTAACAAAATTACGCATGAAGGCAATATTGTTGGCAATATTCAACTATTCATAGTCAATGCATGTATTTCTCACCCCAAACATCCACTATTGACAATTCAAATCCGATTAGAAAGTTAGTAAAAATCGTTGAAGTCGAAACATTATATTTAAAATTGAAACAACATTCATCACATCGCGTCATTTAAATATATGTGTGTATTTCCTATGAATCGTACGTGTGGCTATAATGTAACCAAAACCAATTATTAACAATAAATCAATAATGATACTATAACTATATAAATAATCAAACCTTAAAAAAAATAAAATAAAATAAATAAATAACATGGCATGATCCTCATAATTCAATAACAACAAAAACAATACGTCAATAGTTTGGTTCCTACATTACAAAGAATTTGTCAACTAATGCTTACAATTCACCTTAAAATCCATAATACACACCACATGAGCAAAAATATAGTTTGTGCTTCAACACACAAACAACTCTAGTGTGGAATTGTTTTCTTTTGTTTGTACTTTGGGGTGACAATGTTGACATCAATGAAAAAAAACACACAAACACCCGTGTGCTGTCTCTTTCTCTATAACGATAAATCTCGAGAAGAAAAAAAAAATCATTAAGGAAAAAATACGCGTCGCGACAATAAATATTGAATATAAATAATCAAATATAACAAAATGCGAGTGACTGTCTCTCTCTTGATAATGTTGGGGGGGAAATAAATTGCATTAGTGTTACAGAATACAAACTATAACTTAACTGACCTAAAACCCGACACCAACTTCAACCCTTTCGTGGCAAAATTACCGATTCGATAAGACTCTCTTGTGGTGAAATTTCTTGGGGAATTAAATAAGAAATCAAAGAATTGCCACTCGAGTTTTTCATAATATTACGAAAAATTGGTGTGAATTGTGATTGGTTTTTCACTGAGGAGAAGTGGAGTTGCCTACCCAGTATTGTTTAACTGCGACGAGTATTTTCTCGGGGACAAGTGGGCCATCCTCGTGGTCCATCATTTTGGAGTCCCATTTCATGCCACCGATTATCTTCCTCACTTTCACAAGTACGTCAACTTCGTCTCTGAATATTACTGCACCTTCTGGTCGAAGGATTCGGTCCATCTCTAACAAAATGTCTTCAAAGTCACACCTGCGTGTGTATGCACGTAAAAATGGATTACTTATTACGACAGAAAAACGAGTATATGTTTTTAAATGGTCCAGTTTGTTTATGAATCTTGAAATACTATTCACCCTAATTACCTTAAATTCATGATATACAGAACATTGTGTCGTCTATTTCTTTTTCAAGATCTACGTTATTCCAGTCCTCTTTTAGGAAAATCGTGTGCAATTTTTTGGAGAGATGCAGTCATGTGGTGGAAAAAAGAAAAAGAAATAGAAGACAAAATGTTAATTGGAGTAGACACTGACTGGACTATGGAGCATCATTATAGTTATAAGCTCTTCTATTTCTTAAAATTTTCTTACGGTTGAGAATTTTTTCACAAAAGTTCATCTCCAAAACTCGACACTGATCAATGCCTATATAAAAAAAGACTGGCTCAATGCCTGCATCTGGGAAAAATCAAGGGATGAAAATACTTACTTGTCCTTGTACAAGCTAAAAACACCATTAGCATGAATGAGATCGTATGTCCTTGGATATGTAGAGAAGGCTTCACACCTAGCAAGAAAATGACAATTGCACAACAGTGTGAAAACAAAGGAATTTGTTAAACAGATAGATCAGTTGTTCAACTTAAACCTAAACCTGAAAGCAAACAATGGCAATTCCTTTTAAATGATATATATGGTCACATGAAAGATGCAAGAACTGGAAAAGATCGTATCAGAAGAAACGGAAAAAGTCATTTAACTCTATGTTTCCATCATTAAAACCACATTCTTTTCTATAATTTTCAGAGTAAATTCAGTAACATCAAAGTAATAAGTGGTGAGAACAGCACAATTGCTTACAAGACACGATAAAGAATGACCAGAATAATATGCATACCAGTCATGATATATTCCAATCAATCCTCGTTCATAAACAACACCGAGGGTATTTTTCTCGGCAATAGTGGGGACAACATTCATGACCCAGAATTTCGGAGAATGAAGTGCAGCAGCAAAACCTCCAAGTCCAGCATTCATATCCATAATGTTTCGGTACCTTCCAGAATCAATAATCTGGTTGATCTTTCTATAGGCATTGACATGTTTTTTCCATTGTCTACTGTCCTCCATGAATGCCTCGACGGAAACCCCAGGAACGGAACCACTGGCAATTCTCGGGGGTACAGCATAAAGCCTCTCAGGGAATGGTTTAAGATCTACGATGTTATCATTATCATTAGGAGTTATACATTGCTCCATTTGCTTGTACCTATTCAAAAAGAGAAGCATTCAGTCAATGAAACCTCTATATTACTACTATGTATTCTTCACATTTAAGCTATTCGTACCAGACATCATCGGTATCGTCAGATTTACAGAATGTTGCTCCAGAACTTTCTTGTTTGGCACGGCAAGCAGCGGAATCAAGTGTCTTCTGCCATATAGCGATTTCACCTTTCTCGGACTTTTTCTCCCAGCAGAGAAGTTTAGCGGCCTCTTCGATCTTTCTTTGTTCTTCTTGAAGTTCTTCCATTGGTCTTTGCCATGCCTTGTAGTTAATCTTCCAATTGATGGGCGGGCCTGAAAGCACCCAATAGCCACCTGGTCTAAGCACACGATCAACTTCCTTCATATACAATCCATCTGCAAAGAGGAAGTACCACATTTACACGGAAACTCTTCACAATAGAAGGGTTGAATATTATAATTGTATCTTACTTTCTGAGTACTATCAAGCTATAAGTAAATTTAGCTACAGCTCAGTTTGTACATACTAATTGTGCCAAGTATACAAGATAAAGATTCGATTTTTACCATTTATCCCCCATGGAATAAGACAACGGGAACAATGAGCCATGTCAAAAGCTCTGGATGGATACGGAACTTTTATTGATCCAAGAACACCAATGACAGCAGGTACACCCCTTTCTAGAGCAAACTGAACCTGGGCTTCGTGTGAATCTCTTGGCGCGAAAGACATTGCTATAACATTTCTTTTCCATAGATATGCTCCCCAACTTGCCACCTAATACAACAAAATATAAATGCAATATTAATCACATTTATACCCACAAATTATCAAGGACCAATTCAAGACATTCAACATACCCCACAACCAGTGTCCAATGCAGTCCTAACAGTACCATTTGCAATCGGTATAACCGAAGCAAGCTGGTCAATGTACTTATCGGCCCCTTGGGGAAACTGTGTTCCGCCACCGGGAAACCTAAACACATTGCCCTCGTACTGGATCCAGTTCTGAATAGCTTTCTCCACCGTCAAACTCTTGTATGGGGCATTCGCATAGGGTACATAATCGCGACTCTTCGGCCATCGAAACGGGGTTACGTATCCTTCAGGAGCTGGAATAAGGCAATGCAACTTCTCTGCCTGTGGAGGGCAGTGCCTCTCACGGTAGATCATATTTTCCCTCGGGAAAGTCATTGCACGTCCTTGATCTTGGCAAGGCGTGTAATCGGTGTACCGAGTGTGACATGGCTTAAATGCCGTCACTTTCGAATCTGGATCGTCGATTATCCCAGCTTCACCGCCATGATGGGTTTCAAAATTGAGGTTTGGGAGAATGTTGCAGTTTTCTCCACTTTTCGTCATCTCTAGTGCTATGCTGTCCCCTTTGCCGAACCCACTTCTCTGCCATGCTCCTAATAGGTAGAAGAAGCAGCAAAGACCAGCTACTATAAAGATAGAAACGGAACTCCTCGTCCTATTGTCCCCTGAATTGAACTTGTTCGCCATCACACTCCTGTAACATATATTAACCAAATTTAGAGCCAACAATACAAAAAGTAGTCTGACATAAAATTCATTCTTTTTAAATTAATATACAGAGGTGTATGATGTAAGACGGCATAAATATGCATTAAGCTACAAAAAGCAGTTACACATCACATCCAGAAACACACTTGTTATTGTTTCTTTTACGGTGAATGTTACTTATATGTACTGTAAGCAGATTTACGTCTATCCACAGCCATAATACCATGATCCATCTTTAATATAGACTAATGTAACATAAGCAGATCTAGATGTTAAGACAATAAAGACTAATAGTGCAAGATTGGATCAATCATCAAAACACCATGAGATCGAGCAGGAAATTAAAGGTCTAAGCTTCAATAAAACTGCATCTAAATCAGATTCCCAATTAATTAACTCCCAAATCAAAATAGATTTGCTTTAAACAGACGCGATTAATAAACACTAAAAAAAAAGAGCATAGATTTTGCTTCAGAGAGGGGAAACATCAAATTATTCATTCATACTCCAATAAATAAAAAACTGATGCCACCACTCAAACAGTGTACTAGAATAGCCAACAGAGAGCATTCAGCTAGCAAAAGATCAAGCACATCAAACAAAGGCGCTAAAATGCAAAACAAAACAAAACAAAAAAAAGCAGAATACGTACAGAAAGCATTAAATCTCTTACCCAATTGCATCAGTTGATGCGAAATCCTGATTCGAGATCTGGAAATCTCGTATCTTTATTGGTGTTTTCTTCACACTCCGAAAATGGTAAACGACAGATCCGATTAACAGCGACTACAAGACCTAATTTTAATATTGAGCAAAATATCTCTCTCAGTGATGAAAATGATGTATTGATTTCCAAATGTATATATTTTTTCTATTATTAATATATATATATATATATATAGATATAGATCGAGCATGCACGTCTCTCTCTCTCTCTCTCTCTCTCTCTCTCTTCTTTCTCTCTCTACCCCGAGATGTCGCAAGACAAAGAAAATCTCGGTTCTCTATTACGCTGTTAATTTAATGCGCTAATCATGAAAGGAAACTTTCAGGTTGGCCCCAGTATTAGTGTTAATTACCCCATTCGCCTGCTTGACTATTTATGTTGACGAATATACCCTCGTCAAACAATTTTTTTTTTTTTTAGAATTTGCAAGAAATGATTTTTTTTCACGAAAATACTATGGTTAATTACAAGTTTGCACATTGTAAATATAGTATCTTGTTACTTTGTACCCTCGAAATATGAAAAATTGTTCACAAATGCATCAATACTATTTTTCTAAAAGTGTATCGAAGTTTTTATAGTACGGTGATAAAATATGTAAACGTTCGAAATAATTAATAAATAAAAACATTAATTTGACATTATACACGCCGAAAATAAATGTTATCAAAAATACATGAATAAACCAATTAACTTATAAATAAAAGTTATATGATGCACTATTGCATACTCCTTTCATTTCAAACTAAAAGTCGTTTTACAGAAAATATGAGTTCCGTACTATCTGTCACGAGTTCTAGTAATTCGTTTATTATATTTTTCTAAATTTTGCGCAGATGGTCCTAATTAATGGGAGTGGAGAATACTTAAAAGGGTGTTTGGATCTATTATTAAGTGTATTTTCTTCAAAACTCATGCATAATTGTTAGTTTCTTTATAAAGTGCCGATTTATTATGAAACATAGTGACTGATTTATTGCATTAAGGTATACGATAATATTAAATTTTCTCTACACCATAACCATAACACTACGTTCAAGGATGCAAAGTTAATATAAACTTTTAGGAGACGCATATTGATAGAGAGCATAAAAATATGGGGCAGAAATGAGAATATCAATTTAATGGATGGGTTGGTCATGTATTTTCGTAATTTCCAGGGGTAAGGATGCCCCAAAAGTTTTCTCACCAAACCATGTCCGCGTCCCGCTATTGAACACGGATCTACAGTGGGTCCCACACTAACGGGGATCTTTTCATTAGACCCTGGCCCACTTTGCTCCAATTAGGGGTATGTATGCAAAATTATTCTGTTACTTATTTAACTAGTAACCAAACCCGTGCGTTGCACGGGATTACATATTTCAATGAAATGACACAACAATAACACAATTATTAAATCGAAAACCATAAATTGTGACAAATATAATGTACACTTAAAAAACATCCATATAAAAAAACACTTCGAAATTGCACTTAAACCGCTCAGAAGATGCGTGCACTTCACCGGTACCCAAGACATTACTGCAGATTAACAATTCCCAATAGCATCATATATGAGTTCAAATAACACAAAAAAAATTATTGAAAGAAAAATACGAAACAAATATATGGAAAGCAATAACCTTTGATGTTGTGTGACAATTCAGTCTTTGAGGCAATGCATTCATTTTAATGATTTTGCATCTTCACACTCTGCGAAAATAATAAGAACACATTATGCATAGTAGAATGTAAGGCTTACATAAGAACTGAAAAACTGTAAATAAAAAATACCTTAAATTTTGAAATACTTCGTTATAAAAAACGTTTGTTGTATTTTTTGAAGTATTTCCTTCTTTGTCAACTATAAGTATCTTCAAACTTTTTCGACTGGTAACCCTCGAAATAGCTACGTACAGTTGTCCGTGAGAGAAAACAGGCTTTTCAAGATATAGACCAACATTTTGGAGAGATTGACCTTGGCTTTTATTTATTGTCATAGCGAAGGAAATAACAATGGGAAATTGTCTCCTCTGAAAGTGAAACGAAATTCTATTGTGTGACGGTGTTAACGACAATCTTGGAATGGAGAACTTATGTCCGACATTAGAGCCTGATATTAATTTTGCTTCCAAAACGCGACTTCCCAACCGAGTAATGGTCAATCTTGTACCATTACACAACCCATTGGACTGGTCTATATTCCTCAATAACATAACATGAACACCTCTCTTCAACTTTAATTCATGGTTTGACAGACCTGAAGATGTAATAATATTCAAAAACTCTGGAATATGAATGTCATGATGTGAGTCGACACTCTCATTCGCCGTAAATGGACTATCGAAACTAAGATAGACTCTTTCCTCTTCCGGAACCAAAGACAGCATGTAATCGTTCACCTTCTCAGCAATTTCATTAGTAGGTACCAATATAGCTCGTTGTTGTAAGTATTCAGAATCCATGATATCAGCGAGCAAATTTGGGTAAGTTTCTTCAGCAATTGACGCTAAATGGTTACCTGATGATTGTATGAGCAAATCATCAGGTTTCTCAATGTCCATAACTCCATCATTATCATCACCATTAGTACCATCGCCTATACTTAACACCTAATCTGAGAAGTTCTTCAGTTCCTCGCAATTAGAACTTGTTGAAGAAAGCCTCATATTTTTTGTTAATGTTAACACTTCACAATGCCGCCACAAATGTGAGGAATTTATGCTCGCTGACACAACTTGTTGTCTTATTCCCTTTGGCACGACATACAATATTTGTCTAAAATCACCTCAAAAAACAACTATTTTGCCACCAAATGGTTTGTTCTCATTTTCAGGATCATACTGGCTTAGGATATCCTTCAAAGATTGATGTAAGACTTCAAAACAATGCTTGTTAATCATCGGAGCTTCATCCCAAAGGATGAGTTTCGCTTTCGTTATCAACTCCGCTAAATGGGACTCACAAGCAATGTCGCAAGTAGATTCTTCATGAACGTTAAAAGGAATGGCAAACCTCGAGTGAGCTGTTCTTCCACCAGGAATAGGTAAAAATGTTATCCCACTTGAAGCAACTGTGAGTACTATTTCACCTTTTGACCTTAAAGCTGCCAAAAACGTTCTCCAAATATAGGTCTTACCAGTACCTCCGTAACCATAAAGGAAAAATAAACCACCACGTCTTTCATTTACACAAACCATAATCTTATCATAGACAATCCTTTGTTCGTCATTGAGACTTGATAATAACTCTGAATGTTCGGCAGCTAATGCACTTTTGTCATAATTAAGTTCATCATAGATAAGTCTATTTTCAACTTGTGGGAGAAGAGGCATGTTTGGGAACGGCATTGTTGGAAAATCAGCTAGACTCTTATGTACTTCGCATCTTTTCTTCAATTTCTATTAAGGCAAATTTTTTTAAATCATCTTCATCAAGCTGCAAATATGAAATATAAAAATTAATTTAATAAATTAGCAACAATGCAGAAAATAATAAATGAGAGAGAAAATAAATTTTGTAATAAATTTACCAAATACTTGAAAATATATGAAAAACTACCTTCACGTTGCAGTATAGTTCTTTGCGTACGGAGGATATCATCACTCAAAAAATGCCATGTTTTATCCCAAACATATTCAGGCCATGCCATTTGATTCGACAATAGAAGAGTTGTGAACATATTTCATAGGAATTTAGCAAACCCCCAATGGCTTGCTTCTTCAATATCATCTATGTACTCCTTATCATCATCTAACAAACCAATTGCATAGCAATCATCTCTAAACGTAGGAAAACCACATTATTGATGGTTCTTAACTCAATATATGAAGAAGGCCCCCTAATTATATTGAGTAAGATTCTTAAATAATATAATTCACCACTTCCTGGGGCTACGTAATGAATTCTTCCAATAGAGAATCCTTTCTTTCTGGGAGTCCATGCACGTAAATGTTGTTTCCAGACGAATTTCGTTGGGGATTCTGCATAGGTAAGGCCCTTTGCCTCGGTATATGTAAACTTTGCGTCCATCCATGCTAATTTTATTTTTTTATTTCAATACATGTGGCCTCTCAATAACCGATTCAAGAGACTCATCACCATAAAAAAATATAACTTCTTCGTTGGGCAGGTGAATAGGCAAACGCTCGACTTCCGGTTCTCTAAAAGGAACATCAAACACAAATATTCGCCACACTGTTTCACATGGTGATAAGTAGGGGTGTAAACGAGCCGAGCCGACTCGTGAGCTCGAAGAGCCGGCTCGTAAAAAGCTCGAACTCGAACTCGAGATTTTCGAGCTCGAGCTCGAGCTCGAGAGCTCGAGCTTTCTGATGAGCCGAGCTCGAGCCGGTTTTCAGTTGTTCATAAGCTCGCGAGCCGGCTCGCGAGCCGGATTTATTATTATTTTTTTATATTTTTTATATGTTATTTTTATTTAAATAATGTATAATAATGTAAAATATTATAAAAATAAATACAAATATTAAAAATATATATAATTACAATTTAGTTTTTTATTTTTTATTTTTTTAAATAATTTTTAATAATAAAATAATAATTAAAAAATATTTAAAAAAAAACAAAAAAAAAAAAAAAGACAATGGGCTCGAGCTCGAGCTCGACGCAAGTGACACGAGCTCGAGCTCGAGCCAAAAAAAGAGGAGCTCGCGAGCTCGAGCTCGAGCTCGAGCCAGCCAAAAGAGGCGAGCTCGGCTCGAGCTCGGCTCGTTTACACCCCTAGTGATAAGTATCTACAGTCAACGTACATCTTGATCTCATCATAATTTTCAGATTGTGAGTCGCCAGATCATGTTCCATAAAAAGTTGCAGTAACACGATCATGACCTTTGTTGATGTAGTTGAAAAGATACTTAATTGATCTTGATTAGTTGCACCACTCAACATTTATATGCGTCTTGTACCTTTTCATTAGATATGGATTATAAGGCACCACAAATCTATTATCAACATCATTTTTTCCTTTTTTGTCTACCCTACCATTATCCTTCCCTTGTACGGTGGATAACCGTCTTTATCATTAGAGGTTGGATTAAATACACCCGATCATTGACTTTTTTTAGGAAGTGCCTTGTACACTGTCTATCATCCATGCATGAAGCAGTTGGATTAAATACACCACATGGACCATGGATCATGAAGAACTAACACAACTATGAAGCACACGATCTTCATTTTCATCAGGGATTTCAGCAGATATTATCATACATTCACCCTTGAGAAGTCTTGTTATCTCGATCCAATTCTGATTGCATGTCAAAGTAACAAATAAATCAGGATATCCAGCCCATCGACATATAGCCATAGCATCTTGGTAAATTTGTATCATATAGAGAGCTCCATTGATAAATGTCGCTGGTAATATGACACGTTTCCCCTTTTTTGATAAATTATGTTTCTCCTCTCAAATATGCTTCTGAAAGACCCTTGTACATGTCAGCCCTTAACTCCTTCTGATGCATCCGAAGATATGCTAAACGGGCTAATTCAATGGTACTAATAAGTCTGTAAATAATAAGTCGTTGGACAATAATAAATGGAGAAAAGAAAACGGATATCTGATATATGTTGTCTAAGAAAACATTAAAATTGCATTAATCAAACTTTTTACATTGGTGATGAAGATATAACAATAAAAAAACACATTTCAACAGTAATAAATATATAACAATAAGAAAACATACTTCAACTGTATGTTATAGTAGAAAACAATTGATAAAAAATAGCAAATCTAACTGCGCAAATTTTATAGACCCATCTCAATCCGGGATTATCAAAATCAAGTGGATCCGCCACCACTGCTTGTGCACATTCTCGATGCATTGCGGTGAGATTGCAATGCGTGCAACGCACCAACTCAGACGTTCCAAACTATGGTCACAATATATGCATCTTTAAAATAACTCGTTCGCTGAAATTTTCTCACAATATGACCGATTCCGTGAGAAATTTGATTCAGATTCTTCTTTCGCAAATACATTAGTGGATTGTACTGTAATAAAATATGTTTCAACGCAAGGTTTCCCGCGAAGACGTTGGAACACCTTGCCAAGCAATGCGACCAATATTGCAATAATTGTTGTGCCTCCAACGTTTACAGACGGTAACCCCTGAAATGATAAAAGATAATGAGTTTATAAAATAAAATAAAAAATGACACAAATTTAATGAAAACCAAAAATACCATGGTCAACCAAATAATAAAATGGATGAACATTATGTGAAAGCATATGGCTGTCATACGGGGAGTCATGGTGCACGGAAATTATGCCTAAGTTGTAAAAAAAAAATCAAAATCGTTAGCAACTATTATGTGATGTGAAATTTAAACATATGATATAAATAAATCTAAATAATAAATATTGTATTGTTTACATGTGGAAAGCAATTGGTTACGTTGAAAATAGTTTGTGAGGAAGAAGAAGAACAAAATTTTAAATGAGCAAGAAGAAGCAGCTTGGCAAAAAAAAATGTGATTTTTTGTGGAGTTCTCGGGAGTTTAAATAGAACAATGAAATTGATAATGGATTGAGATCAATGGTGTGATGATGAGTTAATGGGTGGTTAAAGAGGAGAAGAAATATATATATATATATATATATATATATATATATATATATATATATATATATATATATATATATACAACACGCTGTATTCAAAATATAGGGAGAATATTAGAAACATGGGGTTCACAAATATAGGGAATTCATGTATTTAAATATGATATAAAAAAATTAAAAAAAAAATACAACACGGTGTAGTGTATTCAAATATATGACAGAAAATTAGAGTCATGGGTCTACAAATATAGGGAATTCATGTATTTGAATATGATATTAAAAAAAAAAGTAAAAATAAAAATAAATAACATGGTGTATTCAAATCACAGGGGCATAAAATTAGAAACATGATATTTAAATATGATATTTATTAAATTACAAAAATGCCCTTAAGTTAGGTTTAGGGTTATAGGTCAAAATATCTTCCTTTTATATATAAGATATGATAGATCTATATCAATTGAGCTTTATAATGAATTAACATTTTAGAATCTTATATATAAAAGAAAGAAACGCTAGGGCTACCCTAAGAAACCCTAATGTCATATTTGTAATTTTTTTTCAATTTTTATCAAATTTTTATCTCCTTAATATTATTTTAAATATTATTTTTGAATTTTATCATATTTGTATCCCCTAAATATTATTTTAAATATTATTTTTTATTTTTATCAGATTTTTGTCTCCTAAATGTTATTTTTTATTTTTATCAAATTTTTATCTCCTAAATATTATTATAAATAATATTTTTTTAATTTTATCAAATTTATATCTCCTAAGTCCTAACTATAATTTTAAATATAATTTTCAACTTTTAGCAGATTTTTATCTCCTAAATATTATTTTCGAATTTTATCAAATTTATATCTCCTAAATAATATTTTAAATATTTTTTTCGAGTTTTATCATGTTTTTATTAGTTTTTTATCTCATAAATATTATTTTCGTTTTTTATCAGATTATTGTCTCCTAAATATTATTTTCGATTTTTATCAAATTTTTATCTCCTAAATATTATTTTAAATAATAATTTTAATTTTAATCATATTTTATCTCCTAAATATTATTCTATTTTCATATTTTATCAACTTTTATCTCATTAACATTATTTGAAATATTATTTTCGATTTTTTATCAAATTTTTATCTCCTAACTATTATTTTAAATTTTATTTTTGATTTTTATCTCCTAAATATTATTTTTTGATTTTTTTATCAATTTTTTTTCTCCGAAATATTATTTTAAATATTATTATCGATTTTCATCAAATTCTCCTAGATATTATTTATAATAATCTGATTTTCGATTTTTACAGAAAATGGTAAATAAATCTGATTTTCATCTCTAGCGGATTTTGTGACATCGTTTTACCGAATGTCTGCAACATTTGAATTTTATTTCTTCCCTACCTAAGGCTTCTTCTTTTGGTAACCCGACTTTAGATTTTGTTTCTTATCTTCTTCTTCATCCTATTGCATGTGTGGCAATTAGTTTACATCTTTTTCCATCATGGCTTATAGGTAATTTCATTTTGTTAAATTATGTGTTTCATTAATTTATACCAAAGTTTTCAAATTTTATGTATAACAATTATTTCATTTTATATGTTATTGGACATGTTATTGAAAGGGATGATTTGAGAAAATTAACCAAAAATGGGCGGAGCCACAAGCTATTGGAAGTCGACCTTCAAGACTTATTGTTTGTATGCGATATTTAATTTATTGTTTATATTTATTTTTGTTTCTTAATTTTCCAATTGTTAATTCCAGTGGCAAAACAACCTTAAAATGAGGCAGTGGAGAAGGGCTTAGTTCCGATGCAAGATGTATAGATGGCCTTTTACGATGGTATGTTGTCGATAGTTTAGTTTTGATTATGTTAACTTAGTTATTAAATCTAATTACTTTTAAGCTCAACATGGAAGACATAATTGATGATTTTTTTCCTGGTTCAAATTTTCAATCTACTGGTATTAGCTGATTCAATTCATTTGGAAAATTATTCAACAGCAAAGTGATGTCCTTTTTTTTTTTTTTTTTGTGTGTGTGTAGTATACTTAATAATGTTCCAGTATAATAGAATTTTGATCATACGATACATCAAACGTTTGTTTATATTCTTACAACATCAAAAGAATGCAATTTGTTGTCCCATGCATCGCACGGGTACAATTACTAGTTATAATATTAATAAAATAAAATATTTAAAACAAAAGGCTAGACGAGCCTTATTAATAAAAATATGCCGACACTTATTACGTGGGCCTTAATAAAGAAGGCAACAGTCCATTTTGTACTGGACCCTATTTTTCAATCACATTTGTAAACTAAAGTCCAAATTAAATGGATCAACGAATTAATCAAGCTACTTAATTGATCATTTGTTAAAAGTTAAGTTTAATTTGTTAATTTAAACTAATCAAGTTTGAACAAATATTTTTATTCGATAACCTATGAAACTGAACTCGAGCTTGAGCTCGATTAGAACAAAAAACAAATGTAATGTGTTAATAAATCAAGCTATTCAAGATTAATTCATGACTGGCTCTTTTGAAGCTAGTTCGAACACGGTTTAATAGTTTATGCAAAGAAGCTCAGCACAATTTTGAGCTCGATTAAAAATCAAACAAACTTGAACAAACTTGTGGTGAGCTCGACTCGATCTATAAAATGCCGGCAAAAGACTTCGGACACCCGACTCTTTTGTCGCACATAGATTATGGATCGTGTATATACAGCTGGCTGCATGTTCTTATTCTTTAAAGAAATAAATAGATATTACCTTTTTTTTTAATCACTACTTTATTCATAAGTAATTGGTAATTTACTAATCTATCAATAAGTTTCCTTGAGAACTTGAAATAATCTATATTTATTTTATTTTTTACTTTTATTTTATTGTTTTTAATTATATATATGGAGGTTTTTGACATTTTGTTATCAAAAAATTACAAGTACCAACACTTTCCACCTTATCTTCAACAATTTCTGCAAGCATATAAAAACCCATACACACGTTTTCCGGAGCTTGATTATCTGTAACAATGGCAGTAAATTTGAACCCATCGTTAACCCGTTCCCCAGCCTCCACACTCTCTCTCTCCACCCGACTCTGTTCTCCCGTCAATTGCCATTTCGGCAAATCGCAGGGCCGCCTCTTCTCGCCATTAATACCTTCTCTGAAGCTCCCCGCTACGAACACGAGAATTTCACCGGACCGCCATTTTTCGCCGCTAATTCCTGCTAATTCGAAGATTCGTGTTGCAAGCACGAGAAGGCCGTCCACTATTTACTGTTTCAAAAACAGCGCCCCCGAAGAATCTCTTCAGAAAGTAAGCAGTTCGAACTTTTACTTTTTTCTCTAGAACTGTGTCTATAGTTGATTACAGTTTTCTCTTCATATTATTGCGGACGGAATGAATTTCATGTTCGATTCTCGTATTTGATTTCGTGGACTTTTGGTCGGTGGGATGGGAACTCAGTTAAACAATTGACATTCACACTGTAGAAAGATGATTTGACCTTCTGTGTGTATTTTTAATGGAATATATATTAACAAGAATTTTGTTATTATCTGTATGGATTGCGCAGTAAACGAAGTCTAATATGGTTACGAATCGATTAATGTGATACTGGTTGATTTTTGATTAATTTGGTGCATACAAAACCTAGATACATCTGAATTTGGAACCGCCTAGAATTGCTGGATATGGAGACGCTGGATTGTAAGTTAATTTTCTGGTGAAATTGATTACAGAGAACTTGAAACTGAGAGATTAAAGAAATTTAGTGGTTCCCTCTCACAGTTCCTATGGTTTATCATCGTAAATATTGCCTCCATCTATATACTGAAAATTTGGTGAGCCATTTTCTCTGCACGGGGATTACACTGCTTTTTGAGGAATTGGAGACTTCAGTGATTGGTTTCGATAATGAAGTTAGGTAGTCAAGTGCCAATAACACCTTCCCATTTTTCATTTTATGGCACCTGATGCAATGATATTATATGTGCCGTTTTGTAGGCCATTCTCTTTGTGCAAATAATTATCTGCTTGAATTCCATAGTCCCTGATAAACCTTCTTCAGTACTCTGTCGGCTCCAAGAATCCTTTCAAAGCCTTTCGTGTTCTAAGAAACAAACTATTGATAATACTAAATTAAGTAGACGAGGAATGTACAATAATTAGATTAAAAAGAGTATTTAATGAAGAATTGTTTCATTTATATTCTTGATGAAAGTGGAATAATATCACTAGAAGAAGTTGAACTAGGCAGAAAAGTAATCCAGCAAGCAGCTAACCCTTTGTTCAAAAAAGAACGAACCAATATATTGTGTTACTAGGGAAGAATTTGAATGTAAATTTATTTGGACGAGAGAGAGAGTTCAAATGTGTAAAAGATCTGATTCCGTGGGTCAGATTTTTTGCCCCCCCCCCCCCCCACCCCCACCACACACACACACACATGCGGCTGTTAAAAACTTTCCAGTTGTAAGTGTTTTTTTGTGGTTTCAAGAATTTTTACAGCGCATTATCGTTTTTGCAGGATAAGGGATTCAGCTTGCAAGTATTGAAACGGTGGGATGTGCCGTGGAATTGGCAAACAATCTCTCTGACCTCACTTGCATGTGGATTCAGGTGCATTTACTAGTTTGGCCTAGTTTGTTTTATTTTAACTATAGTAAACTCCTCTCTGATTTATGATGCCAATATTAATTAGATCTGTAGCTTTGAACTTTCCTCGCAATATATAGAGAATTAGGTGTCTTGAGCTGTTGAATTTGTCTACTTGAAGCATAGTTATTAAGATTTTAATGGTTTGGTTGTCTGAGGAAAACCTAATTAGTTTTTCAGACAGTTTCGTTTTGACAGGACTGATTGAGGCGGCAGCAATACAGTATTCAGGGATTAACATTCAGGAGTTAAGTTTGGATGGGACTGCAGAAATTTTATTTCTGACCCAAGGGTACGAAACATTTCATAGCTTTATTTTATTTCCGTAGTTTGTTCATTACATCATGTTTCTATCTTTGATTTCTTTATGTTATTAATTCTGTCCTTTTTATTTACTCATTACAAGATGACCATTTTTGTAGCATTGCAACTGCTGTGGTTCTCACAGTTCTGTTAAGTCTGACAAAATCGTTCTCTCCTCTCCCCGATGACATATATCAATATGGTAACTAGCAGCATTTATTTTCACACTGAAATGCTTTATTGCGCTTTTTTTTTTTTCCTCTTGCGAGATTATGATTTTTTTATTGTTGACTTTATTATGGGAATGAACAATTACTTACGTGTATTATGACATGGTCAATTCGTGCTTTAGACTGGCGTGAACCTTTCGATCTTAAGAAAGGTTGGTTGTTATGGGCTGGAATTGGTCTTGGTGGAGCTCTAGCTGCAGTTGCTGTGACAGGGGCAGCAATGTCTTTTTTCAGCTTTAATCCAGAGAGAAAGGTTCGAATATAATTTCTATCTTAGATGCTTTGTGTGCTTATTGTTCTACGTATAAATACTGCATTGCATCCTAAAGGGGGATATGGTAATTGTGAGAGAGCATCAATCATTTAGTGTCCGACTTTATTTTGCTATTCTCTTAGGATACGATAGCGATAATGACTTTATTTAGTTTTACAAATTATGCTTCATTTGCAAGAAGATTTGATATTATTCTTCGATCTGATTCAGACGGATTCTCTCATGATGTTGCTTCCATTGATTGGATCTTCAACTATCAGGTATTTCAAAGTCCTTGTCTGAAAACGCTTTCATGTGCTTGTGACTTGTTTTCCCCCCTTTAGCTACAATAAAATATCGAAGATCGTATAAGGAACTAATTGTTTTTTTCTATGTTGAATATAGCACTGCCTGCTTGGTGGGTGTCACAGGCGTACTTGCTCCCGTTCTTGAGGAGACTGTCTTTAGAGGGTTTTTTATGGTTTCTCTTACAAAATGGTATGCTTTGTGTCCTATAAAAATGCTATGCAATCGCATGTTTTAAATCAGCTAACCTTTATTAGATTTAGACATAAGATTCAGATGCATGTAGCATCCGTGATAACGTTCCGAACAAATGTGAGATCATTCTGCTTTAATGATTTTAACCGGCAATTTCAATCTACAACTTACTGATCTTTGTAAATAACCAGTTAACTGAAAGAGAGAGGCTAAGATGGTCTTTTAATCTAGCAAATGATAATATCTTGATAATTTGTTCTTCCCAAGCAATTCAAATTAGTTCGTTTTTGTTCAAATATTAGTGGCTCTTGGAATTGTTGATCCAAAACAAAAGGGCTCTTTTTGAGAAGATATTTAGGAATATGCTGTTGTGAGTCGAATATTTGATAACAGTTTATTTGCTGATTGGTCCTTTACTGAATTTCCTCGCAGGTTGCCCACACCACTTTCTGTGCTTCTTAGTGCTGCCGTATTTGCATTAGCGCATCTCACTCCTGGAGGATTTCCGCAGCTCTTTGTTCTTGGTATTTTTCTTCACCAAGAGATTCATAATAAATGATCATATATTTAGTTTTCGAAGGTCTCTCGTCTCCACATTTTGATTGGATATGCATTGCATAGGAATCAATTCATGCTTTTGTGCTTCTCTACTATATATTTCGAGTCTGTATAACTTATAAACAATGTTGTGATTATATAGGAATTGTTTTGGGGTTCTCTTATTCGCAAACACGAAACCTTCTAACACCCATCACAATTCACGCCTTTTGGAATACCGGGGTTATCATACTTCTCACCTTCCTTCAGGTAATTCACATCTTTCAGTGATACTCAGCTCAATATTTTTACTTATTATGATTTCTCGTCGCATTATGTTAAGGAATATCCATGCTCCTAGTCCACTTTCCGTTTTTCGATTCGTTAATTTGTTCGCATTGGACTGAATTTCACTAAAAATGTTCCTCTTGGTGGATGTTATGCAGCTCAATGGATATGATATCAAGGAAATGTTACAAAGTCAATAATTCAGATGGGTCCAAGTTAATTTCGTCGGCTTCTTGGTGGATGTTATGCAGCTCAATCCGCGAATACACAGAGCTGCAAAAGCTTGTATCGACTGTGTTAAAACGGTTTTGGTTTATTACACTCCAATAGTTCGATAATAGTACATGTTATATAGTCGTGCCAAATACTTGTTGACGTATATACGAATGTTCTTCACGTGTTAGTAACATCTTTGTTGTGCAGTATCAACATTTCAATTATATCTGTGATTTCTTGCGACTCCGTTATATATTTGCTTGCTATTTTTTTTTTAAACCGTAAAAGAATGGTGTTGAATATGGTTTACACTAAAAAAAAAAATGTCAGAATATATATAGTAAAAATTTCCACATTGCACATTCTGGAAAGCAAAAAATCTACGTCAAAAACAACCAAACAAAAAATTCAATTTCTTAAGCGCGGGAAAAAGATATGACGTATTTCAATTATTTTATTATTATTAATATAGAAATAATATTTATGTTATTTATTTTTCTTTATTTATATACCTAATTTCCAACGTTCTATTCTGTTACGATGGCAGTAACCATAAATAATATTAATTAATTATTCCTTATTTATATACCTTCTTTCCAACGTGTTGTTTGCAGCACTCAGTTCTATTCTGTTACAATGGCGGCAACTTTCAGCCCAGCATTCTCTCGCTCCTCAGCCTCCCCCCTCTCTCTCTCACCGCGACTCAGCTCTCCTATCAAAACCGATTTTGTGAAATCTCAGGTCCGCCTTTTCTCGCCATTAATACCTGCTACGAAGCTTCGTGCTACAACTACAAGCACGAGAATATCTCACGGCCGCCATTTTTCTCCACTAATTCCTGCTTTGAAACTTCCTGTTACGAGCACGAGAAGGAATTCTACTACATTCTGTTTCACGAACAACAGTAGCCCCGACGAACCAGTTGAGAAAGTAAGCGATCGGATCTTTTACTTCTCCTTTTGTTGGAAACGTTTTTATTTTTTTAATTTTTTTTATAGATCTTGATATAACTCTAAGTTCTAGAAGTTTCTACTTCATATTATTGTGGACGGTAGAAGTTAATTGTGATTTGTTTCCGTGAGCTTCTGATCTGTGGATTTGGGGCTGATTAGAATAATCTGCGTTAATACTGTAGAAGGAGGATTTGAATTTTTTGTGGATCTATTTTAAGGCGCGGATATTTAATGAAGTATATATTAACAATAATTTTGTTATTATCTGTATGGATTTCCCAGTAAAACGAAGTCTAATATGGTTTGAGAATCGATTTTTTTTATACTAATTGATTTTTGACCGATTTGGTGAAAAAAGTAACACATCTGAATTCAGAATTGCGAAGTAAGTCTCGATGTGGTGAAACTGGATTATAAGTAAATTTTCTGGTGAAACTGAGAGATGAAAGAAATTCAGGTTATGATGATCGGACGGAATTCAGTCCATAACTGAGTGGCATTCGATTAGTAGTTCCTTCTCACAGTTCCGACGGTCCGATTATGGTTTATCATCCTAAATAATTGCAAATGCCCTTTGCTTATTTTATTTGCTTTTTCCCCCTTTGCTAACCCTTGATTTTCATCAGTTCTCGGTATTATTCCAATTTAAAGTGGATCATCCGTTTTTTTACAGGACAATGGATCAACCTGGCAAGTATTGAAACGGTGGGATGTGCCATGGAATGGGCAAACAATCTCTCTGACCTCACTTGCATGTGTAGTGAGGTGCATTTAGCGTACTAGTTTGCCTAGTTTATTTATTTTTTAACAATAGCAAAACACTCTCTGAGTAACGATGCCAGTATTAATTAGGGAGCTCTGTCTTCTTTAAGCATACTAATCAAGATTTTAATTGTCTGGTTGTCTGTGAAAGAAACTAATTAGTTTTCTTCGGACAGTTGTGCTTTGACAGTACTGATTGAAGCAGCAGCCGTAATTTATTCAGGGATTACCACTGATAAGTTAAGTTTGGATCAGTTGGCAGGATTTTGTTTTCTGTCCCAAGGGTACGAAACATTTTCTTAGCCTTTGTTCGTTACTTCATTTTTCTAGCCTTTTTTATCTATTCATTATGATTTTAATTTTACTCGTTTACTCTATTTGTAGCATACCAACTGTTGTGATTCTCGCAGTTCAGTTAAGTCTGACTAAGTCATTATCTCCTATCCCCGAAGACATATATAAATATGGTAAATAACATAATTTATTTTCACATTATACTTGCATTCGGCGTTAACTTGGAAGTGTACTATATCTATGACATGGTCGATTCGTGCTTCAGATTTGCGAGAGCCTTTCGATCTTAAGAAAGGTTGGTTGTTATGGGCTGGAATTGGCTATGTCGGAGCTCGAGCTGCCATTTATTTGACAAATTCTGTAATGTCTTTTATCAACTATAGACCAAAGAGAGAGGTTAGAACATAACTTGTAGCTTATTCAATGTTGTGTGCTTGTATTCTTCGACTTTTAAAGGTTTGATGCACCTTTTTGCTCTGTCAGCCTTTGGATAAGGCCTACATCTTATGGACATTTCATTAGCTTCCAGTCAAATATTTGAATCGGCTGTTTGAGCATTTTTTTTTTCTTCTAAACATCGTATAATACTTGAGTTTTTACTGTGTCCTATCGTAATCATTTAATTTGCTACTCTCTTACGATATGGTAGTGATCTTGACTTTCTAAACATCGTAAAGATTTTGATATGATTCTTCCATTTGATTCAGATTGATTATATCATGATCTTGCTTCCCATGATTGGACATTCAACTTTCAGGTGCTTGTGACTTTGTTTTCCTCCTTTATCTACAAATAAAACGTCGAAGATAGCACTAATTGTTTTTTTTTTCCTTTCTATGTTGAATATAGCACTGCCTGTTTGTTGGGTATGGTAGGTGTACTTGCTCCCATTCTCGAGGAGACCGTCTTTAGAGGGTTTCTTATGGTGTCCCTTACAAAATGGTATGCTCTCTGTTCTATAAATGACGTGCAATTGCATGTTCTGAATTAGGCCTTTGTTCGGTTTAGACATAAGATTCAGAATCTGAGATCATTCTGCATTTTGTAGAACAAATGGCTCTTGAGGAAGATATCAGGAATATATATGCTGTTGTGTGTTGAATACTTGATCATAGTTTATTTGCTGATTGACCACTGAACATTCTCGCAGGTTTCCGATACCAGTTTCTGTGCTTCTAAGTGCTGCCGTATTTGCACTAGCACATTTCGATGTTGGAGGATTACCGCAACTCTTTGCTCATGGTAAAAAGAGTTTAAATTATTTGGTCTCAAATGCATAGGAATCAATCCATCTTTTTTTTTCCTACTTGTCTAATATATATATGTTAAAATCTGTATAATAATATTATGATCATTTAGGAATTGTTCTGGGGTTCTGTTATGCTCAAACGCGCAACCTTGTAACACCAATCACAATTCAAGCCTTATGGAATACCAGAATTTGCTTGCTTCTCAGCTACCTGCTGGTAATTCACATCTTTCAGTGACACTCAACGCAACTCAATACTCAATTATTACAATTTCTAATCATATTCGATGGTTTTTTGATCTGTAAATTCTTTGTTTTATGTAGCATAAAGGATATGATGTCAGGGGCATGTTACAAAGTTAGTGATTCAGATGGGTTGAAGTGTATATCTGAACCAGGTAGTATAAAATTCATCGGCTTCTTTGCCACGCTAATTCATCTTAGAATACCGTATACAATTTATGAATATATGCAGAGCAGGAAAGAAAGCCTTGCAAAAGCTTGTATCGACCGTGTTAAAATGGTTTTGGTTATTACACTCCAAATTCCAATGGTTCAAGCATTAGTGCATACTGTTAGTCTTGGAATGGTGTTGGACATGGGATAATACTGGATTACTATTTCAAAATCGTAAATTTTTTCGTTACAGCGATTTCGTTGTAATTGATTTCCTCGTAGTTTTGCAAGTGATCTGTTTCTGCATTATCAATCTATATTGACCACCAGTCGACCAACTACTCGTAATTTTATCAATCAATTATGAGATGAATAAAATGGGTAGAAACTATTATTGAATCTCTTGAAAACCAAGAATACTAGTCGAACTTTATTCTGATGTAACCAAGAATTTCTAACACGAGCAAGGAAGGAAGGTTCTTAAATAAGTTTTGTTTTATTCTTTTTATAAAAATAATCCACAGATAATTGTTGACATGGTCAAAGGAACATGTAGAGAACATGAAAAATTGTCGACCATTTTTCTTCTACACATAAACACGAAAAAGGCAGAGTGCGATCATTATTAAATAAAACCACAAAAATGGACAATCAAATTCTTATATATATAAAAGGAAAGATGTCCAAAAATGTGAAGTGAAGTTAGTGAGGGCATGGTTCAGTTCCTACTGCACAAGAGTTGGCTCTAAAAGTAAAGGGCATATCTTATGAGTGCATAGAAGAGGATTTAAGAAACAAGAGTGATTTACTCCTCAAACAAAACCCCGTTCACAAGAAAGTACCCGTTTTGCTGCACAACTGGAACCCAATTTCCAAATTGTTAATCATTCTTGAATACATAGACGAGTGCTGGAAAGACGGCCCCACGCTGTTGCCCTGTGATCCATCCCTATCGGATGATTGAGAGAGTGCCCTCTGATGAAACAGACACTGCCCCCACATGAAAAACTTGTTGCCAAGATTAAGGAGAAGTGCAACTTTCCGGCCAAATCTTGATTTATGCGAAATTTACGACTGATTGTAAAAGTTGTTTTGTTTGGAAAAAAAAAATGGTGATGCTATTTAGTAGTATTTCCTATGTAAACTTGTGTTTGGTTCCACGTGGATCTCTGTTTTCTCTGATAAAAACTCACAAATTTACACATTGCACGCTGCTGAAAAGCAAAAAATCTATGTGTCAGCAAGACAGACGAAATTTCAAATATTTATGCGCGGGAAAAAAGATATTGCATAATTGCTTATCAGCCGAGGAGAGTCCAAAAATATACTAATAATATTAATAACAATAATTATTATATAATAATAATGCAAATAATATATATTTATTTATTCCAACGGTTTGCAGGGATGTACTACAAACTATAAACACCCAAATTACGCTGAAGCACAAACATCCTTCTGTTACAATGGCGGTAACTTTCAACCCAGCATTCTCACGCTCCTCAGCCTCCACCCTCTCTCTTTCACCGCCGCGGCGACTCAGCTCTCTCATAAAAACCGATTTTGTGAAATCTCAGCTCCGCCTTTTCTCGCCAGCTTTGAAGCTTCGTGCTACAACTACAAGCACGAGAATATCTCAGCTCCGCCATTTTTCTCCACTAATTCCTGCTTTGAAGCTTCCTGTTACGATCACGAGAACGAATTCTACTACATTCTGTTTCACGAACAGCACCCCCGACGAATCAGTTGAGAAAGTAAGCGTTGGATCTATTACTTTTCTGTTTTTGAAAATAAATTTTTTTTTTTTTTTTTGATAGATCTAGATATAACTTTACATTCTCGCCGTGTCTACGTCATGTGATTGTGTATTTGTGTGGTTTATTTTCGTGAGCTTTTGGTTTTTGGAATGGGGATGATCAGGATAATCTGCGTTAATACTGTAGAGTGTTGAGAGAGGGTTTGGATTTTTGTGGAACTAAGTTAAGGATCGGATATTTAATGGATTAGTATATAATTAACAGTAATTTTGTTATTATCTGTACAAATTGCCCTGTGAAACGAAGCCTGATATGGTTGAGATTAGATTTTTTGATTAATTTAGGGCTTAGAAAAAGGTGACACATCTGAATTCAGAACTGCGAACAAGTCTAGATGCGGAGAAACTGGATTTAAAAGTTAATTTTCTGGTGAAACAATCCATAACTGAGTGGCATTCGATCAGTAGTTCCTTCTCACAGTCCCGACGGTCCGAGGATGCTTTATCATCCTAAATAATATAATTGCAGTTGCCCTTTGCTCATTTTATTTGATTTTTCCCCATTTGCTAACCCTTGATTTTCATCAGTTCTCGATATTATTCCGATCTAAAGTGGATCATCTGTTTTTTTACAGGACGATGAATTAAACTGGCAAGTATTGAAACGGTGGAATGTGCCATGGAATTGGCAAAGAGTCTCACTGACCTCACTTGCATGTGTATTGAGGTGCATTTATCATACTAGTTTGCCTCGTTTATTTTATTTTTAACAATAGCAAAAATCTCTCTCGAGTAACGATGCCAGTATTAATTAGACATGTAGCTTCAGTTTTCCTGGCAATGTCAAGGAGCGGGTTTCTTAAGCTGTTGAATTCTGTCTACTTCAAGGATAGTTATCAATATTTTAATTGTCTGGTTGTCTGAGAACGAAACTAATTAGTTTTTTCGGACAGTTTGCATTCGACAGTACTGATTGGAGTAGTAGCCGTAGCATATTCAGGGATTAACATTCATGAGTTAAGTCCGGATGGAATGGCAGGAATTGGTTTCGTGGGTTATGGGTATGAAACATATTTCTAGCTTTAATTTCTTTCTCTTATTACTTGTGTCCTTTTATGATTTTAATTTTTCTCATTTAACTCTATTTGTAGCATTGTAACTGCAGTGGTTCTCGCAGTTCTGTTTAGTCTGACCAAGTCGTTTTCCCCTATTACTGAAGACATATATCAATATGGTAAATAGCAGAATTTATTCTCACATTTTTCTTGCATTAGGGGTTGACTTGGAAGTGTGTTATTAATATGGTCAATTCATGCTTCAGATTTGCGAGAGCCTTTCGATATTAAGAAAGGTTGGTTGTTATGGGCTGGAATTGGCTACGTTGGAGCTGTAGCTGCACTTGTTCTGACAGTAGCCGCAATGTCTTTTTTCAATTTTAATCCACGGAGAGGGGTTAGAATATAAATTATATATTATCAGATCATTTGTGTGCTTGTGTTCTACATGTAACCACTGCATTGCGTACTAAAAGGGAGATACTGAATCATTTAATTTGCTATTCTCTCCTCTTATGATATGGTAGTGATCTTGACTTTATTTAGTGTTATAAAATTACGTTTCATTTTATATGATTCTTCGATTTGATGCAGTCGGATTCTCTCATGATCTTGCTTCCAATGATTGGATCTTCAACTTTCAGGTATTTCTGTATAACCCTTTCAGGTGCTTGTGACTTTGTTTTCCCCCCTTATCTACGAATAAAACGTCGAAGATCATATAAGAAACTAATTGTTTTTTTTCTTTCTATGTTGAATATAGCACTGCCTGTGTGGTGGGTATGATAGGTGTACTTACTCCCGTTCTTGAGGAGACCGTCTTTAGAGGGTTTCTTATGGTGTCCCTAACCAAATGGTATGCTTAATGTCCTAATTTCTAAATCGGTTCCATTTATTAGGTTTAAATGTAAGGTTCGGATGCATGTAATGGTGTCCCTGATAATAAACACAAGATTCCTTAGTAATTGGAGTAATCAATTAATGATTTCTAACCAGCTGATCTTTGTGAATAACCAGTAACTGAAAGAAAAGGCTAAGATGGTCTTTTAATCAAGTGATGACTTAAAGGCTGCAAGTGATAATATCTTGATAAATATGTTCTTCCCAACCAATTCAAATGAGTTCATTTTTGTTCAAATATTAGTGGCTCTTGGAATTGTCGGTAAAAAAAATTTAAAGGGTTCTTGAGGAAGATACTTGGGAATATACCGTTTTGTCGAACATTTGATAATAATTTATTTGCTGATTGGTTCTTCACTTAATTTTGTCGCAGGTTGCCCACACCACTTTCTGTGCTTCTTAGTGCTGCCGTATTTGCATTAGCACATTTCACTCCTGGACGATTTCCACAGCTCTTTGTTGGTGGTATTTTTCTTCACCAAATGTTATATTATTTCGTCTCATTATTATTTCTACTTGTCTCATATTATATATGTTAAAACTGTATGATAATAATAATAACAACTTTATGATTATTTAGGAATTGTTTTCGGGTTCTCTTATGCTCAAACGCGCAACCTTCTAACACCAATCACAATCCACGCCTTTTGGAATACCGGGATTGTCTTACTTCTCACCTTCCTTCAGGTAATTCACATCTTTCAATGATATTACTTAACTCAATATTTTAATCATTACGATTTCTAATCATATTCGATTGTCTTTTGATCTGTAAAATCTTTCTTTTATGTAGCTCAAAGGATATGATATCAAGAAAATGTTACAAGGTCGTTGATTCATTCGGATGGGTCGAAGTATATCTGAACCAGGTAGTATAAAATCCATCGGCTTCTTTGCCACGCTAATTCATCCTAGAATATAGCGTATACAATTTATGAATATATATATACAGAGCAGAAAGCCTTGCAAAAGCTTGTTTCGACCGTGGTAAAATGGTTTTGGTCATTACACCCCAATGCTTCAAGAATAGTACATATTATATAGTTGTCGTAAATACATGTTAGCGCATACAGTATACCGACGACTTTGTTTCTGCATTTATGGACTTATTGACCACCGAGCACTGCATTGCATTTGATCCGTTTTAGGATAATAGCTTGCCAATGATTGGAATAAGTGGTTAAATTTATGCTACACTCTGGTAAAATATATATATTTTTATAAAAAAATATCATTAATATATATACACCAACACCAGAGCTGGCTAACTTAATAGGGGGGCCAGGCCAACATAATTTTTATATAATGTTTTTTTTTTTAATTTAATTTCATGTATAAAATTAAGTGTGAGTTTACATGGTACCTAATATCAAACCAAATCAAATCAGGAAAAAAAAATTCAAATTTGAACATCTAGAAACTAAATAATGAACATTACAAGTTATTACAAATCCTCTAAATCATGTAATTGATTGGTGGGAAACACAATTATTGGTCGACCATTTTTCTCCTACAAATAAACACGAAAAAGGCAGAGAGAGATCATTATTAAAACCACAAAATATATATATATATATATATATATATATATATATATATATTAGCTAATGTTGGAGAGGAAAAAAACGAAAGATGTCGAAAATATGTGAAGTGAAGTTAGTGAGGGCATGGTTTAGTTCCTACTGCACAAGAGTTGAGCTAGCTCTAAAAGTGAAGGGCATATCTTATGAGTGCATAGAAGAGGATTTAAGAAACAAGAGTGATTTACTCCTCAAACAAAACCCCGTTCACAAGAAAGTACCCGTTTTGCTGCACAACGGAAATGCTATTTCCGAATCGTTAATCATTCTTGAATACATAGACGAGTGCTTGAAAGACGGCCCCACGCTGTTGCCGTGTGATCCCTATCAGAGGGCTCAAGTTCGTTTCTGGGCTAATTACTTCGATCAAAAGGTAACTATAGTCTATATAATACATCTATAAATATAATAGAAAATATGATCAATTGACTAATGTTTTTTTATGTTTCTTGGGAATGTGCAGTACATGAGTGGCATGATCAAGATACTTGTGACTAGTGGGAGTGAGAGAGACAATGCTATGGAAGAGTTCTGTGAGATGCTGAGGGTGTTTGAAGAAGGAATTTCTAAACATTTTTCTACTTTGTTGTGCTCAAAGGATTCGATCGGATTTCTTGAAATCGTTGTGGGGTCCACCGGGTGCAACTACAGGGCATTCTTCGAGGCAGTCGGAGTGGATTATCCATTTGAAAAGAACCACAAATATTTTTCTTGGATAGATGGATTGAGAGAGTGCCCTCTGATGAAAGAGACGCTGCCCCCGCATGAAAAACTCGTTGCCAAGATTACGGAGAAGTTCAACTTTCAAACCGAATCTTGATATATGCGAAATTTACGACTGATTGCACAAGTTGTTTTGTTTTGGAAAAACAATGGTGATACTATTAAGTATTTCCTATGTAATCATGTGTTTGGTTCCACGTACATCTCTGTTTTTTTTTTCCCGGAGACGCCCCGGAATTTCTCATATTCATCTCGCACATCATCAACTCCAAAACCGACAATAGTCACAATGTGGCTGCCATCACTGGCGTCGGAATGTCTTTTGAACACCATTAACTTATATTCATATTATACCGAAATCGAAAACACAAACCGAAATCGAAACTATTGAAGACAATAATATATAAACTATTACCTCTCCATGGAGATGTTCGTAAATTGTTATGCCCAATTATCTAGAAAGAGGCCCAACAAAATTGAAACCAATTTTAACAAGTCCAACAAGATTAATGGTTATAAAATAGGAATTACGAGGCCCATTTCAATGTTTAAAATATTCTTACAAGTTTCTTTTATTCTTTTTTAAATCAAGGGTAAATTACACCCACACCCCTAAGGTATGCTTAAATAATTTTAAGGTCCCTATGGTATTGATAATTACACTCACCCCCTGAAACATAGTTATAAACTCTAACGGAATAATGCATTGGATACATTATTCCAATAGGGTTCTAACGCTCTATTTGTTTCAGGAAATGGTGGAGACAACAAAGAGTTATGGGGGTTCTAACACGCTCTAGGTTTCAGGAAGTGGTAGAGACAACAAAGAGTTATGGGGGAGTTAGGTGGTGACATGGCTCCCCCAATATGTCTTAAATCATCCATAACTCTTTGATGTCTCCACTACTTCCTGAAACCAATAGAGCGTTAGAATCCTATCGTAATAACGTATCCAATGCATTATCCCATTAGAGTTTATAACTACGTTTCAAGGAGTGAGTGTAATTATCGATACCACAGGGACCTTAAAGTTATTTAAGCATACCTCAGGGGTGTGGGTGTAATTTACCCTTAAATCAAAGATAATATAGACATTCCTCAATTTTGGTTAGAATTTTTGATAAAGCATTTCTTTGAAGCAAATAAATGTAATTTCACAAAGAGAATCTGATTAAAAATTGAAGAATCAAGAAAACTCTTTAAACCCATCTGTAAACTGAAATAAAGAATAATTCATATTTCAAAATTAATCCCCAGGCAATTTTACATGCAAGACAAAAAGCTTCAAAACTCCCCACAAAACTGCCTCACATCTGGTTTACATTTCAGCTCTTGGAAGCAACTTTTTCCTTCGTCTTCTGTATCTTCAAAACCTTCTTTACGATCTTTTGTTCTTCGACTAGGAAAGCTCTAATGATCCTTTAAAACAAACGAGGAAAAAAAACCCGTAAACAATAGATAAAACATGCGGGAGTAAATAACGGAGGTTGTGGAAATGGATCAAGAAACCAACCTTTCCCTTACAGCACCGCCAGACAACACTCCACCATATGGACGGTTGACAGTCCTTCGGTTCCTCGATAATCTAGATCTCTTGTACTCAGCAGGTCTCAAGTGAGGAATCTGGCCACATTCGAGATAAAAATAGTTAGCATTTTTACACAATATAAACATAAATTTAGAGCCTATTTGTCGAATTTAGGATCATAGTGCTAAAAGAAAATGAAACGGAAAATAGAGTAAAAAAAGATAGAAACCAATTGACCTCAGCCGCTAAGCAAATGAAAAATATCATAGGGTTAACAAGCTAGATTTCAGTCACTATGCAAAACGCGAAACGACAAAGAAATCAATTGTACTTTAACGCCACTAAAGGTAAAGCGCGCCTTACTCAACAACCATAGAGAATAACCTGAGTCAACAACATGGGTGCAAGGGCTTAATCAACACTAAATCAACAAATATCCGTCACCTACTAAATTGTTCAAAAGATGAGAAGAATCATTGCCGCACAAAATTTACCATCCACTAGCATAAACCTGTAAACTTCATTTAGGTACAGCTTATAAAATATCCAAGAGGTTTTTAACACCACTGAAATGTAGCTTGTGCTATCAAACTCATTGAAAAACGAGGCATCGTGTCAAACAATCTTAGTTAGCGGCTCACGACGTAAGCAAATGAGTTTGGAGACGATCCTACATTTTTTCCGTTTATATCTTATATAATGTGCATCATATCACCAATACTTAACAGTTCTTGCATACATTAGATACTAATCTAACTGCAAGATGGTTGAGGCAAGAGGATGTTTGCAATTCAACAGTAAATTAGATTAAACTAATTGCCAAAAAGTTTGTAACTTTTTTTTTTCAAGGAACAATCTGTAACACTACCTTAGAACATAATTTTGACAATAATCTCATAAACCGCAAACCCTAAAAAAAAAAATGCATCATACCCCTTGAATTCTCTTTCCAGTAACAGGGCATTTGGGGCCGCTTGCCCTCTTCTTGGTGGTCTGATACACTAGCTTCCCTCCTACATTATTATATAATTACAGAAACCATTAAAGAAAAAAACAAAGCTTACAACGGAATAAAAATTCACACACATAAAAAAGTAAAATGAAAATCAAATCATCGGGAAACAAAAAAAAAGGGGGAAAAGTTTTGAGAGGGAAATTACCGGGAGTTTTGACGATCCGGTGCTGATTGGATTTGGTAGCATAGCTGTGGCGCTTCCTGTATGTCAGCCGCTGCACCATTTTTCCGCCTTCGTCGTGTGTCGGAGATGAAAACAAAGAGTTGGGTTTATTATAACTGGTAAAAGACTGTCGTACAAGCCCTAGATTTAACGGCTGGGATTTTTCCTTTTTATTTATTTTCGAGTTTTGAATCGACGGATGGGATGATTCGGAGAGGACTACTGAAAACTAGAGGAAAATTTTTGGGCTGGTTATTTCACAAAACCCATTAACATTGGCACTTTTCATATACAAATAGATACACAATTAATTAAATGTTTATAAATTAATCGACACAATTAATTTAGTGTAACGATATATTTCTTTAATTAATTTAGTTTTGCAATATTTAATAGATTTGATTTAATATGATTCTACAAAAGAAATAAACAGTACTTATTATTTAGTTATATCAACACTTCTTTTAAAAGACAATAGAACCATATTTCAAGAATCTATCACAAGATGCTTAATAATATCAAAGGTAGGAAAAACTGGGAAAATAAATAAAAATAGAGCCAATAATTTGATGCAGTAAAGACTGAATTTCAAACAGAGTATAAACGAGCGTAGAGCCGTAGTTTAACGAATCCATGAAAAATACAGATGGTGATTAGATTCAAAATGTCGAAGCAAAATTCTTTTGATAAAATGTTGGCAGAATTATTCTTAGGCTTTAGAAGCAAGCTTTTCTTTTGTCTTCTGAATCTTCAAAACCTTCTTCACAATCTTCTGTTCTTCCACCAAGAAAGCTCTTATGATCCTTCAAAATAAGACGAGACCAAATTTTCAAGCTTCAAAAATGGAATCGATTAAATATTTGTTGGTTCAATAATAGGAATTTAATGGTTTATTAAATACCAACCTTTCCCTGACAGCACCACCGGACAAAACTCCACCATAAGGACGATTTACGGTCCTCCGGTTCCTTGATAATCGAGACCTCTTGTATTCTGCAGGTCTCAGATGAGGAATCTGTCCACATGGGAAAATATATATCGAACAGTTGATTTGATCATTCAGAGTGTAATAATTATTACAGAATGAAAAGGATTATCTCACAACATTAAATAATATCCTTCAACATGTAACCCTAGCAACATAGCTAATTACTGCGGCTAGATTTAAGAACCGGGAAGGAGCATAATACCTAAAAGAAATATTGCAGTACAGTTTTCAAGAAGATCATTTCCTTGCAAGATTTACTACTACCATTGTGAATTGGAAAACACAATATGGTTAAGTAAAATGAAAGAGATTAGTAACTTAACAAGCACACTAGGTACTACAAACACAGGATAGCTACTGCGTAGATACTGTAAAATACCAAACAAGTTAGAAAAATCATTAAATTCAGCAAATATCAACGACAAATTATCCAGATCATATCCTTTTTTTTTTCGAAAACACAAAGATATTGACCTAAACGTTTACCAATAATTATTTGACAGTATCATATATTTAACATGACATAACATAAAATGAAGCTCCCTCAACACATCAGAACTTTCTACCAGATACAATAAACGAGTAGGACGCCAAGAAAAGAGTAGTAGACCACTCAAGCAGCTATTCACTAATTTAAAAACGGCACGAGACTGCACATCATGTAAAGCTATGGCAACTATATTTTTTTTTCTGGCAAATATTCTCGAGTTTAACATTTTGCTAAATAATATAACTTCATTTCCTGCATAATCGACACCAAATTTGCTCGGCACGTCCCGAGTGAGGATTGAGGAATCTAGACACATGGATAAAAGGTGACTTGAGCGCAATGTCAATTACAATATCGAATGTCGGCAAACATCAAGAAATTATCAAATTACCCAAATCTGTTTTACTAAAACTGACATCTTCTTATATGATCTACCATCATACACTCTCAGTTCACTCTGTTCTTCTTTCTAATTTTCTTTAGCCCACTAAAAGAACACGAAAATCATGCAACTGTTACAGTAAACTGAATCTAACAAAACCCATCACCCAATGTTATCCAGTTAGTGTAATTTCATGTTCATTTGACTCAAAACTCACTAGAGGATACTTCAAAAGTTCTACATATCACTACATATAATACCCAACAGCACCAAATATTCACAAAAATCAGCTTATACCAAAATCAATTAAAATAAAAATAAAAATAAAATTGGAAAAGAGAAATGCATCATACCCCTTGAATTCTCTTTCCAGTAACAGGGCACTTAGGACCGCTTGCCCTCTTCTTAGTGGTCTGATACACTAGCTTCCCTCCTATATTTATCCACACAAGTATACAAACAGCATCAATCATACAAATTCAAACCACAATCGAACAAAATAAATACAAATTAATGCCGAATAAAATTCGGAAAAAAAAAAAAAACAGACGAAGATTTGGTGAGGGCAAATTACCGGGAGTTTTGACGATTCGGTGCTGGTTGGATTTGGTAGCATAGCTGTGGCGCTTCCTGTATGTGAGACGCTGCACCATTTTTCCGCCTTAATCGTGTGTATCGAGATTTGGCGATGAAGAAATACTTGAGAGGAGTGAGGTTTATAAATGGTGAAAGTGAATTTACTCAAACCCTAGATTTAACGATGCAGATATTCCATTTTTTTCTTTTTCTTTTTTTGTTTAATAAAAAAGATTGGATTCGTCTCTCACTAAGCCCAATACTATTGGTCCATTTCTTTTAAATGTAACATGTGAATAAGCCGTATTCTAAATGGGCCATAGTAACTCTCAATAGCCCACAAAAACATGGGCCTCAAAAAATTACGGCCACGCCCTCAGATAAGGTCAAATTATGAAAATATCCCTCATGTTTGGAACGTCCACTCTTGCGATGCCAAATTTAGTGGAATTTTCTGGATTGTATGGAATATTCTCCAGTTTGTACCCGTTTAACCCTATTCGAGCTCCACATTTTTAAAACAACATGATCATAAAATGTGCATATTGTCTTGTAAAAATCATATTGTGGTTCATCAGAAACTGTATATTTGCACAAAACGAGTACAAACTAGAGAACATTTCTTTCCACAGAATCTAGAAGATTATGTTGAATTTGACACCATAAGGGTGGACTTGTAAGAAACTTTATATTTGAAGGGATGGTTGTAATTATCCAAACATGTGGGGGGTTTTTCGTAACTTGATTTTACCGCATGTAGGGGTGTGCACGGCTCAGTACGGCTCGGTTTTTCCAATAAACCAAACACGTACCGATAATATCGGTTTTTCAAATTTTAAAAACCGAATATGTCGGTTTTTTTCGGTTCGGTGTTAATCAGTTTTTCGGTTTTCGATGTCAATTTGGTTTATTTTCGGTTTCGATTTCGTCTGTTTATTCGAATTGGTTCGGCATAAAACCGATATATTTGGCTTTTCATTATATTTATTTAAAAAAATTAACAAATAACAACCGAAAATTAACTAATAAAAAATACGTCACAACCCAAAATAATTAATAGAAAACATGTCACATGGAGGCGCTCGAAAAGTAGAGACACGCTAGAGTAAGTATTTATACTATATATAAAAAATACATCATTTTGTATAAATCGGTTTGGTTCGGCAAATTGGTTCGGTAATTCTTTTATTCTCCATACTCAAACCGATATTTTCGGTTTTTCAAAAAAAAATTACCGTGTTTGCAGTTTTATGTCGGGACGGAACATATAGGCTCGGTTTTTTCGGTTTTTCGGTTTTTCGGTTCGGTTTTTTTAGTTTCTCGGTTTTTTTATCACCTCTAACCGCAGGGGTGGCAGCAATTTAAATCTGTCATGTGCAATCAGCAAATATTATAACGAATAAATTCCTTTTTTTTTTTCTTAACAACAATTTAAAAGATTAAAATAATGATAAAAGGTCGTATTAATTACGTTGTTGCATAAAAAAGTAGCTAAATGCATATCATATATATCTTGACAGGCTAATTAATGACAACATGGTCAAGTATGGGCTACTTACTAACACAGTCATAAAACATTAATTGTCAGCACTCACAATCACATTCCAATACGTTCAATTTTTGTAATTTCTCTCTGCAATTCTACATTTACATCATAATTAAATTAAATAATCCTCACACAATCATGAGACCAAATAAAAATTAATTTGAGAGAAAATAATTTTTACATTAATTATTGATTCTCAATTTGATTTTATATCTATACTTATAGTGAAGATTAAAATAATGAAAATATATCGCATAAAAATTGTATACAAAAATGAAAGAGTAGGGAAACGTCAAATCCAACAGATATTTTCCTCCCAGATAAAACAATATAAAGTATATTTAGATATATTAAAATAATTATATATATTATCATGTAACGTTAGCATAAGTAATTTAGTTAGTTTGAACATACATAAATGTATATTGATCCCAAAATAATTTAGTTTATCCTTTTCATATTATGACTTTTCTCCTCTTTTTCTTAACATCATTGATTAACTTGATAATATATACTCGCCGTTATTTTTCAAATCATCTGTCACGTTGAAAAAAGAAACAAAGTGTTCGATATTATCCGTAATTTTATAATCCACTGGTTCGATTTATTATATATAAACATAAAAAAAAAATTCAATCTAAAAAACCCTAATAGCATATTAATAGAAAAAAAAATCCCTACTGATTTTTAATTGCTTCATGTTATAGTAATTAAGTTTATATAATTTTTTGTTGAATGTGTTTGTATTAGGGCTGGGACTGGGTTGGTTTTTATCCACCAACCGACCCATTACCGACCATATTTTTAGGCGGATAATCAATTTTTAACCGACCCATTGGATCGGGTCGAAAATTTCAACCAACCCATCTATAATGGGTCGGTTGATGGTTTTTAATATTACCAAAAGTTGGTTAACCGATAATTATCGGTTATCCAACTATACTATTACAATTTTATTAAAAATATAAAATAAAGGCCGTGTTCTCTTAAGTGGTTATTGAAATTATCAAAAGTATTAGTATTTTGTTGTAATACATATCCATATCCATATTATTACTTGTGGACTAAGTATATGATTGCTACGTGTCTTTCTCTCAATTATAGATATCCTATATTAGTATGACCAAGGCTTTGTAATATTCATGTATAAATACATGACCTGAGTGTGAAATATGATATGAAGCATTCGGTCTTAAATACAAATTCTTCATTTCCTTTCCCCATCAGTTCATATGTTATAAGATAAGATATTAGCTTAATTTATATATTTTATCTTGTGAGTTAATAGGGCTTATTCTATAACACGTTATCAGCACGAGATTTTGCTCGATAGGGATTTGTTATTTTCGTATCTTTCTTTCTATTTTATTTTACGAAAATCCAGATCCTCGATCTATTGTCGTAACGACAAACGAGAATGATTGGCGAATACTTCGGTATTTTATACGCTATCATTTCTCAAGGGATATGATGGATTCGTGTATATTAATCTATAGCTTATTTATTTGTTGAATTGCTGCTGAAATTTATATTTGCAAGCTTGTGGATCCCAAGCAGTGTTATAAGCACGTGCTATATACCAACAGATCTGTGGGCCGACTTAGAGGCCAAGATATAAACTCCGAGCCTGAAGCTCGTGGAGTTGGGGAAATAATAATCTCCGTTTAAAGCCGATTTAGAGGCAATCAACTCCGGGCGTAGTACCCGTAGAGCTTAACAGAGACCGTATAGAGGTCATACTATAACTCCGAGTGAAAAACTCGTTGAGTCAAGACGTGATAATCCGTCAAAAGTCGATTTAAAGGCCAAATATCTAAATATATCTCCGAGCTGAAGCTCGTTGAGTTAAGACGTGATAATATCCGTCAAAAGCTGATTTAAAAGGCTAAATATCTGAATATATCTCCGAGCCTGAAGCTCGTTGAGTCAAGACGTGATAATCCGTCAAAAGCCGATTTAAAGGCCATATATCTGAATATATCTCCGAGCCTGAAGCTCGTTGAGTCAAGACGTGATAATCCGTCAAAAGCCGATTTAAAGGCCATATATCTGAATATATCTCCGAGCCTGAAGCTCGTTGAGTCAAGACGTGATAATCCGTCAAAAGCCGATTTAAAGGCCATATATCTGAATATATCTCCGAGCCTGAATCTCGTAGAGTCGCTAGACGAGGTAAAACCCGTCAAGAGCCAACTTAGAGGCTATTAATCACAAGCCCAAATTTAAAGGGTTTTGGGTTATTTTGTACCCAATGTATATATTTCTCTCTCGGAAGATGTGATTCCCGAGATTGAGTTATTTTATCCATGTTTAACCTCTCTTGGATGGTGTGATTCCCAAGATCGAGTTGTTTGGGTAAACCCATATGTACATATCTCCCTTGGAGGATAAATACCCGAGGTCGAGCTGATTTTGATACGCGTACATAAAAAAAACATGGCTAAATATGACTATTGCCTATTCGATAGTGCAACTACACACTCAATATTCAATAATAAAATATATTTCTCGAGTGTGACTTTGTGCAAGGCACAAGTTAAAATCATATCAGATCCCGTGGAGATAATAGATGACTCCGGGAGTGCAACAATTATGTTGCCTAATGATACTACGTATGCTTATTATATACGCGAAATATAGCATTTGCGCGTTTGCTGGCACATATTATTGTGCAGCACTGGGAATAAATGTCGAGCACCCAGTAGCATACGTTCACACTCAAAATGGACTGGCGGAATCTCTGATTAAACGCGTCCAAATAATTGCTCGTACTTTGCTGATGAGATCTAAATTCACTAGTGCAGCATGGGGCCATGCAGTATTGCATGCATCAGCACTGATTAAATTACGCCCAACTGCTTATCATATGCATTCCCCAATGCAATTGGCATTAGGCTTTGAGCCCGATATTTCGCACCTTCGCACATTTGGTTGCGCTGTGCATGTGCCAATTCCTCCTTCTCAGAGGACTAAAATGGGTCCCCAACGCCGACTTGGCATATACGTTGGGTTTGATTCACCGTCGATTATTAGGTTCTTGGAACCAATGACGGGTGATTTATTTACCGCTAGATTTGCGGATTGTCATTTTGATGAGACATTATTTATACCGATTGGTAAGGATATTCAGAATATCCGTGATAATGATAAACAAAAACCAATCGAGAATCTCACATGGTGTGAGCAACATTTATCTCATCTCGACCCACGTACCTCTGAATGTGAAAATGAGATCCATAGAATCATTCATTTACAAAATATTGCCAATAGACTTCCTGATGCATTTAAAGATGCCAGTAAAGTTACGAAGTCTTATATTCCAGCTGTGAATGTTCCAGCTAGGATCGTTGTTCCTGAAGAACATGCGAAAATGAATGATGATCCCCCACGACAAAAACGGGGTAGACCAATTGGATCAAAGGACGTTGTTCCTAGAAAAAGAAAGGGAAAAATCAATGAACCCTCAAATGAGGCGGTTCCTAGTGAGTATGCTCCAGATGAATCTGTTGAGCCTGATATCGAAAAAACGATATCAAATTCCGGGAATACCGAGAATCCCATAAGTTATTTAAATGAAATATGGGATATAAATGAGATAATCATCGCTAATATTTTTACATTCTCGATTTCTCAATAGATTGTCTACGATGATTATAATAATGAACAACGTTTTGTAATATTGCAGATTATATAATGCAGAGAAGAGTCAGGTAAATAAATGGCGGTATACGCTATTGGAATAAGATGAGCCAATATGAAGTACGATTGACGGGCCATCTCAGAAGCTATATATTGCTCAATTTCAGGGGGAGCAATAGTGTGCTGTACTCTTTTTCCCTTATGTCTGGTTTTGTCCCGTTGGGTTTTCCAGCAAAGGTTTTTAACGAGGCAGCTTATGCACACGGCTTGGATTGAGTTATGCACTCTTTTTCCCTTCTGACCGGTTTTGTCCCAAAGGGTTTTCCGGCTTAAGGTTTTTAACGAGGCATACATACATTTTACTCATCCAGTTTACAGCCGATACACTAATGCTTAGTCCAAGGGGGAGTGTTGTAATACATATCCATATCCATATTATTACTTGTGGACTAAGTATATGATTGCTACGTGTCTTTCTCTCAATTATAGATATCCTATATTAGTATGACCAAGGCTTTGTAATATTCATGTATAAATACATGACCTGAGTGTGAAATATGATATGAAGCATTCGGTCTTAAATACAAATTCTTCATTTCCTTTCCCCATCAGTTCATATGTTATAAGATAAGATATTAGCTTAATTTATATATTTTATCTTGTGAGTTAATAGGGCTTATTCTATAACATATTTTAAATTTTAAAACAATCAACAAAGGAAATCTTTTTTACCTAAATCTTCAACCAGTTTTTTTTATGCCCAAGCTTATACAAAAAGCCCACAAAATTCCACTAAATCTCTTGTGTATGTTTGAAATTACTTTGAATTTCCTAATTATATTTTTTTCGTTAAATTGTTATTAATTATTTTGAACTGATAAATGATGATCGCACCGTGGCATTACGCAAAATGTGGATATTTTTACTCCAAATTTTGAATTTTTTTAAGTGAACTAGGTGGCGGGTATAAACCATCAATCGACCCATTCCGGAACCAAATATTCGGTTGCCAACCATCAACCGACCCACAAAGGTTGGGTCGGCAACGGTTTTCAAATTCGAGCAAAAATGGTTTGACGGATGGGTCGGTTCCCAGCCATAGTTTGTATTATCAGATTTGTATGAATATCACTAATAAATTTTATTATAATATTATAATATATTTCTGTATATAATTATATTATTATTGTTAATGCTAATTAATATTATTAATTAGGTTTGATAAATTAAACTAGATAATGAACAACAACAAAAAAGGAATTAATTTGAGTAGATTAGGTTGAAAGAGGAAGAAACATTATTAGAAGCATGATAATGAAGTTTTAGTAGTACCGGCACTCTTATTCTGAAAACGACTGCCATTTATTTATATTTCTAATTTCTTCATTTTCGCTGCTGCTATTGCCGCCATTGTTGTTGTTCTCGGAGCTACTGTTAATCAATTTGCCGCCGTTGTTGTTGATGATGATTATATCTCTATCTTTCTTCCCGGACACGTTCCTGTGGTTGTGCATCCATACCCTGAGTACCGATTTCGCGACTCCGGCTTCGCGGCAGAATTCCTCCGCCGCCGCTTCGTCGGACTTTTGTATTTTCCACCCGAGCTTTTCCGAGAATGAATGCAATTTCTCCTTCTGTTCTCGGCTGAACTTTGTTCTGGACCGCTTTCTGCCAGATGGGTTCTCCGCCGTCGGCGTCACCGGCTCCTGGTGGTGGTGGTGTTCGTCCGCCGCCACTACCACCGCCGTGCTGAGTGCCAGCTGCAGCTTGTGGTGGGGTGGTGGTGCTGCGTGAGGCGATTCTGGAGAGGTTGAATGAGAAATTCGTTTGGGATGTGGTTGGGCGGCGGCAGGGAGGCGGAAATCAAGAAAAGGCGGGGCTATGACGGCGGCGGCGGCGGTACTAAAGTCAGGCTGGCGGCGGTGGAAGTTGCGGTGGCAGCCGCACGCGGCGCATTTTAGCAGGGTGGGGTCGGTTATTGAAGTGGCGGAGCTCGTGGTGTGTGGCATGTACTCGCAGCAGCCGTCCACCGCGTGGCCACCTAAGGCCGGCTGCATGGTTCTTCATGCATTCTTTGTACACCGCCGCCGCCGCCGGAGGCGGTGGCTGGTGGTGGTGGTTCTTGAGTGCGCCTCTGGTGAAGGAAGAAAATTTATAGGGTTGAGTAGTGTGTGTGTGTGGTGGGGTATCAATTTCAGTTTCATCACTTTTGGTAGGGGTTACTTCTAGGTTCATTCTTAAATTAAACAAGTGTGTGTATGTGTGTGTGTGTGTGTTTTTTCAAGAAAAGCTAACACAAATGTTCTTTGGTTAAGGGAAGATAAGTTTGATATTGTTGAAAGATTTGGTCTTGATTTTGATGATTTTCTTGAATAACAATATGAAAATGGTGAAATTATATATGTGAATTGCAAATTAATTTGAGGGTTTCTAGGGGGGTGGGTGGGGGGTGGGGGTGGGGGGTGGAGATGGGGACAAAAGTTCATTCCCAATAATGTCAACCACTTGTTTATGGAAAATTGAAGATTGGATTTATGGTTGTTGTTGTAATAAGGCAGTGTGACTAAATTGAATTGATGACATCATCTCTCATCAGAATTCACACCATTAGGTTAGTTGCGTCTTCAATTAAATATTCACTCACCGCTGGATTACAATAATATATTATTCTTTATTAACTAAATAATTCGACATTGTTTTATGTTATGAAATGGTATTTACGGTCACAAAATTGCTATTTGCGGTTTATAACAAAATCCCTCAAAAATTTCCAAAAAAATCAAAAAAACCCCCAAACTGCAAATAGCAAAAAAAAAAAAAAAAAAAAAATTCGAAATCAAGTTTGAAGAAGGGTTGGGCTTCAATTTTTTGATGTAATTTCGACTCTTTTATGTGTAATATGCATTGGGTAGATCGATTACTGAACCAATTTTATGTTAAAAAGCCGTACAAATCGATTTGTATGGCTTTTTTTTTCACAAAAAAATGTTGGGCGTTCGTACACGCCTTGGGCGCCCATCTTGGGCGTTCAATTAAAAAAAAAAAAAAAATTTTTGCACTCGACGCCCAACTCTGGCGCCCAAATGCAGTTTGCACGCCCAACTTGGGCGTGCACTGCATGAATGGATGCCCAAGTTGGGCTTTTATGCGTTTTGGGGGGGGGGGGGGATTTGGATTTTTTTAGGAAGTTTTGAGATTTTAGAGAGATAAAATATTTTTTGTTATAAACCGCAAATAACAATTTTTAAACCGCAAATAGCAATTCCCATGTTACGAAATTCTCAAATAACTTGTCGGATTTGGGTCGATCCGTAAGTATTATCTTTCAATACGAGTTGAACTCGATTTATATATAAGTCACTACCATGTAGAATTTGTCGTTGACTCGAGTGCACAATCACATTTAAACCACCGAGTTAGGTCGGCCCCCCTCGTCCAAAATATGATACTAAAAGTCTAAAACAATTATTATTTCTCCTTAATTTCACAAAATTGGGTGAAGAGAGGTTTAAGAAATAGTGAAATACATACACCACCTTTTTATTTAATAACCTTCAGCATACATGTATGTCAATAAATCAGTAATAATGATGTTATATTCATTCAATTTGATATTTACCCGTAAAAAAATTATAATTTTATACATAAAACTCTAAACAAAAAAAAAAATCCTTAAAAAAAATTCAGGAATTAAATATTACATGAAGGGCGCATGACCCTTGAATAGTACTACATAGATATATAAAGTTGGAAAAGACATACATAGGTGAAAAAAAGACATTAAATTTGGTGCTGCAAGAAGATGACAAATTTTAATTTATGAAGATAAAAAAGAAAATACGACTTTTTTAACACTCTATAAGCCTATGGTTAGGAATCGGCATCTTAATTAGTGGATTAGACCAATATGAATGCGATTTGTCATTATCATTTTTATTTTTCATAATCACGCGCAATTTTTGCAATTATTGACAATATATTCAATCACATTAATTAGTTAAATAAATAGAGATCACATCCGAATCGTATTCGGGTCAAATTACCCGGCTGCATCCGGACCAAATCATTCACATGTCAACACCACATTCGGATTTTTTTTTTTCTTTCTTTTGGGTTAAATTACGGCTACTCATTAGGTAGGATTAAATTATGAAAAAAACTCATCTTATTTGGATATACAATATTTCCTCGGCTATGAGTTTTTCTATTCGTCCACTGTTATGGTGTCAAATTCAACATAATCTTCTAGATTATGTGGAATGTTGTCTAGTTTGTACTCGTTTTTGTCAAAAAAATGCAGTTTCTGATGCACCACAAATTGATATTTACAAGCTAAGAGACACACCTTATGATCATCTTGTTTCAAAATGTGGAGCTCGAATGAGGTAAAAAACGGGTACAAATTAGAGAATATTCTACATAATCTAGAAGACTCCACTAAATTTAAAACCGCAAAAATGGATGTGTAAGAAGATTCACAATTGTTGGTGTGATTGTAATTACCCAAACATGAAGTATTTTCTCATAATTTAAACCTACCTCAGTGGAGTTGCTGTAATTTACCGTTTTTCTTTTCTGTTAGGATGTGATATTTTACACTCCTATTTTTCTTCTTAACAAATCTTCTTATTTTACCTCATAATTATAATAAGGGTAAATTACAACCGCTTCGATGAGGTAAAGTGTAATTACAACAAAAAAAAACTTATTTTTTTGAGAAATTACATTCAACCCCTATAATTTGTAAATTTATCACATTCACCCCTACAAAAGAGTTTTACGGAAGACATTTATAAATTTCAAGGGGATGTAAGTAATTGTTGTAAAATAAGGTTTTTTTGTAAATAGTCTTTACTTCAAGGGGTGATTGTAATTTACCCTTATAATAATATTGTTCCACAGACCATAAACAATACATTGGTGTACGATTTTAATGTAGTAGAACTTGAAAATATTGAATTTGTACATTTTTGAAATTGAGATGGATTCAATCACTTAATATTGGGCCATATTTTTAGCTTAGGTCCATCACATTTATTTGATTTGAGAGTGACATGTTTTGGGGCACTGGAAATAAAATCGTTTTTTAATTATGAATTTATTATATTTTCTATATAAAATATTATACATATTCTTTTCTTTTCTTTTTTGAGTAAAAATATTATACATATTCTATGAACAGCAAAAATGCTTTCCCCAACTTCGACTTGACCACTTATCCGGGGAAATTTAAAAAAATTTCAAGAAAAAAATTAGTCGACGAACCAAATAAATTTAGTCGACTAGGTGAAAAAATTAGTCGATTGAGAAAAAAAAAATAGTCGATTAACAAAAAACCTTTGTGAACGAACTAAACAACCGGTCGGCTTTGATCATACGAGCCGACTTAGATTAAATATGGTAGTAATTTTGGATAAACACTAAAAATACGGGTTATATCAATGTAATTAATGATTAGATTAGCATCAAGTACAAGACTTAAAAAAAAAATTTCCAACATTAATTTATTTTAAAAAAAATTGACAGTTAATTCTGTTTATATACTCTGTTTTTCTTCATTTTGTTAAACTTATGAACTGACAGGTGGAAAACAAGTTGAGAAAAATCATGTCACAACATAAGCCATCAAATATTCAAATGTATAGTATTGAAGAGACAACAATTAGAATGTGACAAATAAAAAGAAAAAAAAATCTTACATCTTCAACAAATCCAATAAATAACCAAATATTAAATCTGCAACAAAAACCTGGCTCAATTTTCCGACCGTAAATTCCTTTCGGCTTTGATATTTGTTCCGATAAAGACATTCGTCTCTGCGGTAGCTATTCTTCGACACTACGCTACGTACTATACACATTGAAAACCTCAGCCAGCACAAAATGTCTCAATTGCCCCTTCTCTTGTCCGAAAATTTCCTCTCAGACAGAGAGATATGATATATGCATACATGCATGCCCACATTATGATATCATGTTCTGTTGTGTATGGGATCCGACCCTCGTCGAACTTTTCTCTTGCTCGATTGATTCGGATCAAAGGAGCTCTCCACACGGGCCGTTTCCGATTCCTTGTCTGTATTTAGACCGTTCATTTCGACTGCCTTGAGCGTACGTTGATTCTTGATCTGCAAAAATCCTCCGTTTCTCGAGCCAGAAACTTCGTGTGGATGAAATGCTAATAACCATATACATAATACGAGTAGTACGAAAGATCTTCTGGTACAAATAAACATGTTTTTTTTTTTTTGTGTGTGTGTGTAATAAATAAGGAGAATGTAGGAGAGTAGTGTAATAAGAATGTGATCCTTACTATTTTTTTCTATGTTCAATTGGAACAATATATAATTCTTTTTTTGGAGGGGGGAAATTTAAAGTATAAAGTAAGGGATGGCCCAGAATCCAAATATGAGTTTTTAGAGGCATCCCCCAATCATAAATCTGCTAGCAAATTAAGGCTGTTATTTTAAAAATAATATTTAAAAAAAATATATAAATTAAATAAAAATAAAAATGAAAAAAAGAGAGAATCTGAATAGGATGAATAAAGGGTAAAATGGAACAGCACCCTCGAGAAGCTAAGCATCTTTTTGATGTTTGTTTCCCTACACTTCATTTTGCTTTGCTTTTGTTTTCTTCAAACTAAGACCAATCAACGTCATCCAATCCATTCCTGCTTACGTGGCACTATTTTTCCATTTTTTATATTAATATTAATATTTTGTTTCCGCTACGATCTGTTAGATGCTACATCTGGATTGATCTCGTGTAAGATTGTCGGACTATGCATGACTTATTATTTAGTACTACAATATCAAATAATTCGGAACTATGACTCTACGCGTAAGAATAAAATTAGGTCGGATTATTTATCATGAAAATTCTGTTACTAATCAGAGTTTTAGTGTTTTAATCCAATTCGATCTAATCCGATATAGGTAACCAAAGAATAAAATGAGGTCGGATTATTTATCTTGAAAATTCTGTTACTAATCAGAGTTTTAGTGTTCTAATCCAATTCGATCTAGTCCGATATAGGACTATTAACAAACACTAGATTAGATGTGTTACATAATACTTACATTTTGGTAATCATAAATCCCAAACATCAAACAATATTATAATTACAAATATTTTTATTAATATAATCCTACTTAATTTTATCAAATCATTCAACAATGTCTGCAAAATGTTTTTTGTAAAAAATAAGTGTTTTCCTTAGTGATTAAGAAAGATGGTGAAATAATTATATATTGAGCAGCCAAAACAGAATAGGGAATAACACATATTATTCCCCTTAAATAAATAATAAAAATAAATAAAATAAAATAAAATCAGCTTTATGCAAATTTTGAGATCTCACTTTAGAATTCCAAGCTCAATTATCAATGCACCATAAATAACATTCATGTTTTCTTGTGCTAAATATGTGTTCTTTATCCTTCTTTTGCCAGTGATCTCTTTCTCTTTAGAATGCCAATATTTATATTAATTTTATTTTTTTATTTTTCCCATTTAACCAGGAAGACCATCTTTTTCTTTATTTATCCACTTTATTATTTTTTTCAAATAAATCAATCAATTCCCCAAAAAAATATATATAAAATCCACATGCAACTTGGAACATTCTAAAGCATATATATATGTAGTTTCTGATGATGCTTTATTTTAAAACTAATGCTTTTATGATTTTTGTAATGGTCCAAACTGCTGTAGTCTGATTCTTGAAAGCTCTTAAAATGGACACATCTCTTTGCCTTTTGATCGTCCAATTTGGGTTTCAAATTCTTATTAAGGTACAAGCCGTGCAGCGGAGTGTACACCCACACTGCACGCTTTTCATCCGCAACAATGTATATCAATACAGAAAGACGGTTATTGAGATGCTAAGCACACATACAGATGGATGTGTTGCGTGATTATGTGCAGATCAATGGTTAATAATCATTAGGTCCATTTCACCTGGTGCATCATTAATAAACCCAGAAAAATGACGTCTAGAGTCTTTTTTTTCTCTTACAAATTACAATTTAATTTATGTAGAGTTGTAATAATTGGGACCATTTTATTTGGTTGATCTTGGATCAATGCCCTAAAAGCGTTACTGTTAAAACCTCAAAGCGTAGATGAATCGCATTCCCCTTTTAATGCAACGGATCGAATTATTATCGAAGATAAAGAGAGAATCGCTATTCAGAGAATTAATTTGGTTGGGAAGAATATGCAGAAATTCTTGGTCTCAAAGCAATGCCATTTTTAAACCTTTTATCAAACATATGGGCTCCATTGAAACAACAAAGAGGAACAAACTACAGCTTTGAACACTTCCCCTTTTCCAAGTAAATAATGAAACAATAAATAAATTCAGACAATTGGTTAAGAAATTATTAACGAGGAAAGACGTATTCGGATCGCACGTCAACCGAAATATTGCAAGAATAGCGAATCAATTGGTATTACTTCGTTATACAATTTTAATAACATACATTAAATAAGTACACATTTTTGTCTGGATTTTGTTTTTAATCATATGTTTGTCCTGAGTAATTAACATCTACTCGGTCGATAAACGCCCTCAACCACTGCATCAAGCTAAAGCTCGTCACAGGACTCCGAAATTCATATACACATTGTAAATAGCCAGGAGAAATCTTATAATAAAATTTAAAGGAAAAAAAAAGGAAAAGAAAAGGAAAGTGAAAGTACAAGGAAAAATTCACTTCAGTCATCGTTCAATCAAACATGTTCTTGGTGAGGAACGGCCTGCGAAGTGGGCCCCGCATGTGGAGTTGCCAGTGGAGTGACAGCTGGCGCAGCCGATGCTACAAGTAGGCCTCTGCTTTGTGCCGATTGAACCACAATCGCAAATTGTGTTGCTGCCAGTGCCGCAGCTTCCTATTTGTTTTTTCAGCAAATGATAAATTTCAAAATTTAATAGAAAGCTATACTTATATTAAAAAATATAATAAAAAAATTATTCGTTCATGTTATATAGCGAAATTACTTAATTACCTGTCTTTGTCTCCGGCGTTGCAATATACTAATGGCCCAGATCATGATGTAGCAAGGCAAAAGAAATCCAACGGCTCTAAGCAAGAACAGCTGTATTTTTTTTTAATCAAGCAGTCAGCACAATTTCTTCACGATATAACGTAATAAATAAATAATTAAGATCGACTTACGGATAAGAAAGTTGATGCATCGTCCTCTCCATCTCCTTCGCCATCATCAGTGATAGACAGTGCATGCCTCAGCAGCAGAAGGGCCATTAACTGTCGAATTTCAGATTGCCAATAATTTTAATTTTTAATTAGATACCAATTATTTTTCAGCAAATGGGGAATGATAATAAATCAAAATTTAGGTAAAAAAAAAAAAAAGAAAAAGTCGTACAATTAGAGCAGCCGAACGACAAAAGGCAGCGCCACTGCTGTTAGTGCCATTATAGTCATCATAGTCAGCTTCGAATAACTGTCGTTCAGCCTCAGCAATTGCCAAAAGACGAGGGTCGTGCATGTCTAGTGGCGTTCCCGAAATTTGCCATACTCCCCTGCAAACCGAAAAAAAAGAAGAAAAAAGAAAACCCGAGTCATCACCTTGATTTATAATTATGATTTTATATTTTTTTTATTAAAGACACGATTTTTGACGCGTGAAATTAACAATTTTTACCCGATATCAATGGTGGTTTCATCGGGTGGAGGGCGTGGGATAGCAGTATAACCAGACTGATATTGCTGCACAACAAAGTGACTATAAGATCAGCTGCGTGAATTAAATATAAATAAATGCAATTCACTAATACCAGTTAACATATTTGTACATATCCTTCGATTGTGACGGTACTTATTAATTTGGCACATATGTTAACCACTCTTCATTAGATTATAGAAAGATAGTTATAATATGTCGCTATTTTACGGGTTAACAATCATGACTAGTAAAATTTTATAAAAAGAATTACATTTGTAAAACGGTCAATTTTTCCTTTATTTCATAGCCGAAGTGTTCTAGTGAGAGAGAGAAAAGGCTGTATTACGAAAGAACCATCATAGCAATAAGATGTTAATAAAGTCGTATTTCAAGAAATTAACCTTTGCTGGCATTAAATAAAATATTAGCAAAATAAAGATGAACGGAGCAATCGCATACCTTATGACAAATCTCACAAGTAGTGTCTCCCTTCTCATTGCACCAATACTGAACACATTTTCTGTGAGCATACTGCAAAGCAACAGGTCTCCGTAAAATAGTAAACCACGAAATTCGAAACAAACGGGAAAAAAGGTTAGCCGTACGTATGCAAAAGGACAAACATGACAATTTATCAAAAGATAATGCCCCACTAAATCAAGAAAAGTGTTCCAAGGAATTTTCGACAAGCGTCGTGCACCAGATATTTCAAGTTCAATACTCAACTACATACGTAAACATAGTTCCAACTTGTATATACATACAATGCTGTTGCATTATCATTTTCCGGAGTTTTTTTAAACATAAAAACACAAAGCTTATCGATAAACATTGGTACGAGATAGACAACCACATATGGAATTTACCTTAAGACTCCCGCTGCAGGCACAAGGGCTCTCCAAATTGTTAAGAGAATCCTCTTCTTGGCAAATACGGCACTCGCCCATATCTAGCAGCGGTGCATCTTCATCAGGTTCCTCATGGTCCACCACAACCACCACCTTATCATTTTCTACCGCCGCCAGTGATGACGTGGACCCCATCATTTCAGGCTTCTTTCCAAAATCCCCAAAATGAGAAACCGATTGACTAGGCTCAACCGCCTCGGACTTAGGTAGCTGGTTCACATTCACCACCAAATGGTCACCCATTTACACCTAATTTTACACTACCGACGAACTCGAGCAATAACAATAATCACCGAAAATTCCTGAACAAAACAAATCAATGTAAATCCCAAATCCCTCAAAACCGCAAGCAATCTGATAAATACCCTTATTCTGTTTTCTAAATACAAAAAAAAGTTTCTTTGACCTCAGAATACTAATATCACAAATCTTATTTTTTTTTATTTATTTACAAAGCTGTGATCTTTTCAACATTTGTACATTCAGTGAAACCACCTGAACGAAAAATCTTCAAACCAAAATTAATGAACCCATGTCAATCAAGGCACATAAACATGATTTTCGCAACCTAATAATCCAAAAATCTATCCAATCCCTAAAAATCAAAATTGGGAATTGAGGGCATCCCAACAAAACACAAAAAAAAAATTGAAAAAAAAAAAAGAATAAACAACAATCACTGATCACGCCGGCAAAAGCAGCGGGATCAGAGATTTTTTTTTTTATCTAGATTAGGAAGACGGAATCGAAGAAACCAACGAATCGGAAATGAAATCAAAAAATAGAAAGAAATACGAACACAGCAAAAATGGGGGAAAAAAAAAAAAGAAAAAGAAAAAAAAAATAGTACCTGAAGGAGGAACGGAACAGAGAAATCGAAAACGAAAATGGGAAAGAGAAATCGCGAATTTGTTGCCCAACCAGAGAAATCTCGAAGGTCAATAAATATATGTAATAATGGATTTTTTATTTATTTATTTATTATTTTCTGTTAACGCGTTTTAGAGCTTAGATTGACTTGGCGAACAAATTTTACTCTTATCTATCCTTGTCCTTCCTCTCTTTTTCTTTTTCTTTTTTTATTTATATTTAATTATAATATTATTTTATTTCTATTATTATATAAAAGTAATTAAAAAAGGGTAAATTACAAACACCCCCTGAGGTATGGTCAAATTAGAAAAACACCCCTCTTGTTTGGATAATTACATCCACCCCCTCAACTACTCAAATTTAGTGGAATCTTCGAGATTATATGGAATATTATCACTTTTGTACCTGTTTTATCCCATTCAAACTCTACATTATGAAGCAAGATGATCATAATATGTGATTTTTAGCTTGTATATATCAGTTTGTGGTGCATCGGAAACTGTATTTTTACACAAAACGAGTACAAACTAGAGCACATTCTACGGAATCTAGATGATTATGTTGAATTTGGCACCATAAGGGTGGAGGTGTAAGAAAAAAACACAGTTGAGGGGGTAGATGTAATTATCCAAACAAGATGGGGGTTTTTGTAATTTGACCATACCTTAGGGGGGTTTTTGTAATTTACCCTAAAAAAACATATTGAATTTGGTAAAGGGTTGTTTTTTTCTGATTGTTTCAACGGTTTGGAATTATCGTGGAGTGGACAAAATTGTCATTTCCTACGATTGAGGTATGTGCTTATGTATGTCTGTATATTTATAATAGGGTAAAGTACAAACACCCCCCTAGGTATGGTCAATTTACGAAAAAACCCCTCTTGTTTGGATAATTATATCAACCCCCTCAACTGTGATTTTTTCTTACACCTCCACCCTTATGGTGTCAAATTCAACATAATCATCTAGATTTCGTGGAGTGTGCTCTAGTTTGTACTCGTTTTGTGTGAAAATACAGTTTCTGATGCACCACAATCTGATATATACAAGCCAAAAAACACATTTTATGATAATTTTGCTTCAAAATGTGGAGTTCGAATAGGATAAAACGGGTAAAAAAGTAACAATATTCCATATAATCTCGAAGATTCCACTAAATTTGAAACCGCAAGGGTGAACATGTAAGAAGATTTATAGTTGAGGGGTGGTTGTAATTATCCAAACAAGAGGGGGGTTTTTGTAAATTAACCATACCTCAGGGGTGGTTGTAATTTACCCTTCCCAATATGTATGCATTCACTCAACGGTATAATCCAACTCACAAATTAATGAATTTATATAGATAATGCACTTTTTTCAAGTAATTTAGTGATTATTGAGGAATTAATTAATTAAATGAATGAATGACAATTATCTTTAATATTATGAAATAAAGAACATGTTTGGTATTGGACTTGTTGCAATAGTCAGGCATATGTTTGGCATAATCAAACGTTCTGGAATGGGTTCTATGGCGGAAAAGTAAAAGGGTAAATTATGAAAACAACCCCAAACTTAGGCTATATTATGAAAAACACTCTCACGTATCCGTAATTACTAAAATTCCTATGACGTTTATTTCCTTCTTACACCGACTTCATTAATCATTATGGTGTGATTTTTCACGAAATCTTTTTTATTTCAAGAAATATTTCTCGAAAAATGTCGATTCTACCTATAAGAAACAGTCTCCTAAACGTCGGTGACCTTGGTATAACTTCTACAACAACTTCATTATATGCAACATCGCATCGCAATGTCACTACACTTTCTGAATTGCTAGTATGAACTACGGGTGGTAAATGAGCCGAACCGACTCGAAAAAAGCTTGAACTCGGACTCGAGTTTTTCTAGCTCGAGCTAGTTTTTAGTTGTTGTGAGCTCACGAGCCTTATTTATTATTTTTATTTTTTTAATTATTTTTTTTATATATTATTGTTTATTTAAATAATTTATAATAATATAAAATATTATAAAAATAAATAAAAATGAAATATAAATATTAAAAAATATAATAAATGCAATTTATTGTTTATTTTGTAATGTTTTAAAATAATTTTAATAACAATAAAATAATAATTAAAAATATATTTAAAAAAAATAAAAACAACAAAATGAGCTCGAGCTCGAGCCTGGCGAACTCTACTTGTTCAGACTCCTAGTATGAACAATCATATTAAACATCTGTGCGTGGCTACCTTGAATATGTTCTACATTTGTAGGGATAGAATTGATATTTTTCGGGGAATATTTTCTATAGTAAATTTTTTTTCATTAAATATCACAATGTAAGGGGGTCGGTGTAAGGTGAAAACAAAAGTTGTGGAAGTTTAATAATTACGGATAAGTGGAATGTTCTTCATAATTTGACCTAAGTTCAGGGCTTTTTTTGTAATTTACCCAAAGTAAAAATATTGGGCAATGTTTTATTAATTGAAAAAATATTAGTAGGTATTATGATTAATGAATTGCAGTTTGACATATACATCAATAAAAAAGTTATACATTGATGAACAAAATATGTAATAACAACAATCCTGGGAGTTTGTCAATAAAAACAAAGCCCAGTAATTTGTTAAAAATAAACTAAGCTATCAAGGGAAACAATTCACTCACAGATAATTAGCTCCCTTTCTATATATATATAATCTCTGGATTCTCTTGTAAACAAAAATCCTAAATAATCTCTAATTACTATGGACAACTACCAAACAATTGTGCTTCCCATCTTGACCAAGCCAAATTGCATTGACCGAGGAAAACCGATAAATTGACCACTATCAGCCACTTTCTTGAACATTCTAGAAACTACTACGAGTATCTACCGATGCGTGTGACTATATACTTCCCTTTCTCGAGATCATAAATAGTCTTTACCTGAGGTTTTCTCCACTTGGACACGAACCAAGATGCAAATATCAACACGAGGAATATTCCAAATAGAATCTGCCACGGAGAATATTTACCCCCTATTATTGTGCCCATCCTCCAATCGGAATGCTTTGCTTCTAAATCGGCTGCACTTTCAAGAATGAAAGCTCCTAATGCCCAGTCAAGTGGGACATTGTGCACTTCGTTAGCGTATCCAATCCTGCCCAAAGAATCATTCGAACGATAAATCGAGATGTAAAAAATGATGCAAGAAAAATATATATTTTATTTATTTATTTTGATACCTCTGATCGTTCAAAGAAATTCCGAGACTATCATGAAGAAGGGCTACAATATATGCTGAAGAAAAGCAATATCGAAGAAGATCCTCTTCATCAAGAAAGTTGTATTTCTGAGTCAACTTTGACCAATCCTCACCGCAAAATTGTTGACCGGCAACCACCAGATCGGAAAGTAAAGCCCTTTGGCCCAACCCAAAAAACTATTTGATCGAAAAGAGAAGTTAAAATAAAATAAAAAAACTCCAAAATTTAATTTCAATTGAAGAAACAAAGATAGAATGACAACCTTAGAAGTATGAAAGAAATTTTCTGTAGCAAGAAACTTCCCTTGGAGCTTCGGCATAAATGTTGATCCTATGTAGCAGGTCTGATACGAGCATTTATCTGTGTTTCGAATAAAAAGAGAACGGTCAGAAAAAAAAAACGACCCGACCAAATTTGTGACTGAATAAATAAAAATACATAAATAAATAAATAAATACCTTGATCTTTCTGCAACAGCTTTAAAGATGCAGATCTGCACTCGGAGAAATTACCATTGGGGAGCAAAGTAGATAGGTATTTGTTCTTTTCAGTCAAAGAAGAAGGGGAGAGTTTCAATGCCTCCTTATTGGAGGAATATCCTCTAGGAGTACAAGGATCTATCGGTTTTCCTTTATTGAAAGATTCAGTAACTGCATTAACAAACATATTAATTTAAGAACTCTGGAAGAATGTCGTATGAACAACACTTATAAAATTGCAGTATAATTTACTGATACACATTGGTCAAAATCGTTCGTCAAATTTGTGTTTGTGTGTGTGTGTGGGGAAGTGTTGGCCTACCTGAATCTTGGCCTTCCGAAATAAGAGAATCTTTCAACAACTCAAAGGCAACATTCTGCAAAAATAGCACAAGTCATCGTATCAACGTAAGCATATATCAGGTATTTCCATCAACAATATATACACTGATACACACCAGAATGTACACAAGTTGGTCGAAAAATAATTTCACAATTTTTTTATTTTCGGTACAATTTGCTTCATCAGATAATATTGGTTAAAATTCCATCATGTGCATGTTTGGTCTCATTTCCAAATGAATCCATAACGTACATTGTTTCATAAGACCCTCCTCGAAAAGTATTTAAACAAAAATATTACTTTTTACTAGATGCTATTAAGAGAATAACAACTACCCGATTTGCCAAAAAACTAGTGGCTTCATGTATTCAGTGTCAAATTTTGTTACGATAATTAAATGGTGTAGGGCACAGCTACCAATTGAAACTGAAAGTGTGTCCCTGTTAGAAAAAATATATCACACGGACATAAATCATGAACGGAGAATGAGAATCTACTAATGCGTGCCTGAAAATAAATCTAAAACTCCAATAGTCAAGCAAAGACGCTAATACGGTATTAACACCGAATATATTAAGAGAAGTTGATTCAGAAAAAAAGGGTACCTGGCCAAAGTTGAGCAAGCTGTGACTGTATAGGTAGTAAGTAAAATTTCCGAATTTAACTTTCCGAGAGAACTCAGCGGGCATGGCCTCATTCGAGACAAATGTAACCTGAAACCATCAACAATCAGATTCACAAAGGGAACATACAAAACAAATAATTAAGCAAACATAGAATTCCAAATTCCAATTGTCTACATAAATAGCAACCAGGAAGGGAAAAAATGAAAAAATAAATAAAAAAGATTTAAAACCTGAGCCGAAGCACCACCAAGTTCGATGATCCCAGTTGTTTGTGCGGGTTCAGCTCCAAGAGTACCAAGAGCATAGTTAGCCACAACCCAAGCATACAAGCCCTCATCAGATCCTGAAAGAAATTCAAGACTTAGTTTAAGATTAACAAAAGAGTTTAAGACAATAAAAAAGGTTTAATATCTCAAAACTTCTAGAAGTGGTCAGACAAACATAGGCAACCGAGATTTTTGAAAATGAGTGAAAGAAAAACACGGGCTCGTACTGAACTTCTTTCAAAGGGTTGGACATGCTCCAAATTTTGCAATTAGACTCTTCGATAAGTACTAACCGAAGTAACATCATGACAGACAATCTTAAAGTCTAGCTTCAACATATTTTTGTAAATATATACCCTAATGAATTGCTACGATGCCTAATAATTTCTTCCGTTGTCAATCGAATTACCAAGATGCACGTTGCTCAAGAATTGCATATAGAATCAGTAAACATAGAGACATACAATAATACTAACAAAAAATATAATGCCAACATAAAACATAACCACATTATGTATTTTTCTTTTTTCGCACCGGAAATAATAGAGGCCCAATCATCACGAAACATAAACCCCGAATTCCTCAACATCCCCCTGCACGCATTCAAGATCCTCTCTTGATCCTCATTCTTCAACAACCTCATGCCAGCTGTCGCCATCAAGCGAACCTTGGTTTCCGCCCAATGCTCCCTCGGCACGGTCCTCTTTGCGAAATCCATCAGCTCAGCCATGGCAGCACCTGCCATTTCCGGATTCTGAGCGTAGGCTGACAACCCCGGATTCACCCTCATCGACACCAGCCCCTTCTCGGAGAAATCGAGGACCAAATTGCCATTTCTAACCTCGTACTTGAACACGTGGATTCTAGTCCCCGTGCTGCCCCCGTCAATCACCACCCCGTACCTCTTGCTCCCGTGATTTTTGTTGCCGGCGAACAGAATGTAGCAGAATAGCACGATTACTGCGGTGAATGAAGTGTATAGACAGAATTTCGATCTGGGGTTTGAGTGTCGGCTGTTGGGGGATCGGAATCCGGGTCGGGTGGATCGGAATTGGAGCTTGACCGGATCCATATCTTCGTTTTCCGCCAAACTAGGGTTCACTTTTCGGGCATTCGTTCGGCGCATCAAAGACTGAAACTTTGTGAACCATAGGAAACCAAATTAATTGGCGAGCAACAAGAAAATTCCCATGGATTCACAATGATTTTCGAATTAGGTTTTCCTTTTTTTAATTTTCTGAGAGGGCCCTTTGATCAAAGTTTCAGCCCTCTCTCTGTGCTTGTGAAACTGTGTTTTTTCTGTTCTTTTAAATGATTTGGGGGAAAACGATGATCGAATTATTGAATTTTCTATTTTTAGGGTATTTCCCGGAAATTGTTTTAATATAATATTCTTGAAAAATGATATCCGCAGATATTATTAGTAGGCCCATAAGAGGAAAATTACCCTTCATAAACAAATACATTTTTTTTTTTTTTTTTGTTTATTACATAAACAAATATAACTTAATTATTTATTCATAAAAGTAAAAAAAAAATAACTTCAATTAATTAGTGGGACTAAAAATGTAAACATATCTCATTTTCTTCTCAATTTGATGTAGATTCCGTATTTGTGGAGATTTATATTAATATATAATTATATTAGTGAAACCCAAATCCCTTGGAAATATCAAGGAAATTCCAATAGCTAGCAGGTAAATCATACTCGATCACATCATATCATATCTTTTTTTTATTTTAATTGCGATTACAATGATTACTAACTTTCCTTATTCAATTAAATTCCGACTAAGCATAAAATGATGTCTAGCTAATTAAAGACATGAATAAAAAATAAAATAAAAGAAGCTTGTGATATATAGTTCATAAGAAAGAAATGAAGATATCAAGAGATGAAGTGCAGCTTATGTTTGTCAAGGCAAAGCCTTTTCTTGCAGTTGTTTTCTTACAAGCAGCACTTGCAGGAATGGACATCATTGCGAAAGCTGCACTAAACCAAGGCATGAGCAATTATGTGTTCATCGTGTACCGACACGCCGTCGCCACAATCGTAATCGCCCCTTTCGCCTTCTTGTTAGAGAAGTACGTAAATATAATATTTATATATATGTAATTTTAATTCTTGCGAAAGAATTGAATTTAATCAAGTATTTGTATGTATCGACTCCGTCCCGCAGGAAAATACAAAGGCCGAAGATGACCCTCGTCATATTTTTCAAGATTATGCTCACGAGTCTCTTTGGGTTAGTCGTTGTTTTGTACGGTCCGAAATCAAATATTTTTTTTTTCAATTAGGGTTTTAATTATGAAAATTTCGTAACAGGCCGGTTATAAGTCAAAACCTATACTTCTTAGGGATGAAGTACACAAGTGCGACGTTTATAGCTTCCATGACGAACGTTCTACCTGCCGTAACGTTCGTCATTGCGTGCTTATTAAGGTAAAATAACCAAAAAAAAATTAAAAAAATATTCGATTGAAGTGATTATATATAGTTTGTAATATTTGTGAAATTAAACATATTTAATTTTGCGTAATTAATTAGGCACGAGAAGGTAAAGATGACAAGCACTCATAGCCAAGCCAAGATAATCGGCACACTAGTCTCGATCGGCGGAGCCATGATCATGACCTTAGTGCGGGGCCCGAATCTCGACCTACCATGGACAAGGGGTAACCATCAAGACCACAAAAACGGTGAAGATTTTAATAATTCAATTAAGGGTGCCCTAATGATTGCAATTGCATCCTTCGCTTGGGCGGGTTTCATGATCTCGCACGTGCGTAAAATTAATTAATCCGTACAATTTTTCCTAATTCTAATTACGAAAAATATATTTATTAATTAATATGATTTGATGCGTGAATTTGTAGGCAATCACACTACAAACATATCCGGCTGCATTATCCCTCACTGCATGGATATGTATGCTAGGAACTGTAGAGGGAGCGGCACTTGCGTTAATAATGGAGAGGGGGAACTCCGCAGTTTGGTCGATTAAATGGGATACTAAGTTGCTCGGAGCTGTTTATAGCGTAAGAAAAATCGACCGTCTATACTAATTAATTAAACACTTGTCTAATTTTGGGGTATGTAATATAATTAGGATTAAAAGTGAATTTTTCGCAGGGTATATTTTGTTCGGGTATTACTTATTACGTGCAAGGAATAGTGTTGAAAGAAAGAGGTCCGGTTTTCGTGACTGCGTTTAGCCCGTTGAGTATGGTTCTTGTTGCGGTCATGAGCTCGTTCATCCTTAGGGAGCAAATGTATTTAGGGAGGTATATATATATATCCTTTAAAATATAATTAAGAGTTAACTGCAAAAAATCCCCTAAACTTTGGACGTTTTTGCGCTTTATCCCCTAAACGGAAAAAAGTTGCACGAGCATACCTGAACTTGTCAAATTGTTGCACCGACGAATAAAATGTCCATTTATAGCTAAATTTCTGCCTGAATTGCACATGTGCAACTCACACGTGACAGTGGAAGGGCAATTTTGTCAATTCACAATACTTTTAGGAAAAAAATAATAAAAGAACAAAGAAAAAGAAAAAAGAAAAAGAAAAAGAAAAAAGAAAAAGGAAAAAAAAAAGAAAAACGGGACTGCTATTTGCTAACCCACCTTCTTCCTCCTCTCTTGCTGTTACTGCGGAACAGGGGAGGGGGGATTTTGTACAGCACCACCAACACCTCCTCTGCTCCGCCGCACCACCACCACCTCTTCGCCTTCGCTGACGTCCGCCTCTTTAAAATCGCCGAGCCCGCCTCCTTCAGCCGCCGCATCGTTCAATCGTTTGAGAATGGGAAGGTACCTTTGATGTGAGAAAGCTCACACAAACAAAGGCGCGTGGACTAGCGAGGGATGCTGGCGGTCGCTGCCCAAATCCGCCGGACTCCTCCGCTGCGGTAAGAGTTGCTGCCTCCGGCCGGACCTCAAACGTGGCAGCTTCACCGAAGAAGAAGACGAACTCATTATCAGAAGAAAGCTTTTGAGCAGGGGTATTGACCCCACTACTCACAGACCAATCAATCATAATCCCGCAATTATTAATCATAATATTTCATTTTCCGGTACTGCAAGTTCTAAGGAAGAAGATCGGAAATATATGAGCGGCTGCGGCGGCGGCGGCTATGGTGGTTTGATAGTCGGAAAAGAAGAGAAAATGATCAGCAGCCCGGTTAATACTATTATTAAAGAACGGTGCCCCGATTTGAATCTTGAACTGAGAATTAGCCCACCCACTTATCAAGAACCGATTTTGTTGATGATGAAATCACAGAGCCATGAGGATATAATTAGCCCAGTGTCAATTGTGTTTGATTTGGATAATTTCTTCCTTCAATTGATTGTGTTGAATTGAAATTTGATTTAATCAGTCACAGATTAGCTGTAGATTGTCTTTTCTTGAGTAGGTCTTTTTTTTTTTCTCCCGTGGTGAAGCAGGAGGAAAAGAGGAAGAAGATGATGGGTGCCAATTTCTTCATTTTTTTTTTATTTTTTCATTTTTTTTATAAAAATTGTGTGAGTTGGCGAAATTGCCCCTCTATTTTCACGTGTGAGTTGCACGTGCACAATTCAGGCAGAGATTTGGCTATAAATAGACTTTTTATTCGTCGGTGCAACAATTTAACAAGTTCAGGTATGCCCGTGCAACTTTTTTCCGTTCAGGGGGTAAAGCGCAAAAACGTCCAAAGTTTAGGGGATTTTTTGCAGTTAACCCTATAATTAATTACGTACTGCAAATTGGAGATCACAATAAAATTGATGTTTGTTTATATTGTAGGGTTATCGGCGCAATCGTAATTATCACGGGCCTTTATCTTTTCGTATGGGGTAAAAAGAAAGACTACGAATCTCCGTTGGTCGAAGATCAAGAAATGTCCGTACATCAAAGTACAAATGCGGGTGATGCGGTTAATGCTTAAGAAATAATTGAAGTGCTTAATGTAACAAAGTCATGTTAGTTGTGCTCAAGAAATAAAGTTGCTTATATATATTATTATAACTTTTGATTGTTTGCATTATTGTTTTATGTAATGAGATGAAAGAGGAAATCTGGTAAGCAACTTTATTTTAGTGTTACATTCAAGAAATATAAAAAGGGAAAAGTGGAAAGCATTCTGTTACGTTTACATTTCAAAATTGTGAGTTTTGCAAATTTGCGCTGGAGTCCTTTTACTTAACAATGTTTTGCAAAGGAGACCCCCTCATGTTTTACTATAAATATGCCAACATTATTCCTACCCTTCATGTACAACGTAACATTATTTATTGATTCTTTGCATTTGAAAACCTCAAATGGAATCACAAAATCAGATCCAACCTCCATCACAAACTACATTCACTAGAACAATGTTCAATGTCCGGAATACGTTAACAGGTGATCGATCTTCGAAAATTAATCTCGATAATATATATGTTGGTGAACTCATGAATATATATTTTGTTCTTATAATAATTTTTTTTCTTTTTTTCTTCATTTGTAGGCATTACACAACTTTACGTGTACAACAGTGTATATCGACACAAATCCTACAATCAAAACCTATCCTGATATAGGTGCCCATAAGGTATTCTTAGCTTTACATATTTTTATTTTATTTTTTATTCTTCATATCGTTGTTTTTTAATTTTCATTTTCTTTGCAGGTTTTAATTAACTCGTTTGCTATAGTTCGGTCTCAAATAACCGGAAATCTTCCTTGGAGAAACATAAGCTCAGAAATCGCAATTCACATAACACTACTAATTACTCCCATCGCGAAATATGCTATATATATAATACGCTCCAACGATCATAACAACTCTTGAAAAAAAGAACGTGGGATTAATTTGTTTCGTAATTAATTAGAACATTATTAGTCGATCATTTGTACTGGTAGTAATGTACGTAGCGTTGGTATAAAAAATAAAATATCATTTATTATTCAATTTAGGGTCCTTTGTGAATGATTTATTGTGTTTTGAGGGTAAAAAGTGCTATTATTATTTTTTAAGGGTGCAAAATACCAAAAGACTCAATTTCAAGGGTGCAAAGTGGAATTAAGTGGGGAGGGGCCATGCTTAACCTGGAGATTATAACCGAGTCCCTTACCACATTACACGCGGCAGTCATTTTAAAATTTAATTAATTTTTAACATTTATTCTAATTATCAATTAATCCATAAATAATAAATTATATTTAGTAGAAACGAAAATCTAAATTACATAAAATGTGGGATTCTGTTAACTACAGTTTAGCAAATAATTAATTTCGAAAAATAAAATCACCTATTAGAAATAAAAATTAATTAAAACTAAAATGTCTGGCACGTGTCAAGGAACTTTAAATTAACTAATATAAATATAAACTAACCCCCTAAACCTAAGGACACACCAAATCAAAGAAAAACAAAAAATAGAAATTCAGTTTAAAAGTTAGAGAGATTGTTGCATGCAATCTCTCAACAGTTTCTCTCGTCACTTACAAATTTCAGGGATATATATATATATATATATATGTACACGTCAGCAATCGAAAAAAAAGCTCATTTGCAGCAAATTAATTGAAGAACAAATTGCAGATGGAGTCTGCATCACAGAATCAACAATGGCAGCAGCCAACACAAACTACATCCACAAGAACATTGTTCAACGGCCTCAACACTTTAACAGGTTCTTCGAAAAAAACTACACACCTCGATATTCGTGCATATAATTTATTAATTTATTTTTATTTCGCTTTTCGTAGGCATCGGTATGGTATCGATATCGTACGCCCTCTCGCAGGGCGGATGGATATCGCTAGTGATGTTTCTTGTAATTGCCTCGATTTGTTTCTACACGGCTTTACTGTTGCAGCAGTGCATGGACGCAAACCCTACGATCAAAACCTATCCCGATATCGGCGCGCACGCATTCGGGCGAAAGGGGAGAGTGGTTATTTCCATTTTCATCTACCTCGAGCTTTTCCTAATCGCGGTCGAGTTCCTTATACTCGAGGGCGACAACTTGCACAATTTATTTCCGAACGTGTGTCTCCGTATTTTTGGTAGAATGATCGGAGGGAAAAAAGTGTTTATTATGATGACGGCGCTCGTGGTGCTGCCGACGACGTGGCTAAACGATCTATCGCTTTTAGCTTACGTTTCCGCGAGCGGCATTTCGGCTTCTGTTATCCTTCTCGGCGTCGTCCTGTGGATCGGCGCGTTTGAGGGGGTTGGATTTAGTGGGAACGGAGTTCTTTGTAGTAATTACACTGGGATGCTAACGACCGTTAGCGTGTATACGTTTTGTTTCTCCGGTCATCCGGTTTTTCCTACTCTATATTCTTCGATGAGAAACAAAGACCAATTCCGAAAGGTGTTCGTATTAACTGTACTTTACTATCTTTATGTTTCTTTTAAACTTCTCTAGATTTTTGATTTTTTTTTTCGGTTGCAGGTTTTGTTCATTTGCTTTAGTTTGAGCGCCGTGAGCTACGGATCGATGGCGGTGATAGGGTATTTGATGTACGGGGAGAATTTGGTGTCGCAAATAACGTTAAATCTTCCTAGGAGAAACATAAGTTCGGAGGTCGCGATTTACATAACCCTAATTATTCCCATCGCGAAATACGCTATAATACTCTCCCCGATCATCGCGGCCCTCGAAAAAACGGCGATCCCGCAAGACAAGAACATGGGGTTAATTCGTCTAGCAATTAGAACATCGTTAGTCGTTTGCACTTGTATCGTAGCGTTGGTCGTCCCGTTTTTCGGGTACGTGATGGCATTCATCGGGGCGTTACTTTGCAGTTGTGCTTCGTTCTTGTTTCCGTGCATATGCTACGTTAAGATCCATAAAGCGTATCGACGCTTCGGGGTGGAGTTGATTTTCATCGCGGCTATCGTGCTTTTGGGTGTTTTTGTTGCGGTGACGGGCACTTTTACGTCCGTGAGAGACATTGTAAAACATGCATAAATATATATATCTCGTAATTTTTAAACACTTATGTTACAATCTTAGTATGAATCTCTTTTGGCTAAATACTATTTATTTGGATGAATTTATTGAATTTTTTTCAAATTGTCAAACTAGTTTTCCAGTTAATTTAGTGGATTTTTAACTATTTTTTTTTTAAATTATTTAAAGCCCAGTTTGAACTGGGACTTGGAACAAATGAATTTGGATTTCCTATAATTTAAAGTCAATTGTTTGGATAGAATTAATGTAGTGTGGTGTGTGTGTGTGTGTGTGTGTGTGTGTGTGTGTGTGTGTGTGTGTGTGAGTGAGAGAGAGAGAGAGAGAGAGAGAGAGAGAGAGAGAGAGAGAGAGAGAGAGTTGGGCTTCATGGGTTTAAATCCGCTAATATGTATTTTTGGACCCAAACAAGTGAAAATGGATTTGGACTTGGATTCAAATTCCACCGAACCTTATTACTTTTAGGGTTAATTATAGTTTGTACCCCTGAAGTATTGGGGTAGTAACAATTGCACCCCTATTATTAGAAACTTTAAAAATATATCAAGTAATTTCGGCAGAATATATCTTGGTGTAATTTTGAGGTTTATTTTTTTATTTTGGTAATTTCCGCTTCTTGTGCGTTTAAAGTCTAATTAGTAAAATTGGGAAAATTACGGTCAACCCATGAGTTATGATCAAGTTATGAAAACCCCCCTAATGTTTGAGTAATTAAATCAACACCCCTCAACTATGTATTATATTACGAAATACCCCTCCATAGTTAAATTTAGGGATGTTAAATCGGTAAAACCAAACCGAAATTTCGGTATGCCAACATTTCATACCGTTTACCGAACTGAATATATGATTTGGTTCGGTAAATAACTGAATTACATAAACTTTATGTAAAAATATTTAAAAAGAGGGGATGACTGTAATTACCCAAATAAGAGGATTTTTTCGTAATATGTCCATACTTTGGGGGTTGCCGTAATTTACCTTTAGTAATTATACTGAAATACGACAATATCACCAAGCCTTTGTGAAGCTACGCATCTATAGAAGTATAGAACCTTCAAAAGACATCAAATAAATTAAAAAGAACAAAAACAATAGGGTTGTACAAGCTTCAACTAATCGATTGAACCAACTCGAACAAAAAATCAGTTACAATGAAAATTAAACGAACACGAGAAGCATATGTATAGAATAAATGCATAGATTACATAACAATATGTTGATCAACTTAACAATTCAAGAAAACAAAAGATATCAACGAGTATAATATAATGTCGTTTCAAACATAGCCTCGACGGACTTACCAAATGCACCGAAGAAAGTGATGCTTAATCGAATAAGAAGTGTTGCACGTGTGTTGCATGTGAAATTCTTATTATATAAAAGCACATGTTTTGCACATCATATGATCTCACTAAATAATTTAAGTCTTTAATAGAGTTGAAAATAAATATTTTTTTTTCTAAAATAAAAGGAAACATTAAAATGCATCTAATAATTTATTTAATATATCATAACTAATTTTGAAATAATTGATTTTTCATAAAATTATATAAATTGCGTGCAATAGACGTGTTGTTTCTAGGTGGATACTTCGGTTGGTCTTCTTTCATGATTTTACACGTAGCAATTGTTGCATTGGTCGGGGAAGCAATTGATGCATTGGTCATGAACAAGACCAATGCTGCATCTTGGTCAATTGAATTGGAAGCCAAGTTTCTTGGCAGTCTACAGCGTAAGTATTATGTTGCAACTAAGAGTGAATCTTAAATACATTGTGTATATTCTGTTAGGAGTTACTTACTTTCTACAAGGCATCGTAATGAAGGAAAGAGACCCAGTTTCCGTGACATCGTTTCAGCCCTCTGAGCATGATTTTTGTTGCGATCATGAGCTCATCTATCATGATTGAGAGGATGAAGGTGGGCGTCGTTTATGATTTTACATGTAAGATTTCATTTGCATTATATTCTTCAATTTTGTTTTTAAAATTGTATTTTAATTAATAATAGATATGTAATGCACGAAGAGACAACATCCGTGTTGAAATTTCAAGTTATTTAGTGAGAGTATGTTACGTGCAATTTGTGTGCTTTCTTCTAATATAACGTGCAACTTGCGTTCTAGGAACGATAGAGAGCAACAAACACCTATGAACATGATAATATGATACATTCTCGCGTGTTTTGAATTACTGATCTCACCAATTTAAAGGTACTTGCTAATAGAAATGTGTTTGCTTATAGCCTTATATACAAATTAAATTCGCTATATTGAAATATATTAAGTAACTAATGAATTAATAATTAACTCATGTACAACATAACCTCAATAAATTAATAATATAAATAAATTAATAAACTCGGTTAGACAATGTTTTTTTTATGGTCCAGACGCAAGGACCATATGTTAAAAAATATTTTGAAAATGAATATTTCATTAGATTAATAGAATATGGTCGGTCACTATTATAATAATTTATAGAAGTTTAATAATAATATTTTCACAATGCAATGATAAGATTTGCTATCAACTAAAAGTTATAATAGTTTACGATTGAATTTTCGATTACGGTCATAGTATCTATATTAAAGACATATATTTATTAGAAAAGAAATTATAAGAACATAAGTTGAACGTGATACAATCTCGCTAAATATAATAACTTAAATTTTGTGAATTATATTATGTGCAATCTATGTGACTTTTTCTAATAATACTTCAAAACATACGTGTTGAACATATACAAATTAAAATTAATAGAAAAAATTAAAAGTGAAATAATATGAATTTTAATCAAATGCATGTCTCTTGAAGATATATCGTGTTTATTGCATTGTACATATACTTTATAAATTATAAAGATATTAACTTATCAATTAATTAATAAATAAATGTATATATGTATGTATATGTATGTATACATTTATGTGTGTGTATGTGCGACTAACTTTTCATTTTCGTGGTCCTTCAAATTGATTGGTTTGTATCGTCTTTTGGACAAATCACCATTTTCTAGTAGTCAAATTGATTTTTTTTCTTTGTATTATCAAATGTGAATGCCAAGCAAAACAAAATTCAGAATATGCATATCATGTCACTACAAAAAAAAAAAAATGATCGATCGCTCTCTCGAGTGACAATACCGATTTTCACATAACGAAAAATGATGTTACTGTATTTGTCGCTGAAATGATTAAATGTCAACAAAAAGAGCTATTGTTGACTACAACAAGAAATATTATCACTTAATGCATTTATTGATAATTTTTAATGTTGTCACAATTGGAGCGTCACTGATATCATTTTTTCTTATAGTGTGTTTTAGCATTAAAATTTCGAAGATCTTTTGGCTTAATTAGAAAACTTATAAAAACCGATAGGGGAGATTTACCTACCTTTAATATTCACAATTTGCTATTCATAATAACTGCAAAATTAATTATTACTATTATTAATTAAAATTTACCCTATTAGAAATTTCTTGGTGCCAATCAATCAATTTACCTGGACAATAAATTACTCATAAAATACATGCACACGGTGTCAATTTCCATGTTTCTTTTATGGAGTTGATTTTTATTCTTTGATACATTGATTTTATTAGCAAATTCAAACCTTTAAAAAAAAAAAAAAAAAAAAAAAAAAAAAAAAGAGGAGGAATATGCTGAAAATAGTCCAATGAATCAAATAACATTGTCCAAATGAAGAGGACAACATTTATAACAGGACAAATCATTGATCACCAATCCGTTAAATCCAACGGATATGATTTCACATTTAACGACACGTAACGGCTATGATTTATTATGTTCATATTGCAGGCATTAAATCCGTCCACATTTACATTTTCCTGCCTATAAAAAAACAGCCAAGATAAAAACATTTTATTAATTTATCAATCTGCAATTCATAACTCATAATAATTTTTCAAAAAAAAAAAACCCTTGTAAGAAAAAAAAAATGGAAAAAAAACTCAATCTGCTGATTTTACTATGTCTTTCTGTGGTGTCGAATGCACAAGACTTCGATTTCTTCTACTTTGTTCAGCAGGTAATCGTTTATTACGTACTTTTTTTTTTTTATAATTTTTTTATGCTAAAGGATAATAAATTATTAAGTGGAATAATTCTTGAATTCAGTGGCCTGGATCTTACTGTGACACAAAGCAAAGTTGTTGCTATCCGACGACAGGGAAGCCGCCTTCCGATTTCGGGATCCATGGACTTTGGCCTAATTACAAAGACGGCTCTTACCCTTCAAATTGTGATCCTAGTAATTCTTATGATCAATCAAAGGTAATTAAAGAAAACAAATTTTTACATATTTAATTATTTTTTTCTTGCAAGAAATTAGATTAATCGTTTGTTTATTGTAGATTTCGGACTTGATAAGCAAAATGCAAGAAAATTGGGCTACACTTGCTTGCCCTAGCAATAGTGGGTCGACTTTTTGGTCGCACGAGTGGGACAAACACGGTACATGCTCCGAATCTGTACTAGACCAACACAGCTACTTTGGAACCGCACTCAACCTCAAGTCGAAACTCGACCTTCTCCAAATTCTTCAAAGTGCAGGTAATTAATTACTTAATTACCCTTCATCCAATCAACTTCGATCTCCTATTCTTTGTTATTGCATAATTATACGTACATTGTACCTTAGTTTTCAAGAATTTGGTTATTTTGCAGCATTTTTTTTCTTTCTCCAAAAGACTAATAATCGTCGTAAATTTTACTCTTTTTTTTATCAGGGATAAATCCAGACGGGAGTTTGTACAGCTTGAGCACCATAAGAAGTACTATAAGTAATGCAATTGGTTACACACCATGGATTCAATGTAATGTGGATGAACAAGGGAACAGTCAGTTGTACCAGGTTTATGTTTGTGTCGACAATTCGGGTTCGAATTTAATCGAATGCCCTGTTTTTCCCAATGGGAAATGTGGCTCTAGTATCGAGTTTCCGTCGTTTTAGAAACTTTGGGGGATTCTATTTTTATTATTTGGAATCTTAGTAAGAAATTTGTTTTTGCTATTTTAATTATGTGTTTGTACTTTCCTACTGCATAAATTGTAATAAAAGACAATCTTCTCGTATGGTTTGTATGTACATTTGTAATTTCTTTAAAATAAATTGGGAAAATTACAGTTTTGCCCCTCAAGTTTGAACTGATTTCACATTTGGTCCCTCATATTCACAAGAAATACATTTAGTCCCTGGTGTTGCAAAAAATCAACACTTTTAATTATTTATGTCAATTTTCCATTAAAAATAACGGAATAAAGTGTGGGGCCATCACTACGTTAATTAACGGACTAACGGTAAATTGATGGAAATGACCAAAAATGTCAAATTATTGGAACATGGGGGACCCAAATATGTTTTTTGTTAACATTGTGAACCAAATGTGTAATTGGTTCAAACTTGAGGGGTGAAAACTGTAATTTCCCCTTAAAATAACTATTCTTTTATAGTTAATTTCAAAAGAACAACAAATCTAGAATCCACTAGGAATTAATCATTTAAAAAAAAGTTATAAGGAAAATTACATGTATAATTCCGATTTCCTGTTTTTTTGTTATTGCATGAAATACCAACGATAATACCATGAAATACCGATTTATAACATGACATACCGATCGATAATACTGTAATAAAGTACATCTTCATGTAATTTCTTCAAAGTTATTAGAAACGTACACGAAATTGCTATTTATCTTGTCTTGGAAGATTGGACAAACTCTTATTATAATCCCATGATTTTTGTACAACTATAGCTACAACCAACCAGACTTGCCTTTAACGGAAATTACATTTAATTCCATAAAAATAAGGCATTTTTTAGGAAAAAGAAAATAAAAAGGTACTAAAAAAAGCATAAATGGAAATTGAAAATTGAAAATTGAAAATTGCATATTTATTCAACGTCCCAACAATAAATCTATTTTTTTTCCTAGTAACTAATTATCCCCATCCTTTTCAATTGTTTGGCGTGACGCTTCGGACAAGTATTAATGTATTATCCACATTAATTAACGACTTATTGACTGCGTCTGTGTCTAACACATAATTAGGTGATAAATTAAAAAAAAAAATGTTACTAATATTTTTCAAAAATAAATATAAATAATAAAAGAGAAAAGGATTATTAGTGAATGCCACATTGTAGATTAATTAATAACTAATCCATATTAAAATGACTCGTAAACCTAACCACGTCTTAGTAAATATAACAGAAGAAGATGCTCCAGAAGGCTTTACCTAGAGATAATAACAGATATGTATATATAATATATATAATAAATTAATAATGCGACCAGACTTGTTTTACACACAAAGACTTGTAATATTTCACTAATTAATTATGTATCCCATATCTAATGTGGAATATTCCATTTCTCCATCCTATGAATTTTCCTTATAAATACTCTATATATATATTCTCATGTTATATAATTAAAAATCCAAGCTAATTAAAGAGATGAATGTTAAAATCAGTTCAGTAGTAATCATCAAGCTATTTGTTCTACAATGTTGTATATCGATTTCGTTTTCGTCGTCGGATTTTGATTTCTTCTATTTCGTTCAACAGGTACTCGATCAGCAACTATATATATACGTAATATAATTACATATAACTAGATAGAAAACTTTGAATGTTTAATCGTATCTTTAATTATGCGATTAGTGGCCTGGTTCGTACTGCGACACGAGGCAGAGCTGCTGCTACCCTACCACCGGAAAACCCGATGAAGATTTCAGTATTCATGGCTTGTGGCCTAATTACAACACCGGAAAATGGCCTCAAAATTGCGGTAGCCAAAGTTCTCTCGACAGATCCGAGGTAATTAATTAATTAACTCTTGTATATTATATGTATAGATAATAAATTAAAAAATCGAAAAATATCGTACAGATATCGGATTTAATGAGCAGAATGCACAAGGATTGGCCAACCCTAGCTTGCCCTACTGCAGATGGGATGAAATTTTGGGGGCATGAATGGGATAAACATGGAACATGTACATCTTTTGATCAACACACTTATTTCCAATTTGCCCTTGACCTAAAAAATAAAGCCAATTTACTCCAAGTTCTTGCAAAATCTGGTATAATATATGATTATCACTTTTAATATTTATATATAAAGAGAAAAAAACAATTAATTGAATAAAAGGAGTTGATTTTTTTTTTGGTAGGAATTCGTCCGGGGAATTTTTACGGTCTCGAGAGCATAAAGCAAGCGATACAAGAAGGTGTAGGGTATGAGCCCTACATCGACTGCAATGTTGACTCGGAAGGGAATCACCAAGTTTTCCAGGTTTATTTGTGTGTGGATAAATCTGCGACGAAATTCATTCGCTGCCCGATTCTCCCGCATGGAAGAGCGTGTGGGTCCCGCATTGAGTTCCCTTCGTTCTCTTCCGACTCAAACTCGTCGCACAAGGAACTATGAATTCGTAATTCATGTCAAGTATATACTTAAGTGGATGAACGGATCGACGTATGTTGAGACATTGATTATCGTATTTGGTTATATATTCGGACGATTGACGTGTGACTAATTAAATTTCCTTTTTTAATTTTTTTTAATTAGTTGATTTGTACAAATTAAAAGCATGTAATATATAGTTACATGCATGTATGTTGCAATCACACATTATTTGGGTTGTAATGTTGGATCCTTAATTAATAAATTGGCGATATTTTGTAGGGGTTATATGAGATAACCCTTCACTCAATTTCCTAAGAGGGATAAGTCCAATTAATAATTCCATTTTTGGGATAACCCCCTCCCATAGCAAAATACTTATATTACCCTTGTGGTGTATTTTTTAATTTTAATTTTTAATTTATTTTCCCAAAATAACTCCCCTAAAAATCTGCCTAATCCCCAAAATCTCTCAAAAAATCTTATACCATTTCAATTAAAAAAAATTACGTTTTCTTAATTCTGTTTTTAATTGACTTGTTTTTTTGCAGAAATTGTTTTTCAAAATTTTGATTAAATTGTGTTTCTTTTTTTTTTTTTATTCTCACGCATTTTTCTATAAGAAAATTATAAAATTTTGATTTTCCTTTAAAAAAAATATTTTCGTTTTTAAGAATTGATTTTTAATTTTGATTTTTTTTAAAAATTCTCTTTTGACATTTTAATTTAAAAAACAAAGTTTTTAACAAATTGAAATCATCTATAAACTTATCGAAAACTACTATGTAAATAACGAAAACCACTATGTAATTAATGTATTCCACTGCAAAAATTCATTATAAATTTATCGAAAACCTCTATGTAATTAACGAACAACACTATGTAATTAATGTATTCCATTACAAAAATTCATTATAAACTTATCGAAAACCACTATGTAATAACGTAGTTCATTACGAAGATCCATTATAAGCTTATCGAAAACCACTAGGTAAATATTTTCGTTTTAAAAATTGATTTTTAATTTTGATTTTTTTTTAAATTCTCTTATGACATTTTGATTTAAAAAACAAAGTTTCTAACAAATTGAAAACCACTATAAACTTATCGAAAATCACTATGTAATTAATGTATTCCACTACAAAAATTCATTATAAACTTATCGAAAACCACTATGTAATTAACGAAAACCACTATGTAATTAATGTATTCCATTACAAAAATTCATTATAAACTTATCGAAAACCCCTATGTATTAACGTAGTTCATTACGAAAATCCATTATAAGTTTATCTATTACGAAAATTCACTATAAACTTATTGAAATTTCAATTTTTTAAAAAATTATTTTATTTCCACCAGGTTTACCAAAAATGAAATCCACTACACATTTGTCAAAATTTATCGACATTCATTATAGAAAAAAAAACGTAAAATTCACTATTAAATTGTCGTAAACCACTGTAAAATTAACGTAATTCAGTATTCACTGTCTGAGTTTGAAATCCACTATTCACTGTATGAATTTGAAATCCACTATTTACTGTAAGTATAATCCACTATTTATTGACTCGTGAGAATTATAAATCCACTCTTCGGCGATCTAAAATATACATGGAGATGAGTACAACATCCAATAGAGCCCCCGTCCGATTCGTTTTCCTCAATTTTTAGACCCATCGATAGCTCATACATAACCACTCCAAATTAAAGTTGTAAGTACCGTTTTGTTGAATCTCCTTCTTTTATGTCCATATTATGTCACATCACATAGAAAGAAAAACAAAAACCACTAATAAATAAGGATTGAGTAAACTTACACCATTAAATACAACAGTAACATGTATATTATCAACTCATACAATGTTTTAAACACCAAAACAAGTGAATTACGAAAACATAAGATATATTGAGTAACACCACCGTACACCACTACTTACTGTTTAGTGAAAATTCAAAAACCACTATTTACCGTAAGCGCATTTACATCCTAAAGAATACATTCGTCAAACACATCCATCTTATACATAAGCGTTAGGTTGTGACCATTGATCATAGCGCATTTTGACCATATAAACTTTATTAACATTACATAACCACTCCAATTGCAGCCTCTGCTTCACCATATCCATGGGAGTAAGCACCGCAGCACCGCATCACTAGCAACAGTGGCACAAACCCCAGAAGCTGCGTGAGCCGCGTGATTGTCCAAATTGTCGTCGGAGAATCTCTTCTAACAGAACTCGTAAACAAAGAACTAGACAGCGTGTGTGGGCCCCGCACCGAGAGCCATGGCTCCGATCCCGAGGTGTTTTTCCCTTCGGGCCGTCGAATCTCACAATAAAACGGACTGCTTGGTTGACGCTGGCGGATTTAATCGGGCAGGAACCTAGGGCTTTGCATATGGGTTTTGATTGTGTCGACGGGGAACATCGACATGTGCTCCACCATGCCGGCGGTCGAGCCGACGACCATGAACTGCCAGAAGTGAAGTCCGTCGTGCTCCACCGCGGCGGCGGCGACGATTGCAGGTTGATAATCGGGCTGGTGCGGCACGGCGAGGAGGTCCGGCTTCTGAAATTTCGGGGATGCGTCGGTGGCCATGGGAGATTGGAAGAAAACGATCTAGGGTTGAACAATTCTGTATCGGAGAAAGGGCTTATCGCCATAAACAGGAATTCATATGTATAGATTTGGTATTGAATAAACAGAGGGCATGGTCGCGAAGGAGAAAGATGGTGGAAGATTGCAAAGGCAAAAACTAGGGTAATTTGGGGGTTTTACAATTTACAGTAACCGACTGTAAGAGAGAAACAAAGAGAGGGGCAACCGGTGGGAGATCTCGCCGAGGAGGAGGAGGAGGATGGAGATCGTGTGGTCGTCTGGTGGGACGGCGAGGTGTTGGCGGGGTTGCGGAGAGAAAGGAAATGTTGAGACACGGTTATATTGTATGGGAAACGTTGCTAGGTTAATTAAAGAAATTGAGAAAGGTTAAAATAAGTTATTAATAATATAATTTACTTAATAAAATACAAATGGATTTATCTAAAAAAGGAGTTAAAAAAATGGATCTAGTCTAATGATAAATTGCATATGAGGGAGTTTTCTCAAATAATCCCTATTTTGTATTATCTACAAATATTACAAGCTAACTCCCTAGTAAATAAGATTTCTCGGGTAAAATTGAAATTTCTAGGGGAATATTCTTGGATTCTAGAAGATTCTGTTATTATTGACATCGTTTGGAAAAATGTTAAACAACACATACACGAATGAGGAAAATGTTATTACGAAAATAAGATAATTTTCGAATTTAACTTAGCATTAATTAGGGAGGTGTTCGCAACGTTAGTATAACAATCACGATTCACAAAAACGAAATAATATTGGTATGTTTCATAGGTCGAATTTCTCACACATGGTTAGCCTAGTGTGGTTTACGAGAACTTGTATTGTCTGCAAACTGTTATACAATAATGTAAATTCACCCAATACACCTATATATTGACTGTTGCGAGTTCCTTCATTCTTAAAAAAAAAAAATCGATCAAAATAATAATTTATGAATAGAATCATTGCGTTGTGTGATTAATATTCTTATAAAAAAAAGTTGTTTAATTAATATTGTATAGTGCACTAGAACAAAATGTAAAAAAAAATGTAAATTTCTAAACAGTTGTTGGGCTACTTCTTTGATTCACTCGACCTTGGACTATTGGGCTTTGTTTAGCCCAAGCCAGAATACATAAGCAAAATTATCCTCTGTAGCCGAGCGCAACTTGTCCTCTCATATCCACCGTTGGATCAAATCACGATCACAGCACATCTCACAGAGTTCTACTCCACCTTAAACCCTTGTAAACCTAAATTCTAGAAGGAGAAATCCTTTTTCTATTTCAAAGAGAGGAAAATCTCTCTCATCTATCTGCCCTCTTTGTAACCCCCTCAACAAGGTATTTATATCTATGTGTAAATATATATATTTGCTCAAATTTGCATTATCTTCGATTGCTTGATAATTATTTTATTTAAACAATATTATTTATTGACTGTGGGTCGGCGAAGGGTTTATCGAACCGTCAAATCAATCGCAATCAGCTCTTTTTTTTTTGTTTAATAATCTCCGAGTGTGTCAATTTCTGTTTGATTCAATTGCTGCAGCAGTGGTATTGAATGGCGGCGCGTGCTTCAGCTTCTTCCGGTGCGGCCGGAAATACCGTCAGAATTGTGGTTGCCGGCGATGCTAAGACGGGGAAATCGAGTTTAATAGTTACTGCCGCCGCCGAGAGCTTCCCGACCAATGTTCCTCCGGTGATGCCGCCCACCAGGCTTCCCGAGGACTTGTACCCGGACCGTGTTCCGGTAACAATTGTTGATACTTCGTCCAGGTATTTGAACAGTTTATTTATGTTTGTTCATAGGCTCTGATTGTAACTTCTATAGAAAAAAAATCAGATTTTTGGTTGCGCTTATCTTTTTATAGGATTTTGAAAGAGGTATTTGAGTTTGGTTCTTCAATAAGCTTGTGTTTGTGTATGGTTGTGCCTGCATTGTGCTTGGATATTGTCGGATTTGTTTCTTGTCTGTTTATGTGGTCGTCGAACTTTGCATTTGCTCACACTCTATACATTGTGTCTGGATGTTTAAGTGTAGGCAGAAGTATCAATAGAAGTAACTGAATATGCATATATCTTTGTACAGACTTCAAAATTCACCATGTATACCTACATTTTATTTTCACATTGTGTGTGTGTATATATATGTATATTTTATATCGAGCCTTATGAACATCTCCATCAAATTAATGTAATCTTGTGCGTGGTTATGTATTTACAATTTCGTTTGGATATTCTTTCTTGCTGGCTACCTTATTCATCGTGTTCAACTATGATATGCAAGAAAATTTGTATCACATTTTAGTAGACTGCATTGCGGTACTGTCTATGCACTTTTGGCTTTTCTTGTGTCTGTTACATAATATTTTCCATTGTTATCTTTCGAAGTTGTAATCCAATATTTTTTTGTAAATTAAAATGACATGCAGTCCTGAGAATAGAGGGAGGCTTGTTGAAGACCTAAAGAGAGCTGATGCTGTTGTGCTTACATATGCATGCGATAGACCTGAAACTCTTGATAGATTAAGTACTTACTGGCTTCCTGAACTTCGAAGATTAGAGGTGTTCACCTTAAACCTTGAAATTTTGTCACAAGTATTTCTGGTATTTTAATGTTAAAAATTGCCTTTTAAATGCTGGATTCATTTAAGTTCTCACTAATTGCTATTGTGTTGCCTTGGCAGGTTAAAGTTCCCGTAATTGTGGTGGGTTGCATGCTCGATAAGAGAGGTGATCAGCAGCCTGTTAGTCTGGAGCAGGTTATGTCACCAATAATGCAACAGTTCCGCGAAATTGAAACTTGTATCGAATGTTCTGCAGTAAATCATATTCAGGTTAAGTCTACTTCAACTTCTTATCTTCTTGACTATTCAATGCTTTAAATTTTCAATGTGTAGCGACAATGGCAATTTTACCCTTTTATGGAGCAAATTAGCTGCAGATATAGCTCCATTGTTAATATCTTCCAGTTCTTCCACCTTTTCCCTGTTGATGCACGAAAGTGATGCTATCTTAAATGCATTATTTATTGGTTTATTTCATCTGTTAAAAGTTTATGGTCCTATTTGCTAATTATAAATCTTCTCAACATTTGAAGTTCGGAAATATTTCTCTTGATTCTTTATGTTGATGCTTAGCGGATTAAGTCAAAATTATTTAACCACTTGGTGTATGTATGCAGATTCCTGAGGTCTTTTTCTATGCACAAAAAGCCGTGCTTCACCCTACTGCTCCACTCTTTGATCAAGAGCAACAAGTTCTGAAACCAAGGTGTGTTAGGGCTTTGAAGAGGATATTTATCCTCTGTGACCATGATAGGGATGGCGCCCTCAGTGACGGAGAGTTGAATGACTTTCAGGTCAGTTTATTCTAATTTTGTTATTTTAGTTTTGTCAATGCCTCCATTTATTTTTTGATTTAGAATCACTTAATTTACATGTACAGACAATCTAATATGTTTTGGTGAAATATGCAGGTCAAGTGTTTCAACGCCCCACTTCAACCATCTGAAATAGTGGGTGTTAAAAGGGTTGTGCAAGAGAAATTAATGGAAGGTGTCGATGACCGTGGTCTTACATTGACTGGATTTCTGTTTCTCCATGCACTCTTTATTGAGAAAGGACGTCTGGAGACAACATGGACTGTGCTTAGGAAGTTTGGATATAACAACGAAATTAGACTTCGTGATGATCAGTTGCCCCCTCCAATAAAGAGGTACCCTGACCAGGTATTTAATGACTATTTTGGGCACTTTAACTTTTTACTGTTTGGAAGTTTTTCCCGATTAATTTAGTTTGTTAGTTTGTTAAATTAATCAAAACTAGTTGTGTTGCTTTGGATGGTGCTTTCTGCTTGATATTTTAACAGCAGATTGTCAAACTATTATTATTTCCCTTTTATTTCGTTGTATGTTGACTAGTATTCAGTATTCACGTTTTTTTTTTAAAGATGGTTTGTCTAAATGCAATATCACCTTATGTAGTTAACTCCCTCTAGTCCAGGCACCAATGTTGAGTTCTAGAGAAATTTTAAAGACCCCTGGCTCTATTAATTGTATTATGCTTTTTATGAAAGCAAAAATGTACCCTTCTTGATGATAACTTTTGCTCCTTTATTTGGATTTTCCGTCTCATCCTACTTCAAAATTTCTGTATTGAAGGCAAACAAAGTGCACAATTAATTTGATATAAATTAAATACCCAAAAATAAGGAATTTTCAAATAGGTATGTATGGATATGCAAGAAAAATAATACTGCAAGGTAGAAGTGTAGCCTACATTTATTAGTTTCTTTTATATGTCAATGATTGCTTATCATGGAAATGGAAACGTAAATCAATGTGAATTTTCCTTTATCTGTTGTATTTGTTAATTCAAGCCGATATCAGAGTGGGTAAATGGTGGGTTCTGTTCACTACAGGACTGTAATTGTAAGGTTATATCACGTTACCAATTCCTAGTATTGTAAAAAAACTGCATTCCTATCCTGCACTGACAGATTATTCCAATACAATCTGGTTATTTACTGTGTTTTTGGCTTTCTAGCTTTATGTAATTGACATAATCATGTGGCAAGTAGGCGTTCATTAATTGATATATCAGAGTGGTTTTGTTTTTAATAACACCTTTTCTGTTCTTGTGAAGTTTCCCTCTTTTATTTAAAGAGTGTTTCTTATATATTAATTTCTAACACCGGTTCTCATTGTGTAGAGTGTGGAGCTGACTAATGAAGCTGTGGAGTTTCTCAAGAAAATTTTCTACACCTACGACGTTGACTGTGTATGTTAAGTTTCTTCATTTAGATTTTGTCAGATGTATCTGCATGTCATATACGCAATACATGATATGTTATGTAGCTCACTTCTAAGTATTATAATTATCTTATATGAAACCTCTATTAATAGATAATTTAATTAGCTTCTATAATTCAATTTGGTTTTAGTTTCTTAGTGTAACATTGCTTAAATCATCAATAATGCCAGTGCAGCATTTGAGTGAGTACCTCAATGCAAAAAAATAAACAATAAACAGTTTATTTACTCTGTTTCAATGTATTTGTTACCTATACGAAATTGGATATTGTCTCTTGTTGAATTCTTGTTGACTGAAAATGTTGATTATTGTCTTTAATGTTATCTTCAGGATGGAGCTCTTCGACCTGCCGAGCTTGAAGATTTATTTTCGACCGCACCTGAGAAGTAAGTTGTTCTACTTTGAGATCTTTAAATGTTATTTAGTTCAACAAAGAGGATCCTTGTTAACATCCAAAGATGTTTTGCAAGTACATTAATGCACCTGTTAATATATCTATCAATGGGTATAATGAGCTTCTGGAAGTACCTCTTGTTTCTCAAAAGGCACATTTACTACAGACTGCACAATGACTCCTGATTACTTCAAACATTGTATTTTGAAAATGGAGTGTGTGCTAGTGTTGAACAATTTTTCTATAAGTTATACGTATATCAAGTTAAATACCGCTTTTCATGGGTAATGAAGGTTCTGTCAAAAAATATGTTTCATATTGACAGTTTGATACCTTCACAGTTCTTTGATTATGTCTCTTTTTCACGTTTCCAAAAACAAAAAAGAAAATTCAACTATTTCTCTTTGGTTTCTCAGTATTGTTTGACATCTACCAGATACAAAGCTTCTTCTAAAGTAGAGTATGCTCTATATGTAATGAACATATTCTTAGGAATTATTGAAGCTGGAAGTGTGTAAGAGTAGTTATAGTTGTCTTTTTGCCCCCGTTTATATGCGTTCAGTTTTAGTTTTGAAGTTGAGTGTTTCCATAATAGAATTTAGTTTTTCTCTATTATTTTCATTCTAATTTGAAGAATTATCTTTTTGGGTTTTTACTGATGTGGCTCAACTTTTTGTAACTTAGTCCTTGGAATGAAGCTCCATATGTGGAAGCTGCAGAAAAGAATGCTCTTGGAGGGTTATCACTCGATGGGTTTTTATCCCTGGTGCGTGTACTGTGTTTGTTATACTATTTTTCATAATACTAGCACAAAGTTTTTGCTTTATAACATAAACAAACATGCTATATAAGCTTCAACCTAAGACCATGTTTCCCTACTAAAATATTTTCTTGTGCCTTCAATTTCTCTGACAATTAAATCCAATGCAGTGGGCCCTTATGACGCTTCTCGATCCAATTCGTAGCGTAGAGACCCTTTTATATATAGGTTATGGTGATGATCCCTTATCTGCTATACGTGTCACTCGAAGAAGACGTTTGGATCGTAAGAAGCAACAAACTGAAAGAACTGTGTACCAGTGTTTTGTGTTTGGACCAAAAGAGTCTGGCAAGTCTGCTCTATTGAACTCCTTTATTGGAAGGTATATTTTTTCTTCTACACAATTGTTTTTTTTCAGATGTGATATTTCTATTTTTAGATGTTATTTTCTATTCTAATGAATCTGTGCTCATCCATTTCATAGGCCTTTCCCTGAAGAATATGCTCCCACCACTGGTGACAGATATGCTGTTAATATCATCGATCAAACTGGAGTAAGTGCTCTCTTATTGCAGAAGTATACTTACATTACGAGTTGATAGACATGTATCCGAACATATGCTTGCCTAGTTATATGCTAGTAAAGAAACTAGTTTTTTTTCGTAGTATTTGGACTGTTAGATGAATTTTACCTAGACTAAATTACGCATTATGCGTCCATAGTGGGAAGACAACTCATAACCATCACTTTATATGGGATTTGAGCGTCTAGTCAAGTGTAGAGAATGATGATTGCTAGATGATAAGCACTACTTAACCAAACAAGAAATGAAGAAAAAAAAGTATTATTGATAATTTGAAGAATTGGACTATTTGTTGAACAAAAGCTTCAAATAGGCCATTTCAGCAAACACGGGTAAAGAAAAGCAGTTCTGAAAACACAATGCTATCTTTTTATGTCTTCTTGATTGCTCACATGGATCGCATACGATAATTTCAATTCTTAAGATAGCATAAGAAAAACTTGCTTTTGCATTTTCTTATTCTGATTACTTTTATCTTAATTGTCGAGAGTGTTGCTATCTTTTGAGTTTGAAATTTGTTTGTGGAATTTTTTTCAAGAATATAGTGTATCTATATGTCTTGGAGGACTTGAGAGTTTTATTAATTCCAAGTCTTTTATGATGTGCTCCTAACTGCAATACACATTTGATTCTAGATGGATGCCCTGAACGTTGTTCAGGGCTATGAATAATACATGGATTTTGAAATTAAGTATTGCTTGATGTTTTCATAGGGACAGAAGAAGACTCTTGTGCTACGAGAAATTCCGGAAGAAGGAGTGAAAGAGTTCTTGTCCAGGAAGGATGCTTTGGCTGCATGCGATGTGGCTGTGTTTGTTCACGACAGGTAGGTGAATTGCTTCTTATTGGATGACTAATCTTTTGTTGCAGTAAATACTAAATTAAAGAAAATGTAATAAAAATTCAGGTAGAATAGAAAATTCATTCTATGCTGTTATTGTGGTTGCATCATAGTGATCTTGATCTGTGTTTCTTACTGTTTTCAAATCTTAATCTAGATTGTCGTTTTTATTTATCACAACTAATTTTTGCCCATTTATCAAACACGAATTGCTATAACCGTTTATCTCGATTTCCAATTGACACAAGTACTTGCTATTGCAGTTCTCTTGAACCTTCTTGGCAGAAAGCAACAGAGATGCTTGTGGATGTTGCGAGTCAAGGTGAAGCAACTGGTAACGAGGTGCCTTGCCTCATTGTTGCTGCTAAAGACGATCTCGACCCATTTTTGACCGAGATTCAAGACTCAACACGGGTAAAAAAAATCTTCTACGCTGATATATTTTATTTTTTAAACATCTCCAAATTCAAAATCTGATAATGCTTGTGAAATATATATAAAACAGGTAAGCCAGGATATGGGAATAGAGGCACCTATTCCTCTCAGCACAAAGCTGGGAGATTTCAGTAACATATTTCATAGGGTTGTAAAAGCAGCAGAACACCCTCATTTAAGCATTCCCGAGACATCTGCTGGGAGAACCCGTAAGCAGTATCACCGCCTTATTAAAAACTCCCTTGTCGTAGTTTCAGGTATTCTCAAAACAATTGGTGCACTTTTATTTTTTGTTGTAAGAATGTTCAATTTTATGGCATTGTAATCTTGTTTACATTGATACAGTTGGAGCTGCAGTTACGGTTGTTGGGTTGGCTGCTTACCGTGTTTATGCTGCAAGAAAGAGTTCTTCGAGTTAAGAAAGGCAATGAATTCGAAGTACATCTCCAATCCTCTTCATTTTTCACTTCTCGTTTCGTATTGTGAAAATAGATTTTTAGTGAACATAATAAGTTATATTGTTAGACCCCCTCTGCAAAAAAAAAGTTCCAATGATCGATCGCTCTTCCTATTGTTCCACAAGTAAGGATTTTTTTCTTCTTTTTTTTTTTTTCCCGTCAAATTGTTAAATTTTTCTACAGTTGTGCCATTTTCCTTGAAATATGATCAGATGTACAGCTGTGATTTTTCTCTCCTTTTTTTTTTTTTTTTTTTTTTTTTTTTAATGGGATCTCAACTTCATTTTCTTTCCTTTGGCTGATAAAAAAATAAAGTTGAATAAAATGCATATAATGAGGTAAAATTTGAACTTTACTTGTGAAGTTACTGTAAATAAGGAGGTTTGGCAGCACATCGCCTTCACCGGATGCATCACAGACAATCAAGTCTCAACTTTTTTTTTTTTCTCACTTATTTTTTCTTTTTTTAAGGATAAATTACGGCCACCTCTGAGGTAGAATTAAATTACGAAAAAATCCCTCGTGTTGGGTAGTTGCTACCAATCCCTCAACTATTAATCTTATTACACTTCTACTCTTGTGGTGACAAATTTAATTCGATCTTCTAGATTGTGTGAAATTTTTTGTTTGTACTTGTTTTATGCCATTTGAGCTCCACATTTTGAAACAAGATTATCATAAGATGTGTCTCTTGTTTTGTAAATATCATATTGTGGGGCATCAGAAACTGTATTTATGCACAAAAATGAGTACAAACTAGAGAACATTTCACATAATCTAGAATATTATATTGGATTTGACACCATAATGATGAACGTATAAAAAATTTATAGTTGAGAGGGATGTTCTAATTATTCAAACGTGAGGGGTCTTTTTGTAATTTGATCTTTTACTTCAGGGGCGCCTGTAATTTACCCTCCTCTTTAATAACCAAATCTATGCTGAATACAAAAATCAAATCTTCTTCATCAATCTTATTATATCTATAAAATTTACAGATACTTTGATGTTGTTACTTGCTAATTGTTAAACAAGTTGTTTAGTATATTGTAGAAGCCGTACCCAATTGGTTTAACAGTTAACCAACTAAATATTCTATTAGTAGATGCATGTATTATCTACAACTTTGTGTACACATGCACCAGTTGGCATATAAAATTTGAAATATGAAACAAAGATCTAAATTTTAATAATAAATTAGTTTCATCACCGGCTGCGGCCTGCCCTAAATATTGGGGTTCTTTACTCTTTTCTAGATACTAAAGTGATACAATAAACCCCAACAATAGATATCATCTAAAAAAAGTACGTTAAAAACAAGAAAACGTGTTTTATCGACAACGACATGACATCACATCCAACTATTGTTACAACTTACAATACAAGTTTGAACCTGGCAATCCTGAGATAAGATCAAATTACGAAAAACCCCTTCATGTTTAGATAATTATAACCATCTCTTCAACTACAAATCTTCTTACATACTCCACATTTATGGTGTCAGCTTCAACATAATCTTCTAGATTCCGTGAAATGTTCTCTAGTTTGTACTTGTTTTGTGTAATAATGATTTTTCTGATGTATCACAATCTGATATTTACAAGCTAAGAGACACATCTTATGATCATTTTGTTTCAAAATATGGAGCTCAAATGGGATAAAACAGGTACAAACTGAAAAATATTCCACATAATCCGCATGGATGAACGTGTAAGAAGATTCATAGTTGAGGGGTGATTGTAATTACCCAAACATGAAGGATTTTTTGTAATTGGACCTTATCTCAAGGGGGTGGCCGTAATTTACCCAAAAAAAGCCAGAAATTAAATTGGTGAAAGATATTAATAGGGTGTTTGGCGAAGCTTATAAGCTGCTGAAAAGAACTTATAAGATGATCAACTTATAAGCTCTTCAAAATTAGAAAAAAATAAGTTGTTTAAGAGTAAATAAATATATATATATATATTTTTAAATTTATCTTCACACCACCTTTTTATTTAAGATCATATAATGAGTAAAAAAAACTTATAAGCTCATTATCCAAATACTTAAAAAATTCTAAAAATAATAAGTAACAACTTGTCAACTCTTATAACCCTTTATCTAACATAAAAACTTATTCCTAAATTCAATTTAATTAACCTTATCAATCCCATTAATATTCCAAAACAAGTCCTAAAGAAAGACAGTACTTTTGACCAAGTCTTTGCCCTCTGTATAGTTCCCATTTGTGGGTTTATTTCTTTTGTTGAAGTGAAATAATTCCAACATCAAACAGTCACATAAAATTGTCTCTATTTCATAGTTGAATTTTGTTATTGACTTTTGGGCTACCTTCCACTAATAGTATTTAATGACTAATTGGGTGAATTACTTTAAATGACTTGATATTTATTGGATTTTAGATCCACCAATTATAACAAGGTTTAATGAATTAAGAATTTTTAAAGAATTAAGAATAATCAATCAAGTAGGTAGAGCAACAAGGATTTGATTTTTTTTTTTCAGTTTATATTTCTAATTTTATTTTTATTCCATTTTATTTCATAACTAGCAAAAAATAAAGAATAAATAGAGAAAGTTTGAACAAGTCAAAATAGTTCAACTTCAAAATGGGAGAAGTCTTTATCTAGAAAAAAATCACACTAATTCAAACAAAGGAAACAAACACGACACCATGTTCAGAAAAAGTCACCACAACTGTTTTTGCTTTTATGTGCAATTTAATTTAATTTACTATTTTAAAAAATAATAATAAATAAATAAATAAAAAGTCCCTAGTAGCAGACAGGCAGCCAACTACTCTTTCAGTAAAAAAAATATAATAATAAATATAAACACAATAAATGCTTTTTATTCAACAAAGAAAAATTTAATTAAAACCTTAAAAACATTTGAAATTAAAACCAACCCAAATATGACTAATCTATGAAATTAAACCAACAAACTTTGATTCTGAAGTAGACTACAAGTTTAGTTCAATACCAAATCATCACTACTTCTTCTTCCTCTCTCTCTCTCCCTCTCTCTCTCTCTCTCTCTCTCTCTCTCTCTCTCTCTCTCTCTCTCTAAATCTTCGCTGCTTCGGATTGTGGCGCCACTAGGTACGGCGGCGTTTCAGCGTTTATGTTTGCGTTGATGCACTTTTTAGTTGTTTTGTGAGCATTTTTTTTTGCGGATTATTAATTTGTTTAAATTTTTGGTTTGTGTTTTTGCTGATGAATATTCAATGTAATGCATTCCGATCTGTGCTGTTCATTTTTTTTTTTTTTTTTTTCTGAAATCTACCATTGTCGGTTGGAAGTATCTACTATTGTCGTTAAGCGCTGTTGAGGTTGGAGATTTGATTTGGTTTTGTGGTCACTGAGTTGGAAAGTTTGAGTTTGGTGCTGAGTTGAAATGACTGATTGAGTGAGTTTTGGTGCTTACGAGTCGGTTTTTTGAGTATTTTTCTTATATGGAGGAAATTATGTACTTGTAGTTGTGGTTTTATTATTGTTATTATTATTTTTAATTTAATTTTAATCATTTGAGTTAGTTAAGTGAGTTTTGGTTGTTTTGTATGTTATATTTATGTGGAGTTTACAATTTTGATTGGTTCAGTTTGAGACTATGATCCTCGGGTTGGTTTTCTTGAGTTCAACAGGCATAATAGGCAATTGGCGTTCTTGAAGAAGATATCGTAGGTTGTGGTTAAACCGACTTGTGTTTTAATACTCTTAATGTGTGTTAATTTGGTGTTTTTGTTAGTTTATTTGGTGAACTTTGGTTAAATTAAAGTAATGCTTCTTGATGCATAATTAGAGAAATGCATATTGTAACATCTTCCATTTCGAGTTTCGACTTCTCTAATTTCCAATGCTCATGATCTTACTAAATCTGATTTTTGCTCTCTTTGTCAATTCTCGGAAACTCTAGCGACGAGTAAGTAATGAAGTGGGTCTTCTAAATTTGGAAAAATACCAAGTGAAATAAATGAGGGATATGCTTTTTATATTGCCGCTTTCCCATTCTTAGATTTGCATTCGAGTCTGCATAATTTATATCAAATTGCTGATCTCGTTCACTTCAGAACTTTACATTTCAACCTCTCTTTATCTTCATGTTCACTCTTTATATTGTTCGCTAATGCAGGTACCAATTTATATGTGTTCGTCTTAGTCCCTTACAGTTCAATTATTATGATATCTTGGTATGTATGAGCGGCAATGAAGAAATGGTACTGCGGTGTTTTGACCGCATCTTTCTTGATGTTATTTCTTCTCGGATATTACGTAATAAGAAACCCCATCGACGAGAGCTACTTCACTAGCTCTTTAATACTCAACGCCACAAATCCTCTCGAGTGGATTAACTCTGCTGCTCCACCTGCACTCCCAAATCCGGAAAATACTTCTCAAGTGATCTCCACCGAATCTATTGCATCTAATCTCTTTGCCCCAAGGAACTTGTCCAAGGAAGAACAAAGTTCTTTGCAGACATGGAATCGTTTAAGAAACTTGGTCACGCATGCTCAGGGCTTACCTAATGCTGCTGAGGCGATTAAGGAAGCTGGTGCTGCATGGAAAAACCTGATTAACTCCGTTGAAGAAGAAAAACGACAGAGTAATGGGAGTTTACTGAAGATAGGGAAAGAGAAACAATGTCCTCATTTCCTCAGTAAAATGAACGCGTCAGAAGTTGAGGATGACGGATTTAAGTTGAAGATTCCCTGTGGGTTGACTCAAGGTTCTTCGATCACATTTATCGGCATTCCGAATGGTCTTCTTGGTAATTTCAGAGTTGACCTGACTGGTGAACCTCTGCCGGGAGAGCCAGATCCTCCTATTATTTTGCACTATAATGTTAGATTACATGGGGACAAGGTAACAGAGGATCCTGTAATTGTTCAAAACACGTGGACTATTGCACATGACTGGGGTGAAGAGGACCGTTGTCCAACTCCTGACCGAGAAAACCTTAAAAAAGGTACAAGCCTATCCCTTCTGTCTGCCCATTAAAATTTTTAGATTGAATAATTTTTTTTTTATTTTGTTTGCTAATAAGCTGAATTGTTTTACTTGAGGCAATCCCAAAGAGTATATTATTTTCTGATTCAGTCTTCGTTCTTTTCTTACTTCACATTCTTCTTCATTGATGTTAACTTGTCATTCTGCATCATGTGTTGGGCGATGCTAATTGCTGGTGCCAGTGGATGAGCTGGACCAGTGCAACGAGCTTTTGGGTAAAGAAAATAACCATACCGTTGTCAAAACTAATCAACATGCCAATACAACATCAAAGATATCCATGGCGCATGATGGGAAATCAAGAAAGTACTTCCCTTTTAAGCAAAACGATTTATTTGTTGCTACAATCAGAGTCGGTTCAGAAGGAATTCAAATGACAGTGGATGGAAAGCACATAACCTCATTCGCTTTTCGTGAAGTAATATTGCTTTCTCCTACAAAATTTACTGTTTTTTTTTATGTTGATTTTGATTTGCACTCGTCAATTGACGTTGATTTCCATACGCTGACTGTGTGTGCAGACTTTGGAGCCGTGGCTCGTTAGTGAAGTGCGGATTTCAGGAGATATAAACTTAATTTCTGTTGTTGCTAGTGGTTTACCAACATCAGAGGATTTAGAACATATAATTGACTTGGAATCTCTCATAGCTGTTCCAATACCTTCTCGAAGACGACTTAATCTGTTTGTCGGAATATTCTCTACTGCCAACAATTTCAAGCGCAGAATGGCGGTTCGGAGATCGTGGATGCAATATCCTGAAGTACGTTCAGGACAGGTTGTGGTTCGTTTCTTCGTTGGTCTGGTAAGTTAATTATTTTGTTTTTTCTGTAATTTTTCTTACCTAAAAAAATGGACACCTTGATAATTAAAATTCATAATGATTAATCCAAGTACAACATTATATCTTGTAGCATAAAAACCAGATGGTGAATGAGGAGCTGTGGAACGAGGCACGGACTTACGAAGACATACAACTGATGCCTTTCGTTGACTACTACAGCCTGATTACGTGGAAGACAATAGCCATCTGCATCTTTGGGGTAAACTTTCTCTTACCTTCCTAGCTAGTAGCACTAGTATAGTATCCCGACAGCACCTCATTGCTTTAATCTGTTCGACAGACTGAGGTTGTTTCGGCTAGGTTTATTATGAAGACAGACGACGACGCGTTCGTTCGAGTGGATGAAATCTTAAATTCTTTAGGGCGGACAAATACGACTCAAGGTTTGCTATACGGCCTCATCAATTCGGATTCAGAACCTCATCGTAATCCAGATAGCAAGTGGTTTATTAGTCCTGAGGTATATTTTATTTTCAACTGATTTTACTGTTTCATGTATACACTGTCGACTGGTCCAACATCTTGTTTTATTCTGCACAAAAACTATATTTTCCAAGCAGGAAAATCGGGATTTACGATTATACTGACACACTTGGTAATTTGATCTTATCTCACTTGGTATCAAATTTCTTTCCAGGAATGGCCAGAGGACAAATATCCGCCTTGGGCACACGGGCCTGGTTATGTCGTGTCGAACGATATAGCAAAGACAGTTTCCAAGAAACACAGAAAAGGACGCCTAAAGGTACAAGTGATTATGATTATGTCGAAATTAAATTCTCCATCACATTGTAATTTCACAGTAATATAGTTAAAATATTAAAAATCAAAACTAATGCAGATATTCAAGCTAGAAGACGTTGCCATGGGAATCTGGATAGCGGATATGAAGAAGAAGGGATTACAAGTAAAATACGAGAACGATGAGAGGATCTTTAACGACGGTTGTAAAGATGGTTATGTTGTTGCACACTATCAAGGCCCAAGAGAGTTGCTCTGTTTGTGGCAGAAGATTCAAGACACAAAACGTGCTAATTGTTGTGACGAGTAACTAACTCGTGCAATTAGTTAGGTCTTGGGTTGTCCTCTTGAAAGGGTAGTAATCTTTTGCCACGTTTTGTAGAGACATGTAGATTTACAAGTAGGAGATGATTAAATACGCGTGTGGATTAGAGTATAGGTGGTTTTAACAAACACGTAAACTTTGCTGTCCATTTTTCTGGGGAGGGATTTGTATCGTATGTATATAGAGGGAGAGAGCTGTGGCCTGCGAGTCGATCTTCGACCAACTGCAAATGGTTATGAATATTTTTTTGCCGAGAAAAAGAAATGATCTTCGCTCTTTTTATAGTTCACTTGTCGCTTAATCTTGTTTATATGTGGTGGAAATGAAAATACAATTTGGTTATAGGTACATTAAAATTGATTGCAGATTTTGAATTGGAAATCTGAGTTTGAAATCCCATAAACTTGCAGATTGAACCAGTTACATACATATATATATATATATATATATATATATATATATATATATATATATATATATATATATATATATATATATATATATATATATATATATATATATATATAAAACCTATTTTGTTTTTTTATTTTGAACATGGGAAACGAGGGAAAAATGGATCTGAAGCCGTGTGCCGGTGAATATATTCATACGAGGTGAGATATAATCGCACGACGGAGAGATTTGATATAAGTCAACTGCCAACAATACAAATAAGATTCCAATAATACACTATTTTAATTGTTAGGTGTGATTTTACGTGTGGAGTTGTAGATATGTTTTGCAAAAATAAATAATTTCTTTTTTTATTTATTTGAAAGAGTATATTTGATATAGTTTAAGAGTAACAATGGCAAATTTAAAATAAAATATAATTAATTTATTATTAATATATTGAAGTGGCATATATAAAAAAAAATTCAATTTCTCTAAAAAGGACATATAATTTAAAACAAAGGGAATATAAAATATAAAATTAGCTTGCTACACGGATTATTTACACCAGGCGATCGTTCACTGTAGATCTGCACATAATCACACCCACACCCATGTGCATGTGTGTTTAGTGGGTGATTAATCCCACTACTTGCTCAAAAAAAATAAAAAAAATAAAAGATAAAAAATACCACTACAATTAACAATATAATTGCCCACTGTAGCATCTAACTCCATAGATTTAATAGACAGGTTTCCGATAAAGCGGGTACTAGAGTTCATTTTCCCAAATTATTTAATTAATTATGATTTATCCTACTAACCCAGTTTCGCATTCCCCATTGTCAACGGTCACTAGATCGAGTTTGTCATACATAGTTAGCCGTATGATTTACAAATTATTATACGAGAGTGTATATTTACTCAGTGCACTTATATGGTTGGCTGCGAATTACTTCGTACCAAAAAAATATATATAACTCCACGATTTTGAAAAAAAAAATAATAATTAAAAAAAAAATTTATAGTAGGAGACATGCGGGCAACAACTGTCTGAGTAATAAAAGTGGTAAATAAAAATTATATAAAATTAAAACGTTAAAAACGTTTGAATTAATTAAGAAACAACGCCATGAGACCAAGTAACAAGGATTAAAATTTAATTATATTTGGAGTTAGATCAATTCCAACCCACATCAGCTTCATCGCAAGTTTTCTTTTTAAATTTTTTTTTTTTTTTTTTTAAATTTCTGTCACTAATGAAGAAATATTGGTACTACAGGGGTGTTCTTACCACATTTTTCTTGATGTTATTCCTTCTTGGATATTTTGTAATAACAAAAAATCCAAACATCAACGAACAAACCTACTTCACTAATCCAGAAAAAAAGAATACTAGTATAATAACTTCTCAAGTTATTAATATTAATATTAGTATTAATGCAGCTTCTGATTATTTATTTTCTCCAAGGAATTTTTCAAAAGAAGAGCAAAAATCTCTGCAGACATGGAGTCGCTTAAAACACTTGGCCACGTCAGACCTTGGTGGCGGTCATGGCTTACCTAACGCCGCCGAAGCGATTAAGGAAGCTGCTGCTGCATGGGAAAACCTGATGAGCGACGGAAATTTAGCGACAAAAGGAGGTTCATATGACGATCATCAGAAACTCAAACGGTCCTACTGCCCTCGTTTCGTCGCTAATACTAAAACGAACGCGTCGCAATATCTAGTTGACGGTGGCAGCGACGGATTGTTTGAGTTGGCGATTCCGTGTGGGTTGACTCGAGGATCTTCAATCACGTTTATCGGCATCCCAAATGGGGGTGATTTCCACGTTAAACTGACCGGTGAACGGCTGCCCGAAGAGCCGAACCCTCATATTATTTTGCATTATAATATTAGATCCCGCGGCCACGTAGACAGCGGTACTAATACAACTGATGACGTGGATGGTGACGTGGATCCTGTGATTGTTCAAAACACGTGGTCTATTCTACGTGGCTGGGGTGACGAGGACCGTTGTCCACCTTACACTGAATTAATTGAAAAAGGTACGAGTACGACGGTCTTAATTAACTCCGTTCCGTTTAATTTGTCGACTACCCGCCGTTAGAATAAGTTCTTAGATTGAAATTTGAATTATTTTTTTGTTTTTTAACCAAGTGGATGAGGTGGAGCATTGCAATACAAATATTTCAATGGTGGATGATGGGAAATGGAGAGAGAACTTTCCATTTATGCAAAAAGAATTATTCGTTGCTACGATTAGAGTCGGGTTGGAAGGGATTCATATGGAAGTGGACGGAAAGCACGCGACCTCGTTCCGTTTTCGTGAAGTAAGTAATTGATTAAATCTTTTTTCTTGTCCAAAAATTGAATTCAATTTTTCTTTTGACGTTTTGGTTGTAATTTTTACTGCATGCATATATAGACAATGGAGCCGTTTCTCGTTAAAGAAGTACGGATTTCGGGAGATGTAAATTTAATTTCTTTCGTTGCGAGTGGTTTACCGACGACATCACCAGAGGATGATCTAGAAAATAGAAACAACGACGACGTGGAAGCTCTCAAAGCTGTTCCAATACTACCTCCTCGAAAAAGACAACAAATTGATCTCCTCATCGGAATATTCTCTACTTCCAACAATTTCAGGCGCAGGATGGCGGTTCGAAGATCGTGGATGCAGTATCCTCTGATCCGGTCGGGACATGTTGTAGTTCGTTTCTTTGTCGGTCTCGTAAGTTCTTTTTTTCTTTTTTTCCTTTTCATCATGCAAAATTTTAAAACTAATAGTTATAAGCAACACATGCAAAATTATATGTATGTTTGTAGCATAAAAACCAGTCGGTGAATGAGGAGCTGTGGAACGAGGCGCGTACTTACGAAGACATACAATTGATGCCGTTCGTTGACTACTACACTCTCATTACATGGAAGACAATAGCCATCTGCATCTTTGGGGTATATATATATATATATATACTCTTAAGCCTCTATAAGTCAATACAGTTGGGAAGCAAACTTCTATTAATTTAACGGAATATTAAGTTATCGAATTAATAATTTAAGATGTTGCGACCGAGTCGGAACCAGAAGAAACTATATAATATTTAAGCGAGGTTATTAATTTATCGAGAGGTTGTACTTTATATATCGTATTAATCTAAATTTCTGACAGTGCCTTATTGCCCTAAATGTATGATCTACTACTATTGGGCAGACAGAGGTTGTTCCGGCTAGGTTTATTATGAAGACAGACGACGATGCATTTGTTAGAGTAGATGAAATGTTAACTTCTTTGAAGCGTACAAATAAAACTCGTGGTTTGCTCTACGGCCTCATCGATTCTGATACGAAGCCCGATCGAAATCGAGAGAGCAAGTGGTATATTAGTCCCGAGGTACATTACATTATATATATTATATTTTCGACATGATCATACCGTTTAATTACTGTATTAACTAAGTTACAAGTGATTTAATTTGTTTAATTTTGCAGGAATGGGCAGAGGACAAGTATCCACCTTGGGCGCACGGTCCAGGTTACGTCGTGTCGAACGATATAGCAAGGACGGTTTCCAAGAAACATCGAAAGGGACGCCTAAAGGTAATTAACTAACAGTTAAGCGATTAATTGTGATGATGTTGCAAATTATGGTTAATTATAAGAAATAGTAATGAATGTAGAGTTTCAAGCTGGAAGACGTCGCCATGGGAATCTGGATTGAGGAAATGACGAAGAAGAACGGGTTGGAAGTGACATACAAGAACGACGAAAAGATCTTTAACTGCGGCTGTGAAGACGGTTACGTTGTCGCCCATTATCAACGCCCCCCAGATTTGCTTTGTCTCTGGCAAAAAATTCAACACACTAAACTCCCTACTTGCTGTGGCTCATAATGATATTGATAATTTAAAGTCTATATATATATATATATATATATATATATATATATATATATATATATATTCCACAAATTAAATTAAATTAATTTGGCTCCAAAATTATTGTAGATATTATTTAATTTAATTTACCATAATACATATATATATTTCCTATTACAAACCAAAGTACATCACCCTCCAATCTTCAAACAAAAACAAATATAGAAATAAAATACAGCAGGCTTATTACCGGCGACCTGACCCGACCCGACCCGTCATTGATGCATGAAATTCTTACATAATACTGAAGATCCAACGGCTATATATAGATAGAGAATCAAAAAAAAAAAATTCAAGCAGAGACACAGCCAATACCGTACCTAGTAGTCGGAAAAACAAGAAAAAGGCCGCTGCAAATAATCCCGACCATCAACGGGAAACTCTGCATCACTTCTTTCAACTCCGCCCCGTGACCCGGAAAAACGCAACCCGTGACCCGGTGGTCCGACAAAGCGATAGCGACAAACACGAGCGCGGACATCATCGCGTGCACAAAATCACTGAACCCAACCTTGAATTTGTCGTCCTTGGGCACGTCGACGCCCAGGCCCGCCTTGAAAACCGCCAGCCCGTTCGGGGTGACGAACCCGTAGTAGAGCTTCCCGTCGGGCCCCCGGAAAGAGTCGGTGAAGTGGAAGAAGAAGCAGGAGAGGGTGCAGAGGAGGAGCAGGGAGTATATCATGTGGTTCGTCACGGCGGAGCACTCCCCGTTGGAGGAGATCGATGGGAGGACCATCTCGAATGTGAGGAGGGTTCCGGTCGGGAGGAAGTTGGCGAGCAGAGAGGTTTTCGAGAGCGTTTTCTGGACGCCGCTCGCCACTGCGCGCCTTTTCCGTCCGGCGGCGGTGAGTGGTGGGGAGGCGGCGGAGGGCGGCGGCGAGGAAGGGTAGAGCGGCGGCGGGTCGAGTTGTGGGGAGGAGGTGTAGATTTTTATGCCGATTCCTCCTTCTGAAGATTTAGCCATTTTTCTTTGTTTTCTTTAAGGAACACGAAAATGGAATGAATGGATCTGAATTTTTGTTCGGTTGAGATATATGTAATGGATCGATATGTACAGCGGCGGTTTTTTGACGGAGAAATTCAAATTTTTAAAACCGTTAAACTGCCGACCGCGCTAAATTTTCCAGGTGGCTATTTACCCCTGAATTTATGATAATTATAACCCCCCCCCCCCCCATTTCAGTTTTGAGTTATTTACGTGCCTTTGGCCCTGTAACTACTGTAAATTGCATTTCGCACATTTCATTTATTTTTTTGTTAAATTTATTACCGTCAGTAAAACCGAACAATTGCCCCAGATTCGAATTAACCCCCGGAACTTCGTAGCAGCAACTACATTTTACCAACCAACACATGATAAAAAAGAAAATTCTAGGCGAGATTATATGATCTGCAATAACTTATCCGATCCAATTTTATTTGAACTCATCGAAGTTTGAAGACAATTGAAAGATTGAGTTTCGGGTTTTAGGGATGGGGAATTTTAGAGAGAGAAAAAATAGCAATATACACCATTAGTAAGATCTATCGGGGCAAGAAACCATGGCGAGCAATGGCAATTTCAAAGGCTTGCATTCTCTCTCCTCTAGCCAACCCGTTTCGATCGTAGAAAGATATTTCATTTATGTTGAGATCTACACAAGCCTTGATAAGCTCTTCTCCAACTCGTTGCGCTGCCTCCTAAGAATAACAAATTTCATGAAATCTTCAGAGACATTATTACATTAGTTATAAGGAGCCAAAAAGAAGCGAGACGAAAAGCTGAATAATCAATTTCGTATATTCAAAGTTGAATAATCACTTGTGGAAAGCCTCGTAAATACTGAATAGAAACACTTACGGCTGTAGTGCAAGAAAGATCCTTACGAGTTGATTTTTGCAGAGTGCTTCCGTAGAACAAACACTTCTTCTTCTGGTCGTCGACCAACATTGCGTATAGTTGCTTATCCGAACAGAACACTGAAAGCCTTGGTTTTGTAGCTGTCCCGTTAAACTGCTCGATCAACATGCAAAATTTTAACAAAATTCACTCGTATCTGCTTATGTACCAAAACCAACTACATTACGTGGCAAATACAATTCCACGCGTGTTGTGTAATTAAATTTGGTCAACGGTGAAAAGACTTCTTGATTGGTTACCTTCTTGCTCGATCTTCTATTCCGAATTTTATCACTCTCCGTCCGCATAGGTGCTCTTGCTTCAATCACCAACGGCATCCTAACCATGTCTGAAGAAAGTTTTATTCATCAAAACTCAGTAACAAGGATATCGAATTTCCCGATTTTTTTTTTATATTCGACACAATTACAACTCACGATTCTCAACAGCAGTAGCAAGCAAGTAATGCATATCCACACAGAACAGACTCTTTCTAACAAAGAGATAATACATAAAACGCTCCAAGAAAATGCAAAACGGCTCACTTGCAGAGTGCAGGGGAAGAATATTTGAGCTATTAAGACCAGTTCCAAAGATCCCACAAGCCTGGAACTTTAGTGCAGCAATAGAAGAACCCATCGCCATGAATTATCCGCTCACCACCTTCAACCCAGAAGATTAATGGTAGATAAGCTAACAGCTGCTGTCAAATAATAGCTGAAAATTTCGTTGAGGCATTTTATCGAACAGGTTAACTGCAACTATGAGAATAGTATTGAATTGTACCTTAATTACTCTAGTTGTCTCGATATAATCGCCTGGGAATATGCCGATTTTCACAACAGAACACTATTTTGATTGAACAATACACTACCCCGCTACTTGTCGGAGAACTTGCTTTCTCGTACGGATGAAATGGGTCTCTGAAGAATGACGAACTGGATGATCGAAATAAGGGTCAAGTATTAGCAACAGAATTCGGGTCGGACCCAAATCAAATCCAACCCAATTGATCCCCATTAACCATTTGGGTTCGACTGAGCCCGTAAAAATATGTAAAATACAGGCCCATGATCATACAAAATAATATATTACTTTTTTATTTATTTTTTTGAAATTGTATATTACTTTTTTTTATATGAATTATATATTAGTTATGAAATATAAAGATGTGTAAATTACAACCACCTCTGAGAGATAAGATCAAATTAAAAAAAAAAAAATTCACAATCTTTGGTTAATTACAATTATGAATTTTCTTATATATCCATCATTTTGTCGTCAAATTCAACGTAATCTTCTAGATTTCGTGGAATGTTCTCTAGTTTGTACTCGTTTTGTGCAAAAATACAATTTTTGATGCACCACAATCTAGTATATACAAGCCAAAAAACAAATCTTATGATCATCTTGCTTTAAAATGTGGAGCTCGAATGGGATAAAACGAGTAATTTAACGCCTCAACGGTGAACATGTAAGAAATTTTATAATTAACGGAGTGGTGATTGAAACTACCCAAACATGAAAAAGTTTTTCGTAATTTGACTTTTACCTCAGGGGTGATCGTAATTTATTATATAAAAGTTTGCTTAACGGGTCGATTTCGTACTCATTGTCAATTCATGTCTATTATGTGTTATTCTGTGTGACACCGGTCGGTCTTTATTATTAATATACACACGAACATATACACACACCCACATTGATGTGTAGATTAATGGTAGAAAAATCAACCAGTATAATCTTCATGGGTCATCGTACCTATTAAGTAATATATGTATATGTCTATATATATATATATATATATATATATATATATATATATATATATATATATATATATATATATATATATATATATATATATATATATATATATATATGTGTATATCAGTATATGTTAATATGTATATGTATATGTCTATATATATATATATAAATATATATATGTATATCAGGATATGTATCTGTCTATATATATATATATATATATATAATATATATATATGTATATCAGTATATGGATATGTATATTTCTATATATATATGTATACCTTAAAAAAAAAAAGAAAAAAAAAAAATAAGAGGAAAATAGCAAAACCCGAACCCGACCCGAAATAACCGGGTACCCGGTTATCTCGGGTCAGGTTCGGGTAATTTTTGTTTTTTGCAAAAAACCCGAATAACCCGACCCGAATAACCCGACCCGACCCGACCCGACCCGAATGCCCACCCCTGCTATTAACCATCCTAGGTGGACAAGGCTTTGAAGTATGAATAACAACAAGATCAATGATTGTACGGCTCAAACCAAAAAATAGAGCCCCACGGGAACTACAGTGAATCCGAACGTACACGATCCTAATTCCCGAGAAAATATCTCCTCTAGAAATAGAATAGTACACTTTGAATTCTCGGATAAACACAAAACAAACATGCTTCCAGATCCTTCTACAAACTTCCTGTTGGCGCCCACCTTCTTCCTTAAAAACCCCAAACCGAAAATTCCCCCCTTTCATTATTAGCTTTTTACTTTTACAGATTTGAATCTCTCTCCTCCTTGTTTGTTTCCTCGATTTTTTTTTTTTTTTTGATTTTTGTTCTTTACTGTAATGGCTTCAGAGCCTGCTTCGTCTGAGCTTCCATCCTTCTTCGAGCGTTTGATGTATTCAAGGAGCAGACACGTGTCTTCCTTCTTCCCCGTTCTCCTAGGGTTGAGCACCGCATCAAACCCTAATTCTCAGGAAACTGAAAATCAAGGCGGCCAGTTTCCCGACCGGATCGTCATCATCAACCCCTTCACACAAGGTATGGTGATAATAGAAAGGAGAAGCAGCGGCGGCGGCGGCGACGGATCATCTTCAGACTTCGATTCTCTGATCAACGAACTCTTCTCCGGCAAAAACGGCCGGCCGCCGGCGTCGAAGGCGTCGATCGAGGCTTTGGAAACTGTGGAAATTTTGGGTGGAGAAAACGACGGCGTTGATGATCAGTGTGTGATCTGCTTGGAGGATTGGGTGGCTGGTGAAAAGGCTAAACAAATGCCTTGCAAGCATAGGTTTCACGGCGGGTGTGTTGAGAAGTGGCTGAAGATCCACGGGTCCTGCCCCGTCTGTAGATACGAAATGCCGGTGGATGAAACTGTGGATGAGGACAGGAGTGGAAGCGGCGGAGAGAGTGGCGGAGAGACGAGGAGGAGAGAGATTTGGCTGAGCTTCGTTGGCAGTGGTAGCAGAAGTGCCATGAATGATCTTGACTGAATCGTGGAGAAATTTGCAGAGGGGGTATTTGCAGGATTTTTTGTAATCGGTTTTTTTTTTCCCCCTTTTCTTCCTGTTTTGTCTCCTTTTGGTGAAAATCACTTGTATATAGAGCTTAGTTTTTGTTGAAACAATCTTATCAAGTTATGAATGAATGAATGAATGAATGAATGAATTTCTCATTTTCTGCGATTTTCATCTGTGATAACTTAATTTTGGCATTCACTTAATTCACATTCAAGGATTGTCGACTTTCCGATTCTTGATTCGATCAATGCAATCTATATTTCTCTGCCCCATATTGGGATGATTGGTTTGATTATAATATTCGCCAGCCGTCTATGTGTTTGATATCTTTCCGATAATGCTTAACCGGTTAATATTATTCAAATTTTCATGTATCCATGATTGAGTATTGGTCCGACTGTGCTGAAATTGCTGAAGAGTGGAGGATCGCCCGGAGACACTATACTGGCCCAAGTAAGCAATTTATATATAGCAATATTGCTTCGTTTATTCTAGTTGAATAGCTGCGCTCGTTATCTGTTCTGTTTAATTTAGTTGAAAATAAGTATCAGTATTTATGATCATATTTCTCGGACAATAAATATAGTATCAGATTTTGCTCCAGCTTATAGTAATTAATATGGCATCTAATTGACAAGGTTACCCCAGCTGGGAGATTGTGTTACGACTTAATTATAATATACGTTTGACAAACATTTATATTGCACAAGATAAGGTTTACTAGTAAGTTGGATATACTCCAGAAAGTTCGTTATAGCACAATACCGAAAACAAATATACACAATTACTAGTTACTATAGCATCATATCCTATTCTTGGCTAGTCGGACCGATTACGCTTTATATTTCACGTGACTTATAAAAACCAATTAATAATGTCTCTAGATACTAAAAGATGCACCGAATAGATCGAGACCGTTGCGGTTCAAATCTATCACTTTTGGACCCGAATCGAAGTCATTCAAATTAAACCTTTGCACTTGCTTATCACAATCAAATTTCTCTCTGTGATTGATTTCATCTGTGGTGGTGCTTTTGCTCCTTTTTACGTTTCTCGCTTGATTTTCCGATTCACTGTTTTTGGCTGGATTCATTTCCATAAGTGAGAGCATGGCCGAATTTCTCTTCCCTTTATTAATGGTCGTATAATTCTTGGCAAGTTGTTGCGTTGTCTGAGTTTCTTCCTTCATCGCTGAGCTGTCAGATGATGTCAGAGAACTTTCAAGTGAATATCCGTTGTGTCCTAATGGCTTGTTCCCTTCGTTCTTTAACAACGATCCACCACTCTCGGTCAAAACCGAGAATGAAGAACTCGGACAAGTCGAGTCCACCATTGATGCTAACTGAGAAAGCTGCGCTTTCGCATGTTCAACCTCAATCGAGCAAGAACTGTATTCAGAAATGGTCTCCTGTGCTTTTCTCAATACCGATTGTAAGTATTTCCCTTGAGCTTCGATTCTTAGCTGCAAATGCCGTTGCACCTGAAAATAATCATTTTGTTTAACTTTCTTGATCAATTTATCGTATATTTTTTTTTTCGTGCTCTGTTACTTACCTCAATTTGCTCGTGAAGCTTTTTCTGCACTTCCATTTGCATTTGTAAAGAATGTGCCACCTGCAAACTTCTGAAAAAAGAGAAGCATAATTTGAAGTTAAAAATTCCGTCTATTTTTTTTTTTTAAATTGTATAGAAAACTATATTTAAAAGATCAGTACTCTTTAATCTGCTCATGCGCTCCATCACAAGTCTTGTCGGTCAACTGATTTTCTTCAATATCTGAATTCGAAAACAAGAAACACATTAGTACCTCACTTTTTGCCATGTGTTCTAAAATATATAATATCAATAGTTCAACACTCTGTTTTCTGACCTTCCGGTTTATTCTGGTGGCAGGTGTGCGGTAGTTGACTTTTTCCGAGTCGATATTTCTGCAAGAAGACATGCATGTCAGCAGAAACTAAAGAAGAAAATCGAACGATGCACAATGTAAAAGACGAAACTATAAAATTGCCTGTAAATGGCTCTTGAGATGGTACAAGGTGAGTCCATCGATGCCCATGATTCTCATCAACGATTTAGGTGTAGCTTCTGCATTACGAAAACGTAAAATTATAATACGCATTAAAAGTGGATAAGTAGAAGAAAACATTGACACTAAACTCTCTGCACCGCCGAGATGGTTGACTGAATCGATGAATATCTGGTGAAGTTCACGAGTCCATTTCAATCTAGGCTTTGCATCGCTCGATAAAACCAAGGTTGTCTCTTTGCCGTGTGCATTCTTTAGAGCCATTGGTGTCTGTCTGTATGAGAAGAATTTGTGGGGAGTCGATAATTGTCTTTATAATTGGGAGTTGGTTAGGGTGTCGTTCGAATGTTCGTCGTTCTATATCTGGAAATGCAAGTGGGGTTTGTGCTTTAGGGGGAGGGAATATATGCCATGAGCTGTGCCCCTTTTCTTTCTTCCATTTCCCATAACTTTTGACTTGAAGGGTTGGAGAGAATATCTGATTGCAGCAAAAACAGAGAAAGCAACATTCTTGAATTTAGGTCTCAAAAGGAGAGAAAAAAAGTGTATGGTTTGTTTTTATCCTCTGTTTTCTCACCTGTGTGTGTGCTTTTGTGTGTGTGTGTGTTTGAGAGAGAGAGAGAGAGAGAGAGAGATTCCCATGAGTTAGGGCAGTCCCACCATGATGAATAATGGGGGCAACTTTTAAAAAATTCATAAGAAGCTTTGATGGAAAGAGAAAAGAGAAATAATCAATGATGATGATGCTTTCTTTTTTAAGATGTTTCCTTTTTTTCAAGATAAGAAAATTATTAATATTTATTTTTGTTTTTCTGAAGGGTAAATTACAATCAAACCCTCGAGGTATGGTCAAATTATAAAAAAAACCCTCATGTTTGGATAATTACATCTACCACCTTCAACTATGAATCTTCTTGCATCTCCACCTTTATGGTGTCAAAGTCAACATAATCGTCAAGATTCCGTGAAATTTTTTCTAGTTTGATCTCGTTTTGTGCAAAAATACAGTTTTTGATGCTCTACAATCTGATATATGCAAGCCAAAAAACGCATCTTATGATCATCTACCTTCAAAATGTGGAGCTTGAATGGGATAAAATGGATCTAAAATTGAGAATATTCCATATAAACTTAGAAGGTTCCATTAAATTTGAAACCGCAAGGGTGGACGTGTAAGAAGATTTATAGTTGAGAGGTGGTCGTAATTATCCAAACATGAGGGGGTTTTCGTAATTTGACCATACATTAGGCGTGGTTGTGATTTACCTTTTTTTGAATTATAATATAATCTCTTGCCATTGGGTTTTCTGTATAGAGGAGGTGGGGGTGGGGGGTGGATTGGCCGGTTCTTTTTGTTTCTTGTGGGGATATAGGAATCAAAGAATCTAGCATTAGATTTTTAGGACAGGCAAATATTAACGTTATCAACAAGTTCATTTTTTTTTTAATTAAGATAGGTGTTTGCAATAATTTATTGCAAAATAGTTTCATATACCTCATCCCCAAGTCTGCCAAGCAACACATAATATAATATATGCTACACCCGATAAATTCTACCATAGGTTAATTAATTATCGTGAAAATGAATACGAGTTTTTAATTTGTTCCATCTGAGATTCACTTGACTAGATATAATGAAACGATCTTTATTTCTGCACTGTCAAACACTAATATTATAAAGAAGAAGCATCTTTTGCTCTTTGCTTAAAGTTCAAGAAATGCATGGATTCTTGTAGTGTGGAGTCAAAGTTGCATACTGTGAAAGTTCAGGACCATTGACGAGGTCTTGTGCTTTGGATAAACTTTATCCATCTTATAATTTAGGGTAGAATTTAGTCAAATCAGATCACAATTAGCACTTTCGGAAAAAGAGAAAAAAAAAAAAAAAAAAAAAAAGAAGATTCTCGATATATAGAAGTGGCATCGATAATGAGCTTGGCTCAATATCCAGATAATCAAACACACTTAGTTGAGTTCGGCCCAGACTGTCGAACTAGCCCCCATCATAAGTACAAGTTTAATTTCGGAAAATATTGGGCTGTTCGAAAATTAAAATTAGATTGAAAATTCGATCTCAATATATACATATTAGAATTTCAATTTTGGTTCAAAAAAGAAATTCGGAAAAATAAAAAAATCGGTAATTTTGGATAATATTGTTTCAATTTTATAATATCATTTTCACTTTGAATGTGATTTTGAGCATTTGCTAGTCTGATTTTGGCAAAACTCAAAGCATGTAACATTGTGTTTATTTGAGGTGTCTTTCTAATCCAATTTGCATTAGTTAGATTGGACGTTAGCCGACAAAGTTGTCCATGAATTAGTTACATTTTGAATCTAGAAAATTTAAAACGGACATTGTTCATTGATTCATGCATATCTTTGTCATCCAACAACCAATTTTAGTGATTTAAGTTGGTATAGAAAACTAACTTAAAGAATAACAAATTCCTTGGTCTGAATTTTGTCAAAGTGAGACACGAAAATGTTCGAAAATCACGTTTAAAGTTGAAATGATATTATTAAAAGTAAAACGACATTTATCACTCGACGAAATCATAGTGGAAACTGGAAAATATTGTTCCAAAATTAAAAAAATTCTGATCAGAGTCGGCATTAAAAGTTATACCCCCCAATATCGGAGGCCATCCATGGATTACTATTTAATGAGAAAATCCATCAAATCTTGATTTTTTGAAAATCTTAAGAAAAGAAAAAGAAAAAGAAAAGAAAAGAAAAGAGAGCCACAATAGCAAACAACAAATCCCAAAAGTCATTTAGGATCAAGATCGGTCTTTTACATTTCTTGGGTTGCGGGCAAAGACTTAATTATCTATGGAATCAAAATCCAATGATTAACACCTAAATCTGTAATTTGTCATCTCAGTGCCATAATTAATATATAATCTAATTAATATGTTATATAATCTAACATTTAACATTTTGTCACATACTCATGTTGCATGCACTTCGAAGCATGTGAGCGCGCGTGCGTGCGTTTTCCTCGGTTATGCGTTTCGTTTTCTATAATCGGTACATAGTTCACTTACCATTGAAATGGCGGACATGTTTGAAAAAAGAAAAAGAAAGTACTCGAAGTTCCTTTCTTGCTTTAATGTATTCCATAACAAGAAAAGGAGATTCTAGGATGATGCTAAACAATCTTAACAAAAGTAGTTGCCTCTCATCAATTATTATTCTTTCTATATTGTGTGGAGAATTTATAAGGGGACCCCATAAAGAGACTTGGCGAGTGAGATCTCGTAAATCTAAACGCACGGCGAAAAAAAAAAAAAAAAGACGACGATTCGAAGAATATGGCCTCTACGAATCAAGAAAAGGTACTCGAAAGAAAACTTGTCACTTTCCCACCATAGAACAATAATAAAAATAATACTAATGGCTACTTATCCCTTCCTTCGAATTCATTCGCGGGCAAAACGGTCTTTTCCATTCTACTCGAATATGTACCTAATTATTGGCTTCTGTCTCTATTAGACACTGTTTAGTGAGTTTCATTACAAATGCATCAAACATAATGTCTGATAAAAAGATAGATAGTGGTAAAGTTTAGATCCATTAATTAATTTTGTGTTGTCTATTCTGCTTTATACATTTCACCATTAATAAAGTTGAGGGCATGCTTTGGGGTTTATTGCAATAATTTTGGAGATAACAGCTGCTGCTGCAACTTTATGGTAATGTCTTTCAAATCATTAATATTGTGATTTGTCCTCATTCTTGAATATCTATTAATTTCCAAATTATTTAATTATGAACTATATACTTCAACTAACCCCAACTAGTCTAATAATAAACCAATTATTGTAAGAGATTTTGCAAAATAATTTCCTGATTATACAATAAAGGACCGAAAATAAATGAATAGGCACAAAATGGGCCTCTCGGCCCATTAATTGTAAGTATAACATAAGATTGTTTTGCTGGGCCTAGCTTAAGCCCATTCCCGTAAAAAATCCCGTCGGGTATCCTCATCCCCGTCCCTATAAACATTATGTGGGTACCCGCAAAATCCCAAACAAATTACACATATACTATGCTGCACGGACACTTCTAAAAAGTGAAGAGTTCACGTATCCGACACCTGGACACTTGGACACGGCTCGAACATCCGTGTCGGGCAGTGTCCACAATTTTAAAAAAGTTGGAACACGGCTCTTATATTTGAAGACAAACCCTAATAAAAAATACACATTTTTTTTCTCTCTCTCTAACACATATTTCATCTGTCTTCATTAAGAGTCTATCCAAAATTCCAAAACTCTAGCGACAACATCGACCAAGAACATGAGCGGTTCTCTTATGCGATTTGACGACTTATAAATATATTTTTACAATTTATAAATGTACCCCTATATTTTTATAATTTATAAATATACCCCTATATTTTTATATTTACGCGTATCCGTATGTATTCTTTTTCTTCAATTTATTCTTGTGAAAATGAGTTAAAAACAATAAAAGTTTAATTTAATTTCATGAAGAAAACAATTTTAAAACAATAAAAATTAAATTAAATTTTATAAAAATAAGATTATATAAAAATTTAATTTAAAATAATAGTGCAATTATTTATATATATATATATATACAACGACGAGGCAGGGATGCGGGGAGGGTACAGAAAAACCAATCCATACCCGCCCCCGTACTCGCCTCATGTTTTTTCGGGTCGGGGGCGGGATGGGTCAAATTGCAATCCCTAATTTTAGAAACATCTTACAAACTTTTACTAATTATTTAGAACACATTGCTCCAATAATATGGTATTGTTACGGGTCAAATCAGACTACTCTTTGCTTTACATGATTTGTTAAGCTGTATATGCTTTGAAATATGAACACTCAAAATTACCCATAGTATATGATAATAATGCACTTAATTATGTAGTAATTAACTACTACTAATCAAGAAAACCTTTAATTAAACACAAACGCAGCCACACAAGTAAATAACCACTTTATGGAAAAGCTTTATTGCGTTTTTGGTGGGCCAAATTTAAATATGTATGTGGCTAAGGTGAGAAGCCCTATTTGAGTTGACATATATGTGGATCGGGATCGTGACTTCTTTATTTATTCTTTTAAATATATATCCTTATAAAATTGAAGTGGATAATCAAATTAAATAATTGATTTGATTATTATTATTAGGGTAAATAGCATCCACATCCCTGATGTATGCTTAAATAACACTAAGGTCCCTGTGGTATCAAAATTACACTCTCCCCCTTGAAACGTAGTTATAAATTCTATGGGATAATGCATAGGATACGTTATTACGATAGAGTTCTAACGGACTATTGATTTCAGGAAGTGGTGGAGACAACAAAGAGTTATGGGTGATTTAAGAAATATTGGGGGAGCCATGTCACCCCATAACTCTATGTTATCTTCACCACTAGCTAAAAGCTATAGTCCATTAGAACCCTGTCAGAATAATGTATCCAATGCATTATCTCGTTAGAGTTTCTAACTACGTTTCGGGGGTGTGAGTGTAATTACCGATACAATAGAAACGTTAAAATTATTTAAGCATACCACAGGGGTCTGGGTGTAATTTACCATTATTATTATTGTATAAGTAGAGAATCAAAATCAAGGAAATAAAACATGGGAAATCGAAGAGGATAAGAGAGAAAAAGATACTATTGAGCGTGTGGACCCCAGTCTCTTATCTCTTAGAATACAACGACACGTGTCACCAGGTGAGAGCTACTCTTAAGTTTTGTATTGGGGTAATGATATACGCAGGCCAAATTAAACATTCAGGCACTTTTTTACCATGATTTTTTACCTTTTTACCATAACTATTTACCTTTTGTACTATTCCTACCCAATAAAAAAAATAAAAAAAAATAAAAAATTAAATTAAATTTTTGTGCTCGTGCAAAAACATGCGAGCATTTCAACAA